CGGAGGCAGGGTCGACGGCTGGGGGTGTCGGCTCTCCAAACGAAGTCAGGGCCGTCGGCAGGTGTAGCGAAGGTTTATTTAACTTTTGTTAACCGACTCGAAATCTTGTTCTTAGACAAGATTTATTTCATTGGTTTGATAAGTGGGGGCGACGAGAGCTATGTTTGCAATTGCCCAGTGGGAGAACGGGCAGGGGCACACCCGGAGTGTCGCTTTCCTAGGGGATCGTGGACATCGCAGGTGGGTTAAGACGCTTGATCTCCAGTCTTGATGCCTTCCCTGAGGCTCAATCTTCAGAGCCTGGTCTTGTGCTGATCGTACTTTTAGAAACTGCAAGCGCTGACGTTGCTTGGGTCACAACTCTGCTCTGAAAGAAGGGGATTGTTAGTGGGCGATCAGAAGTGGCGACTTAAAAATGTTTGAGCTTTGATCACTGTCTTCACAGATCCTCCCATGTGACGCCCTCAAGACGGACAACATTCTCGGCCTGCTTGACTCACCGCTCTTCAAGCAGATATGACCAATTGGAGAACCTCCGACCAGACCCTGACGTCAACTTTTTGTGGGCAACGCCCTCCACAACACCCCGGTCGCCTTCGGTTTTTCTGCTCAAGACTGAATCTCTGTCTTCATTTTTGGGACATAGTACGTCTTCTTATAGTACCTATAGTTATTGCGACGTTACCAGACTGCAGGCCTGATATCCGTATCTTGAAGTCGCCCGTGACCCTCGATCAGACGTCGATGCTGACGTCACGTCTTTTTCCAGCTGCCGGCCAAGGCCAACATTACCACGCTCTTCCCCTCGATTCTTCCCCTCGTGGAGCAATTCTCTCTTCTCCTCTTCTTCCTGGTCCTAATCTGCGCAGAGTTTTGTGCCCGTGAGCCTAACTCTGACGTCACATGCTCACGCCACGTCTGTTTTGCAGGGGACGCCCTGAAGGCCAACATCCCGACGCTCGGCCCCGTGGTGCTCCCTTTTGTCAGAACAGATTCTCTTCTTTTTGGTCCTCGTCGGGCGGAAAAAAAAAAATCACCTCAACTCGGAACCAAACATTCCGAGATCTCATGTCACATTCTTTCGAAAGATGACGTCACGTCTTTTCTTCAGGCGACGCCCTCAAGGCCAACATCACGACTCTCGGCCCTCTCGTTCTCCCCCTCTCGGAGCAGATCCTCTTCTTCCTAATTCTCGTCGGGCGCAAAGTCCTCCGCCTGGATATGAAGCCCTACGTCCCAACTTCAAGCTGGCAGTCGCGCTCGTTTATAAAGAAAAAATCCATAAGGTTGCGGAAGTGCTAAGATGCTGACGTCACCTCTTCTGCCAGGTGACGCCCTCAAGGCCAACATCACGACTCTGGGGCCCCTAGTTCTCCCCCTCTCGGAGCAGATCCTGTTCTTCCTGGTTCTGGTTGGCCGCAAAGTTCTCCGCCTCGACATGAAGCCGTACATCCCGAACTTCAAGCTGGCGTTCGAGCACTTTTGCATCCACACGGGGGGGCGAGGCGTGCTGGACGAAATGGAGAAGAACTTGCAGCTCACCGAGGAGCAGGTCGAGCCAAGCCGCATGGCGCTTTACAGGTGGGCGCCTCTTCATAGTCTTGTGGATCCGAGATCCTTTCTCAAAAGAGGCAGTTACTTGTCTTACTTTTGTCATTTCACTTTTGGAGTCGGGTCTAAGAGATGGAGAAGAACTTGCAGCTTGCGAGGGTAGGTCGAGCCCAGCGGCATGGCACCTCACGGGGGAGCTCGCGCTTCCGGTCTTAGGGTCACTTTGTGAAAGCTGAAACTTCACCGGTTGAGTTGGGTTGATTAGGACTCAGCTTGGAGGAGACCTGGCGTGAGGTGGGTCAGAAGTCTGGAGGCTTTGTCCGAAAAGTTGAATAGCAGCTGGTTAGGTCTGTACAACGGGCGGCGTTTCAACTCTCAGATTGCCCTTTGCATAGAGCGCACTACGAACGGTTCAGCTGGGCTGTTCGTATGTCCTGGGTTGAGCCCGGGGCTCGAGTCCCTAAACAGAGATTAAACAAGGTGCTGGGTTCTGTCAACGAAAGTTTGCGGATGCTTCGTGAATGGTTCATCCGGACAAAACTTGGTCTGTGTTCGTAGGAATGGCCGGCCAGATTGAAGTGAGCCCTCACATTTTCGAGGTGAGTAAAGGCCCCGTAAGAAAGACTGACGATCCTTGCGCAATTTGAGACCAAATTTTGATTCAGATCTGCCTAATAGCTCTTCTTCGTCCTTTGTATACGAGCTCGCGAGGTCCTCATCTTTCCAGGATGACGTGTCGAGATTTGATTTCTGCACCTGCCACGAAGAACGAAATCCTAATGCTTGCGTTCCCGATTCTGTCCTTTTCGACAGCACGTCCTCTTCGACCATGCTCCGCCTGCTTTGCAAAGGACAGGAGGAAACCATTACCTTCAAACTTGACCCGAGCTGCGACAAGAATGCCAACACTTTTGAAACTCAAAAGGATATTTCAGGTCCGGCAACACGTCGCAATCGTCAATCTGGTACGAGCTTCTTCTCGTCCTCGAAAGAAGGAGCAAAGTCCACACTGGCCCCAGCCCTAAAACCCTAAAAACCCAAACCGTGAATGTTTTACAATGCCCCAGGTCGGGCACCACATCGTTTCTTGTGGCACCGACTCAATTGGTCAAGGTCCGAACTGGCTCCATCCCTGAAACCTCTCAAAACGAAACGTACTTCGTTACTCCTCCAGATTTGGCAACACGTCATCTTCCTCGATCTGGTACGAGCTCGCGTACTCGGAGTACCAGGGCCGGGTCAAGCGCGGCGACCGCGTGTGGCAGATCGCGTTCGGCAGCGGCTTTAAGTGCAACAGCGCGGTCTGGCGCGCGCTGCGCAAGATCGAGCCCCAGCCGGATAGCATCTGGGCGGGGACGGTAAAGCCCGAAACCTTCCCGGGTTAGGAGCCGGGGCGGGGAGGGTTAAGCCCGAACCTTTCTCGGTTTAGGAGCCGGGGCGGGGAGGGTTAAGTAGAAGCGTTCACCGGTCAAGGAACGGGATCGGTGTGTGTGCGGTGTCAAAAGAAACCCTTTCCGGATCAGGTGTAAGTGGAAGTCTGTCGTGGGTTAAGGCAAAACCGTTTCTCGGTTAGAATTTGGGCGCGGATTCTCTCGGACGAAGACTCCTGTAGTCATGAGAGGAGTTAGTTTGTGGATGGGAAGGGTTGCGGAAGGTCGACCTCCGAATCAAATGTTTGTAGGATGGCGTGGACGGTGGGAATGGTTAACCCGAAACCCTCTTCGGGTGAGAGGCGGGTTAGCCTGGAGCTGGGAAGATTGGGCCACATCCCTCGCAGAAGATTGACTTTTACGGGCAGGGTTGAATCTGGATCACATACGGATATAGTCAAGCCCGAGAGAATCAGTCCTCGAAGTGATTGCCTTACCGAATTGCAGCTAACCGTTTGCTCCCTCTACTGTTTTGCAATCTGAGGACGGGTTGAGCAAAGAAACCGAAGTAGACTGTTTGGTTTTGTTGCATTCTTTAGCATCGAAGCAAGATTTTCAGATAGGTACACACCCCAGGCAAAGGCCTTGGGTAGTAAGTCCGTTCGTAGTGTCCGTGTGAGCTGCAAGAGAGTCAGTCCGTTCAGGACGCGTTTGAAGTCGAGTTTGACACTCAACTCTGATTTAAGGACTATGCTCGCATTCTTTAGTATAGGTGTCCGTATCACGCTGCCTTCCTTACGTAACAATCTGCCACCTTCACGTAGCTAGTAGTTGTAGTCAAGCGTAATTAGACAGCGGCTCAGTTGGATAACAACCCATCTGAACACTTTGGACTTAGGCGGCCTAATCTGAGTTCCATGTTCAAACTGCAGTTTCCCTGACGTCAGCGCCCAAGCTTCCAATCACATACAACCTCTACATGCTGATTACTTGGCCGTTTAGCGCGTGTGACTGGCTGCCAGGCATCATTGATTGCACACAAGCAGAGTCCCGGGGCCTAAATTCCGTGGCATTGATCCATGCATGACGAATCAAATTGTCATCTCGAATCTTCATTAATCTCACGTCTCGTACTTGCACGAGGTGCTTACTGCGCAGCCTCAGAGTCCGAACTCGGAAGAAACACTTTCTGGCGCGCGCTCTAGCCGAATTCCAAAACCGGTTTCTGCAGGCAGCGAGAGCGATCGTATGCTATAACTCGCCGACTTGGACCAAGTTCCAAAGCAAAGTCATGCTTGACGGTATTGCTTGTATCGCGCACAGTACTATCTGCAGGAGCCTGGATCATCAGTAGACCGGAAGGCGGTCGCTACAGCCCTCTTCCACCGAGCGCGCTTATGAGCCAATGCATGCGCATTTGTTTCCCGTCCATTTTCTTTGGGCTGGGCAGTCGAATCTCTATATAGGTGGGGGCTTGCAAAATTTACGCCGCCACAAACAATGAGTGACTAGCGTCAGCAACCGTTGGCTAGCTGACCGTTCCATTCTATAGTATAGAAAAGAGGTTGCCAACAATCATCTCGAAGAGGTCCCTGAATCAAACCTCCACTTGAGGACAGACTTGCGCAAGTCGACCGAGTAGCTAAAGCTCTCAGGATGACGTTTCGACCAGGCCTGGACTCGGGCATCAAACTCAAGAATAATAATAGTAAGCCGAGATAATAATAAGGTAACCGCACTGGGACGGGTAGGGTTATTTGGTGGTTAGGGTGGGTATGGGTGCGGAGCGGGTAGATTGTTGGGTTAGGGTTTTAGTGTTTGTTGGAGCTTATTATGCCTGGCTCTTATTATACCTAAATTAGTCCGTCATGACACTCGGGCCGCCCTCCGAGATCGAGATGCATCCCGGTTATTTATATCCGAGTCATCGTGAACTTGTCATGCGCGGCGATCCACGCCATGCAATGTGCGCTGCATAAGCTTAGTAAGTAGCCGGCGAGGTCGCGTTTAGGTGTTGGGTTTGAGTTGGTAGGAGCGCAGAGCGTGTGAACTCGTTCTAGTCAAAACATAACCCCCGTGCGCGTGGTTCCCAATCAGGCCTGCATGCGGAATAGTGGGACCGGCGTTTTCGCAGCAAGGGAAAGATCCGAAAGCAAGACGACCCTAGCCAGGTGATTCCCTCGCCCATGTGATCCTCTCTCCAAAAGAGCGGGTGGGAAATCATTAGCAGCTTCGTTGATTCCACCTCTTTCAACCGAAGCGCACAACCCTCCAAAAATAGCATTGAGCTCAGCCGCAAAACTGCGACTCCTGTGTAGAGCTGGCAGGGGAACAGCTGAGCAGTTTATAGAGAGGAGGGGCATTCTTACTCTTGCGGTGACAGCAGAAGAACTTCAAAGCACCGCACGATAAGAGCGCCTCAACACACCACCCCCCTGCGCCGCCATGCAAGCGGTGAGGGACACGTGGCGCGCGGTGAAGCGCGAGCCGCTGGTGGCGCTCGCGAGCACCATCGCGGGCGCGGGCCTCGCGGGGGCCCTGCTCATGCCGGTGGTCGCCGAAAAGGAGCGGGAGATTCTGGCGCTGCGCCAGGCCAACAGGGCCTCCGGCCAGGCCGCTGACGGGGCACCCCCCGGGGGCGACGGTTCGAAGGGCGTCGAAGGCGCGGTCGACTGGAAGAAAGTGAACCCGAGCACGACGAAGAGTTCGAACGAGTGTGCGGTGGGGGGAGGGGAAAGGAGGGCGAGAGAGGTGGGGAAGATTGGGGGGCTTATTCCCACCGGCCTGACGAGTAGCTTCGCGGCGCAAGCTGAGGAGAGGTCCAGGGATGACGACAGGTGAGAAGTCGCTCCATGTGGGGGGTTCATATGGCCGTGCTTCCGAGCAAGTGACTTTGCGTGGTCCAAGAAAGGTGACAGGAAAGTCAGCAGAGCTTCTTTTCGGACTTGCTTTTCTTCGAAGTGGTTTGAGTTCGGGTTGAGTTCGTGCATGACGTAGTGGAAAATCAGAAGACCTTCTTGGGCTCAGAGGTTTGTGCAAGGTGCATGCAAACGACCTGCTATGTTAGGCCGAAGGCTGATGCTCTTGTTGCATCTAGGGCTGCTTAAAGCCGACTCGAAAATGGGGTTTCTGTCAAGACTGATTGAAACACTTTCTACGAAAAAAAAGCAATTCAGCAGTCGTATCCTCGCAGCTTTCTGCTTGTATCGTTCATCGTTCCCCTAAAGCTGATTCCGTCGGTTTGCGCTCCTCAACTTTGCAACAAACCGAATGGCCGACGTTGTTCAGTCTGAAATGGTACTGCGGATTACGAGGAGGCTTGAGAGGTTTTGATTCAGCATTGGACCGGTACCTCTTTTCTGCAGACGGAGTACCTTCATGGCAATTGAGGAGCTACCAGCAGAAAACGACATCATCTCTTGCTTCTGAAAGCAGTTTCTCGGGAGGAGTCTGAAGCAGAAGGCCTGACCACATTACAGACGGACCAGTGCAGTCGACCCTTCGAATCAGTATTAGATTTGTCTAGTCTCATTACGTCCAAGCGCGACAAAATGGGCAACTCTTTTCTTAGCCTCACAACTTTTGCTGGTATGCTTAGGGAAAGGTACCGCGACTGGGACCGGAGCCGGGACCGGGATCGGGACCGCGACAGGGACCGCGACGACAGGGACCGGGACCGCGGAGACCGGTACTACGACCTGCTCGAGAAAGCGAAAGAAAAGGCGGGGAACGTCCTAGGGAAGACCAAAGAAACGGCAGAGAGCGCCGTGGACAAGACCAAAGAAACGGCAGAAAAGACGAAGGACGCCGCCAAGAGTGCCGTCGGCATGACGGAGGACAAGGCGAAGGGCACCGCGAAGAAGCTGGAGTCGACGCTGCTGCGGCCCATCGACAAGATCCGGCAGCACCTGGCAGGGGTAAGCGCGCGCGCGCACGCTGAGTTTGTAGTTTTTAGGTTCTCGCTTGGAAGGAATTCGATGTTTCAGAGGAAGTTGCTCTCAGGCCCGCAACATTTGGTGGGTTCGAGGCAATCCTGAAAAGCTTTAGAAGATGCAGGGCCATAGTGTCAAGCTATGTGGCGTCGTTTGCTGTCGAAGAGATCGGGTCGGCTCGCGCCGGATTCTGTGATTCTAAATGGGGCCGGCTCGTTACGATGTCAAAGAAGAACGGGCCGGAAGAACGTCGGAGTCTCATAAATCTGACATCGCTGCGTCGTTGATATGAAAGCTTCGCGGATCGTACCTGCATAACGGCTTTGACCTTCCATCACCCTGAAATCTTATCTGAATCGTATCCCTCGAAGACTTAAAGAAGCTTCATCCGCCATTTATCCTTTGGGGCGGACAATCCGTCCGTCGGGCGCAGACCACTTGCTTTTGTAACCGTATCTGCTTTCATAAGCTTTGAGTTGTTCAACGCTGCCATCAATCGTCTTTCAACATCTGTACCGAAGACTTTCCTTTTGTTGGCTCGACGCCTGGAATCGAATTGCTATGGCAGATTCGGAAATCTGGTGCGCATATTCAATGCGGCAACCAAAGCCCAGCCTGAGGTCAAAAATGCGTGTCAAGCCTACATTCGCGAGATCCAAGACCCCTTTCTTGCAAAGCCGTTTCATCACCATGTCCGGACCAGATTCTAAACCCTGAACGCAAAACGAGTTTCTAACCTGCCAATTTGCTCTGGCCACGCAGTTCTTCCACGCGGCGAGCGACAAGAGCCGCCAGCTGGAGGCGCATCATTACTGCAGCCACCTCACGGACGAGTTCATCCAGTGCGTCCTCTACGACTCGTGAGCAAAGCGTCTTGATTCCTTTCCTTTGTCTCTTTCAAACTTATAGAAAATTATCAGACTGGATTGCGAATCCGCCTTTCGCTTTCTGTGTTATGTCGATGGGGTCTGCCCGCCCGGTGGGCTGCCAGAAGAAGCAGAAGTTTCACGAAAGAACGAAGAGTTGTCCATTCTCAGCTCTCCGTTTCCTTGTTTTTCCAAAAAGTTCTGTGGAGAGCAGGGTTTAGAGCTCCGTTTGATATGCCGACCTTCACGGCACGCCCCTCTCTGTGGGCTAGAAATCGATGATAACCAGTAGTCGTGACAACCAATAGTCATTGCTAACATTCGAAGGAGCGTATACTGTTGTTTCGGTAAGACGATCCGAGTCCTGACCCGCAGGGACAACATGGACGCCCCAAGTCATACCTTCGTTTTGATCCTAACCCGGAATTCAACCCGCAGGACAACGACTTTTGCGAGCGACTGTTCGGCGCCCCGTTTTTAGCCGTTAATTGTTGGCACCCATTTCTTGACGTGAATTTCTGAGCTTAAAGAGAACCCAGGAAATGACCCTCATCATATCGTAGCCGTGAACCCTCAGGACGACCCCCACGCGCTCTGATCCACGTGGACTACAATTGCAGCGAGCGACTGATCGGCGCATCGACCTCGGCGGTTGAAGAAAAAAGTATTTCGAATCCGAAGTGGCGACCATATCTGTGGCGATTTAAAGCCTCATGGTTAATAGTAACCCAGAGCTTGACCCGCAGGGACGACTCCGACGCGCGGCTGATCGGCGTGGACTGTTTGGCGCATCGATTCAGCCATCAACGTGTCAATCCTAAGTATTGGACCTCAGTTTCCGGCTACCCAGATCATGACGTTCATATTAAGACAGTTCTTAACTCTCGGGACGACCCCGACGCGCGGCTGATTGGCGTGGAGCACATCTGCAGCGAGCGAATATTCGGCGCATTGAAAAAAAGCTATAACCTGTAAAACGAAGTCAACTGTGGAAACACACTGAAACCCTCAGTTTGCCTCGACCCGAATCGTGACCGGCATCATAACCCAAATATGCAGGGACGACCCCGACGCGCGGCTGATCGGCGTGGAGTACATTTGCAGCGAGCGGCTGTACAAGAACCTGCCGGACCGCGAGAAGAAGCTGTGGCACACGCACGTGAATGACGTCAGCGGGGGGACCATGATCGCGCCACGTGCCTCGCGCGACCAGGAGCGGGACGAGCTCAAGGAGATTGCCAAGACGTACGGCAAGGCGTGGATGACCTGGAACGTAAGTACCTGGGAATCCAATACTGATTTTGATACTGGTTTCAATATTGGTTTGAACATTGGTTTGAATATTGGTTTGAATATTGGTGTGATCTGAAAATGGATGACCTGGAACGTAATTATCTGGAATGTCGGTATTAATTTTGACACAGGCTCGAAAGACTGGTTTCAATATTGATTAGATTTGATTCAATACGGGCTCCGCAGAATCAAAAGTGGATGACCTGGAACGTGAGGGCGCGCAAAATCGAGAATGACTTTCATACGGTCTTCGCAGAATCGAAAAAGGAATCTGGTTGTGAATACGACAAGGCGTGGATGACCTGGAATGTAAGGCGCTAGAAGCATGGATTTGATTTCGTAAATTGGGCTTTGATCTGGGTGTCCAAGCGGCGCATTGGCGGCGTATTTTTGTGAGATCGGTGAGTGGGGGAGAAAGTCGGTATTATAATTGTTTGCACGGCAGAGAAGTTGCGTGGAATATCAACGAGGTGCTGCGGAATGCCCCGCCGCTGAACGGACTTCGATTCCACACGACCCCGGAATTGAGCTAGGAAGACCGCAAGCAATTATAAGCCATAAACTGTTAGATGACCTTTACGAATAATTTGACTCTAAGTCTGGACGTGGTGACGGTCTGATCCTGAAGCCTTCCGGCCGAAGTGGGCGCTCCGCAACTCTTCGAGACTTATGCACAGAAAACGCATTCTGAGAAACGTGCGCGAAAACCAGGAGGAAAGAAGATGACAGAAACAGAAGCTGACGAAAGAATTTTTTCTCTTATGCAGAAAGATCGCGGCGACGCTCTCCCGGTGGGCGCCCCGGCGCTGCACAGAAATCGAAAAGCGGGGGTAAGATGAAAGAGTAAAAAAGAAAAAGAGAAAACTTGTTACGTATCAACGCAGATTCCATGTACAGGGTCGGAATCGCGGCGACGCGCTTCCGGTGGATGGCCCGGCGCTGCACAGAAGACAGAAAGCGGGGGTGAAAAAACATAGCGAGATGACTTGAGTGACCATTGATGAAAATCTAACGTCCCTCCATAGGTGAATCGCGGAGACGCTCTCGCGGTGGGCTCCCCAACGCTGCGCAAAACCAAGAAAGCGGTTGTGGAAAGGAAAAATAGGAAAGAAAAAGACGACGAACCGATGTATATCTGAGATTCATGTGCAGATAGATCGCGGCGACGCTCTCCCGGTGGGCGCCCCAACGCTGCGCAAATGAGAAAGGCAGCGCGGGGGAAAATGAAAGTTGGGGGGGGAAAAGAAGAGGAAAAGAAGGAAAACTAAAGAAGGAAAGAAAAATAATGAATAAAATTTCATTTGCAGATCGATCGCGGCGACGCTCTCCCGGTGGGCGCGCCAACGCTGCTGATGTCGTTCACGGAGAACCGGCACATCGACCCGACGCTGGTGGAGTCGCTGCTGAAGAAGTACGGGGGCGACATCGAGGACAACATCAGAGACCGGGAGGACATCCCCGGGCCCGACGAGGTAACTAGAGCGAGGGCTTTTCTCTTTTCACGAGTTCAATGTGCTAGCGTCGCTGATTGGCTAAAAATAGGACGGGGGCGACATCGAGGACAACATCAGAGACCGGGAGGACATCCCGGGGCCCGACGAGGTGACTAGAGCGGGAGCTTAAGCATTTCTCTTCAAAGCGGGCGATTTGCTTGCGTCGCGGAATGGCTGCTAAACTTTCTCAGAGAAAGCGAGAACAACATGAGAGACCCGGAGGACGTCCAGGAGACTCGACGAGGTAATTAGAGCGAGGATAAGAACTGTTTATCTGCTTCTCAAGTGGGCAGTTAGCCAGCCTTTTGTCTGCGCGATAGGATGAATACTCCAGGGCCTGAAGGGGTGAGAGGAGCGAACACTGTTTTTCGACTCTGTTTGGGGAGTATGTCAGCGTTACTGACTCGGTTGTCATTGCTGATCGGAGTGCGCGAGAGGCTCCTGCTTTCGGCTTCGTTTGCTCATCTCCTATCATTCCGCTTCTCCAAAGTTGTAGATTGGAGGTTTGTTGCCTGCTTCTTCGCTCTGCTCAATCATTTCGACTCTCTTTCACGGGGCTCAACGGAACGGGACGCTTTGACCACTACGAAAAGTAATTTGCGTACCGGGAGCGGGACGTCCTTAGCTTGTTACGAAACAAGGCCGTCCGCGGAATTGTTGCGCACCAGACTGATTCTGTCTGGAACAGTCCTTCAACGTCCAAATCGCAGGGCGTCAAGCAAACCGGTTTGGGAGCAGTCGTCCTTCGGTTCATCGAAGCCCATGGGTTTCATGTGCATATGCTTCTCGGCAGAAAACGTAGGCTTCTCAGAGAAATCTTGAAAAGAGAAAGGGCCTTTCTAATGAATTCAAGACTGTGTACTGTGAGTCAAAAGCAGGGTCTCTTCTTTTGGTTATTGATAAGCAGTTTGGCTTTCAAAAGATAACGGGTTGATTTGAAAGAATCGTAATATCAAACAATTTCTCTCTTGCAGGGCGTGAGTCCGAACAGCAACTGCGGGCAGGACGGCTCCGGCGTGGGCGTCGGCCTGTACGAGATCGACGTCATTCCGGTGCCCATCGCCATTCCGGTTGCGGTTCCGGTTCCGGCCGACCAGCTACCGGACGACGCCAATAAGGATCAGGACCAGGGGGATCGGGATGGCTTCCTGAGACGCTGAGCAGAGCCGGCTGGCTTCCCAGTCTAGTTACATGGAAGGTCGAGCGAGGTAGCATCTTCGGCTGGACTTGCGGTTAAGGTGATGTTCAGTGGAAAGGATTAAGGCATTATCGTAAATATGCAGATTAATGACTAGTTCGATGCGATTCAGTGCTGTTTAGCGTGCGGCCCAATGATTTAGAAAGGGCGTCTAGGTGTCTGAATGAAGAAGTGCCATGGGTAAAAGCTAGGATTAGGCTACCAGTAAAGTTCTGCAAGCAGCTTAGACGCTGAGAGTCGGCCTCAGTGAACTCAAGTTCTCCGATCATTTTAATGGCATGGTCAGATAAAGAAGTCGCAAGACGCGACTGATTTTGGAGATGACCGTGGCAGCTTTGAAGGTCAAAGACGCTCATTGCTTTTTGCATTCGTACTGACTTGTGAGTCGACATATTCAGGCTGGAGCACCTGTTCACTAGCCTAATGATAAAAGCGAGGAGTCCATACACATGCATAGCTTAAATTGCATGACCCGCTGAACTTGATCGAACGTTTTGGCAATATATGCGACATATATGGTGCACTTTGCCAATTATGGTGTCATGGCACTGAACAAGACTGCGGCAGGATCGACATCATTGCAATCGCGGTACACGATGGCCCTGAGCCTCCGGCCGGTACTAAGCTGAGATCGGTGCCCGGCCTGGCCTGATCGCACTTTCAACTGGCAAAGCACATGCATAGATCATGCTAGCTCCGGCCATGGCCGAGACGGCTCGTCATTGCGTATATGAGTCTGCATATTTCACGGTCAATTGGGGGCTGGCCCTGGCTCGAAGCAGTGCTACTTTACACGGACGGTTATGCATGACTGAAACAGTGCAGTTCCAGAATGCACTGTTTCCGAAGTCCGTGGCCGAAGGGATCTGTTCCTGTCCGGTAAAAAGGCGGAATAGTACCATGATAGCATGGCCATCAATTTGACGGGCTACCAAACGACCCATCAATACATTTTGCTTGATTGCCACAGAATAAGTCGTGGTCACATTACTTAAGCACGGAAAGAATAACGCCGCACTTTTACGTCCTGCGACTGATCAGGATGACCTTCAATCCTCAGTTTACTGTAGCTGCTGCCGCCTTACAACTACAACCTACATCTCCAATTGCAGTATAGAGCCTCTCTTCAGAGTTTCAATACCTTGACAGTCCAATGTCAATGTGCATCCTACATACTTATGCTTTCTCTCCTACTTGGCGAATGCCTGCAGATCTGAGAAATCGTATTGTGCCCCCGGGGCGTCCTTTTTCGCAGGCCCGCTGGGTACCGCTGCGGGTGCTTGGGGCTGATATTGCTCGGGCCCGCCAAGGCCTCCTAGAGGGCCGCCCGCCTGTGCCGGACTGTAGGGGCCCGCGAAACCCGGTTGATGGGCAGCATAGAACCTGCAGAAAGGAACTCATCTTTGCACAACGAGGGCGTGACTAAATCGAGAGAAAAGACCCAATCAATCATTACCGCACGCCGTTCCACAAGATATGTGCAACTGGCCGGAGCAGAACGGACCTTCTCTGAGACTCGACAGCGGCTTCAGTCAGCGATGAGTATGGTGTCCATGTCCCAAACCGCATTGGCCAATGAATCTTATGACTACCGCCCCGATTTGACACGAAGTCATTTGCATCGAAAGTAAGTCGGGATTTTCCTGCCCATTGTACCGATCATACCCGGACTGTCTCCGGAGGTCGGCCGTCTTGGTGGCTGCCGGAAGAAGAACGCAACGAAAGAGCTGTGCTCACCCTGGAAAGCCTGCCGGTGGCATCCCCTGGGCGTATGGAGCGAAACCCGGCATCATCCCTGGCACGAAAGGACCCCCCTGGAAGAAGATGGCGCACAACAGAGTCAGGCGAGGCACACTATCGGAAGGTGTAAAGTATGATAAACACCTGCTCACTATCCTAACTAAACGCTGCTTGGATGCCCCAGTCGGCGTTGCGCGTCCGAAGCTAAGTCGTCCTCAACGTACAGAAAAGCATAAAGTTGACAACGTACATCGAAGGCAGGAACCGAGAAACCGGTGCCTGGAGGGACCAATAGTGACTGCTATTCAGCGCCTGCTGGAACCAAACCCAGGTCAAAACTCCTGACCCATCTTGACCCGTGCCCCCACAGACTCCACTTACTCACACAAAGGTTTGGCAACAACCTAGTTGTCCTTTTGATTACAGAAAATTCCACGCGTACCTGTGGGATTGGCCCGGCCTGGAACGCAGTGGGTGCAGCAAAAGGGTTGACGCCCTTAGTCGCAGGCGGTGAGTGAGGGGGCGAGTGGGGGGGCGACTGTGGCGGGGAGAACTGAGGGGGTGAAAAGGTGCCGTTTTGCACGAGGGGGCTCGGGGGCGAAAACGTGCCATTGGGCATCGGTGCGAATGGGGGCGAGCCGGGGGCCGCGTGCACGGGGGACAGCGGGAGGGGCAGCGGTGGCATCGGCTGGAACAGTGGTAGAATGGACCGTGTGAATGTGCGGTGAGTGGAAAATGTGCAACAGATGCGTGAGTGTGAAAAAGCGCTTGGAGATCCGAGGCTTGTGTCAATGTGCCAATGCGTGCATGAGTGCGGGCCATGTGAGTGGTGATTGGGTGAGCTGTGAATGCTACGCTCAGTGGGGCGGCGTGAGTGCCAGTGAGGGTGAACTTGACGGCGTGTTCTCGTTAGAACGCTGACATAGAACCAACCGTCTGGCCTCTTGTGTTTTTCCGACGTCAGGTTCGACACCGTCACTGGGTCGGCCTAGAAACTTCCGCACAATCATACATCGACGCAGAACCAGGTGCGATTTAAGTAGACCCTCGTATGCCGTCCCCCCAGCCCAAAATTCAAAGCTGTTGGCCAGTATCGAAAACGGTCAAATCGAACGCAGAAGACCAAATTCTGACACCACCTCACCACGGGCATATGGCTCGACGACGGCTCCGGCGAAGCGTGCGCCCCCGGCTGAGGGAACATGCCGGGCATGCCCCCTGGGACGACACCTGGCATTGCTCCTGAAACGACACCTGGCATGGATCCGGGCACGACACCTGGCATAGCGACACCTGGCATCGCGCCAGGGTAGACACCTGGCATGCCGCCCATCTGCTGCTGCTGCATATACATCATCTGTTGCTGGAGCTGCGCCTGTTGGGGGTTCATGAATGGGGAGCCCTGTAAGAATGGGAAAAGACAGGTGTGAAAAGGGGCATTAAGTGTTGTGTTCCATATGCCAACTGGGTAACTGGACGGGCCCAAGATGGCCTGTTGGCGACTCATTACAAAGGTAAGAGCCTGAAGTGACCAAACGATACTTAAAAACAAGAGCCTATTCTCCACCCTCGGTGGCTTCTCTGTCTGGATGTCGAATCAGGAGCCTCCTCCGAAGCTTGGTCCTCTGAGCACGCCCAGCGCCGCCTTCATAGTTCAACTGGCGGATCTAATCCTTAAGCTCTAGCGCTACTCTGTACCTTGTCAGAGGCACGTCCCCCGTGACTCGAGTAATTCCCAGTCGCTCACCTGATCGAACAGGCTCATAATGTCAGTAGCGTTCTTCTTCGGCTTCTCAGGCGTGGCGGCGGCGGGTGCTGACGTGGCAGGGCCGCCAGGTGTCGAGGCAGTGAACAGGTCGGTCAGCGCGGACATTGTGCTGGCAGGCACGCCAGCGGGTGCTGACGTGGCAGCTGCAGAGTGAAGGAAAGAATGAGTCGTCGATAGATGTACTGAAAAGCTGGTTGGCAGCCACCATCTTCGGAGGAACAGCCAACAGAACCAAGAGGCAAAACCAGGAGAAAGTTTGAGCTTCCAAAAGACAAGAGTGTAAACACGCCACGAGAAAGCTTTCCTGCGTCGACAGATACCCTGGACATCATAAGCATTGTAAGTATTCAGGCAAGAACCCAAAGTCTTTCGACTTGTCCGTTGATCGTTGGACCGAAAGTATGCTCCTTCTGAGCATCTAATAGTTTACGAGGGGCTTCAAGTTTTCAATCTTGAGGCCCCGTCCATGCTATGAAGCCAGGACTTACGTGCGGTTGCGGCGGCACTCGGGGCCGCCGCAGGCGCTGCAGCCTGTCCTGGCTCCGGGAACGCGGCCCACCCCCCCGCATTCGCCGCAGGCGCAGCAGCGGGTACTGGGGCCGCTGTCGTATTCGAAGTAGGGGCCTTGGGCGGAGAGTCCGCCAGGCTGAGAAGGTCCATAAGCGCGGGGGCGGACTCCACTTTTGGGGGGGGCGCGGTCGAGGTGGCAACGCGGGGGGCGGGGACAGCGGCGGCAGGCGAGGCAGCGGCGCGAGGGAGCGGGACCCTAGGGGAAACAGAACGGAGGTTGTGAGCAGAATGGAATCTGGCGATTCTGACCACAGAAAAAATGCGGGATTCTACCCCTTAAAAGAAAAACAGGTTGGGAAGAGACAACATGAGGTCAAATGCTACAATGTCCAGTATCTTATATTGCTTCCAGTCTGCAAAAGGCGACCAAGAGCTGGTCATCCTCTAAAAACGATATGAGACTCCAATGATTTAGAGTAGTGACCTGAGCGTGATTAAGATGATACAAAGCAAACCGTGAGGATTAGTAGGATGGACGACAAGACACATCACGAGCAAACTCCTAGCCAGCTGCATAGTCCAAAAATTGCAACTCGGTTCTTGCCACGACTGGCGGCCAAATAGAGTCTGTCATCAAGGAGAAGAAGCTGTGTTATGACTAAATGCGTTCTGTCTTACTTGACTGCCATAGTTGGTCTTGCAGGCGCCGCTTGTGACGGCCCTGCGCCCCCTCTGCGCTCCTCATGCTGGGGAGGTCTGGAGGCGGGCCCGTGATCCGAGTTGTAGCCTCCTTCGTGCCGGGAGGCGGGCCGGTCCTCCTTCGAGCGGCGGCGCTCTCGCGCAACGAAGGCCTTCCGTTCATACCTGACATCAATTGCTCACTCGACTCAGCAATATGTGCGCCATGATGCCAGAACCAAAGAGCAAGGAATTGCAAGCTTTCGTGCAACCCTCAACATCCTTGAGACTAGTACCGACCTCTGATGTGTTTGAATGATGCTCACAATTTCACCATGCTTGCAAAGTAGGGGAAGACGACGGGTTGACAGAGACCACAGGTACCTCAGGTTCAGGAACCAGGCTCTTTGCGTTGGGTACCTTGTCAAGCCCTTTTGCTTACGATTCACAATTGAGGCCACATTCGATTCTCAATCAATAATCATGCAGGCACGCAAGGCCCAAACCAACCAGCCTGCCAGAGCAAAGTACAAGCGTCTCGACCAACGGACCGAGCTGCACGCTTCTTGTGGCAACTTACTTGGCACGAATGAAGCTCTCTACAGCCGGCCGGTCCTGCTCGCTGGGCCTCTTGAAGTTACTCGGCAATTCCGCCTCCCAATACTCGTTCGCTTTCTGGTTCCCCATCGCTGGAAAGCGGGAATGATGTAAGTCAGTCCTTTGTCGTCTTCATATGCCTGCTCATTGAGGGCGTAAATCGCTCAGCGGGGACTCGCGACCCCGAGCCACCACCATCACTACTGGATTGGTAGAAGATCCTTGCGACCTAGGAGCGAGAATGCAATCCTGAACCCATCTGTTGTCGATATAAATCCAGATCTGACTTCCAGACCTGACTTCTATATGCACCATACGCGTCCATGAAATGAGCACTTTTGCAGGGGCGCCGAATCCCATGCCTACTGTTGGCCAATTTTTGCTTGAGGACTCTGTTGGCAACCATCACAGGACTCTGGAGACTTCTGATGGACTTACACTGAATGAATGCAACTTGATCGGGCAGCCATGTGTCCAACGTCGCAGAGCGGACCTGCATGACCAAAGAAGCACCACATTTTTGGGACAATCCTATTGATCCTTGAGACAATTGTTGGTACGGAAGATGATGCTCCTTGTCCTTCTAAGAATTTCAATCCTGTAACCTCTCAACATTGATGAGGTCGGTTCAGAGAACGGGAGTGCGATCCGAAAGGGCTTGCTCTAGACTACAGATCCTTGAGTTGACTTTGCGCTCCAAGCGTTACAAATGATTCCAATATTTTTGCTCACCTGCGAAATGTGGACTCCCAGGCTCCGATGAATGCCAGAGCACTGAATGCAAAGGAAAACCCCAAGGTTGACGCTGGCCCATCTTGGACCCCTGTTGGAGAATAAGCAACACTTAGAGGGTGTTCTGTCGGATGGTCGCAGAACCCTAAATGCCATTAGTGAGTTCCTCTTCTTGATGACTAAGTTTCGGGTCTCAAAACTTGACAGGGTTCTCAAAGTGTGTTGCCACCACAACCAACACAGGACTCCTGCATATCATGGTTCCTCAGAGTTGCTGCTGTTGGCATTCAATTGTAGATTTCCACTGTGGTCTGCTGAAATGAAAAGGTGAACCGGCATTGCCAATTGGTCTCACCAAATGAGCATCTTACATAATCTTCGATGCAAGCCTTTCGGAAATTGTCCTCACTTAACAAGACCTGCAAGACCACTGCCGCCTCTCTCCGTCCCCGAGAGGGATGCAACAAAACTGGGCACATGTGCATTCTCACCTGCTTCCACAATCGGCGCAGCACCGATTCTCAGGCTGCTTTAGGAGAGCATCAAGAATCTGCATGACGATTGTGACATGTGGTCATAAGGATGGAACCTCAGTGCAAGAGCCAGCACTCCAACCGCAGGCGTCAGCAATTCATCTTGCACCAATATTTGATAAACACTTGGATTCTTGACACAGCATTCCACAAGACTCTGGAGAACATTTGCATTCTCATGTCCTTCTGCCAAGGTCACATTGGAGGAACACCCCTACGATAACAACAAGCACAACCAATCTGAGGCAGGTATTACCTTCTTATGGCGCTCATGCTGCTCCTTTGTCACGGAGTTCTTATCGGCCACCATTTTCAGTGAATTGTCCCCTTTCCCTGTCAATCCGCTGGCATGCAAAGCGGACGGTTGAGGTTCCCCGCAAATCACACACGATCCTGGTCTAACAACCCAAACCCATGCAGCGGCACCAGCACAGACCCTTCTCAGGTACGGCACCAGAAGTTGAGAACCTTGGCCCGTTGTCCTCTTTGCTTCTTTCGCCTCTGTCCTGCCCTGCTGCGAAGACAAGAAATTTTAAGGAAGGCTCAGGTCCCTGGCACAGGGGTACGCAGCTAAGGAAGGCGCCGCACTCCCCTGATCAGAGCCAGTCAACCATGTCAAAGGCTACTGCATGGTACCGTACTCAAGCCCAGGCCCAGGGCCAGGGCCAAGGACACGATCTGCGCTGTAGCCTGTGCAGCACCACAGCAGGCTGCGGACTAGAGCGAGCTTCTTTTCTAGACCCAAAAACGTAAGTGCCCGGATCAAGCTTAAGGTTACGCCGGGGACTCACTGCTCACGCAAAAACTGTGGTTTTGACAGGACCGGTAAGCTTCTCCGGGCGGTGCCCAGGTTTGATTTTGCGTATAGGTACCTAGATTATGCTTCATAACCTATAAGGTATACCGTACCCCTGGTGAAAATTAGGGTTTGCCTGAATCAGCAAACATGCAGGCCCTCCAGCTATCCGTGGCGCATGGTGGCGTGTAGAAGAGCGAGTTGGTGGTGCTTCTAAGTTCCTCAATTGTGTGCCAAAATGGGTTCCTACGACGAGAGGCTGTACACCTCAGCTCCCAGCACGGCCCCTGCGCCTGGCGGGATCCGCACGGATCAATCCTTTGCCCTCTTCATGCTGTTCAACATACCCGTGCGCGTCTCCTACTTCTTCCCAATTGTCATAGTCCTTGCAGTTCTTGACGGGCTGAGCGAGGGCTGGATGTCAATTCTCTGGTATGTCACGTTGTTTGGTCCGCTCCTCTTTGGCACCGTTTTGGTACACGAGTTTGGGCACTCTTTGGCATGCCTCAAGCTGGCCAACGGCCATGTCGACCAGATCCTTCTCTGGCCGCTGGGGGGTCTAGCGTACTGCGGGCATGGTGGGTCTCCAATCGACGACTTTAAGGTGAGTTGACTGGCTTCCTTGTGAAAAGACTGTTCTGCTTCAGAATAGGAAGCCATTGCTTTTTCCATTTCAAAGATGATGCTAGCTGGAATAAGCATTACAACATAGACACATCAGTGGGGGAGCTCCTGAAAAGTAGTGAAATGAAGCAACAGATGATGAAGTTTCGACATGCTGCCAGCATGCGATGGCTTGGCCATCCATGTCAGCTAAGGTATTGGTATGGCTGGTTCGTCTGCTTTTTTCTTTTTGCTCCACCGGAATTCCCTCCAACTCAAGCCAGGTGATCTCCTCTTCTAGGTTGCCATATGCGGGCCTCTTACGCACATACCGCAGACAGCGATCTGGCTGGCCATCCTTGCAATCTCCCGGCCGGACGACGTGTCGCTGAACGTGTATGCTCCGGTGGGGGACCATTTCTGGACAAACTTAGTGGCGGCAGCCATCATGTGAGCTATTCCTTGCTTTCCTCCCCCCTTCTAACTCCGCTTGTTGGGTTCATTGTCCTCCACATTCGCTGTTTGACACCCTGAAGGAGACTTCAAACAGCCTTCAAACATGGGTTTGGTTCTCTGCAATTGTTTCGTGTGCCTTGCTTGGGACGCCCACATTTGCAGACGTGGAGATTATCAAAGGCAATACAGATCACCGGCATCTGCACGCAGGTTTCTTCAGATTCGTTGTGCGGGCAATTTCGCACATGTATCAGTTTCCTTGTGGTTGCTCTGACTTCTAACCACTAGGATTGGACAACTCACACTCTGCGTATGAGAGTCGAAAAAGAAAGTCTTTCTTGGCAAGAAAAGGAATCTTTAGACGTGCCGAGACTTAGTTCGATTTGTCGCTGCAGGGTCAATATTGCGCTCTTCTGCTTCAATCTGCTGCTTCCTGCCTACCCACTTGACGGTGGCCGAATCTTGGCCGACTTGTTACTCTCATGTGGAGTCTCTTCGAAGGTTGCTGCGATCGTCACACTTTGCATAGCCACTCCTATCGCCGTCTTGATCGTCATGTATGGAATCTATAATGTTGCTATCATGACGATAGCCGTTGGAGTCTGGGTCCTCTTCCAGAACTTCAGCCTTGCAGTGCTTGTCCGGAATGGACAAGTCGACCAACATCCTCTGTTCAGAGGAGTACAAAGTGGCACAGTCAATCAAGTCGACTTACCACCCATTTAGAGATGTAGCGATCGAGCAATTGCCGACCTTGTACAAACTGACTGATGAAGAACTTTCAGGTGTTCAATGCTTCTCTGTCAAACGGTCGACCTGTTGTGCTGCAAGTCGATGCAAAGCATGGTGCATCTCAAATGAAAATCTCGTTTTTGACCTCAAGCAAGTCCTCGCGAAGTGAATGGCGAGTCAGGCTCATTGACGGCACTGTACCATCTGAAAGGCTTCCAATGCACGTGAGTCTGATATGATACATGGGCCCTTCAAAAGTTTGAGGGGCGGCAGCCCAATGCAAGGTTTATAAGCGTTTTAACGCTTAACCAAGCACGTACCACGATGTTCACTAGCTCAGATGATTTTGTATACAGCAGCAACATATGACGAATGGTCAAAGGCCGCATATAGCTGATGGAACTTGATGATATCAGATCTCGATATTAAGTGGACATCATGGGCAGCCTCGGTTGGTATTAGCTGAGCTATAGCTCAGCTATATAGCTGCACTTTGACAATGCACTCATGTGCATTTCAAGTATACCTTCGAGTACTACATGAGTCCCTTGGCTGCCGTGCCATGCAATTGTTCGTTCATGCTGGCAACGTACGCACATGTTCCTATGCGACCCATGCATCATGAGCTAGATTGTGCACGTCATGACCGTCGGCACCGGCACACGGCACTGGTGAATCTTAAAACATTAGTATATGGCGGGTCTCATCTGCATGACCCTTAAGGATTCCATGGCCCTCATGCATACAAAGTAACCAACATACTGCGCAGCATTGCTATGGGGCACGCATGAATGCAGCTTGCCAGTTCAACCCGGCCATCGCCCCAATTGCTGTTCGAGCAAAGTACGACACATGCCAACGCCTCCAGGCGCGGATCTGAGTTTGATTGAGTCAACTGACACCACAGTACCATGCAAGCTGAGTCCTTGGATGAGCCAGGCAATACCAAACCAACTTCGGCCGTACTAAAAGTAAACGACATCTGGAGGACGTCGTGATATTCTACAATCCGCATAGTTGCCCGCTTCGCAAACGGACCTAAGACACGCCCGTCTTTGCTACCTGTACAACTTCACAACCGCGACTCGATCCTCCCAGCGCAAAGTTACAGAGCCTTGCTTTTACTCAACTGGATGTGAATCGCAACACAGATTTCTAAGATCCTACTCACTCCACTTACACGACTCAACTATCTCTTTACTTCTCGCCCTCTTCAAGCAGAATTTAAGACATGGCTCAGTCCTCAGCTAGGACGTCCCCACGATAAGCACACTTGACTATCAGCGCGGCCCCACTTTGCTATACCACTCGGTACTCGACTATGCGCTAAGAGTAGCAGGTGCAGACGCTAAGGAAGCTAATGACCGTTCCGCTTCCAGGATATCGAAGTCGGCACTCCCCAGCAAATTCGCACCTCCTTCTTCAATGATCATGTCCTGGACAGAGCAAGCAAGAGTTTGTGTTATCCATGCAACCGGTATACCCATACCTCATCAGACGTCAGTGTTTGTTCTTTGTCGCCTCGTCATCTCGGCATGTGTTGTTTCAGGACTGCGAGCTTCCGCAAATACGTAAAGCCTTCCCAACCATGTGAGCCTCCCCGTGCTGCCACACAAAATGGTCCACAGTCCACTAATGGCTACACACTTCGTGAACAGCAGGCACGAAGGGAGAGGAAAACCGCAAAAGGCGACAGGAAAGCTGCCAACTACTGTGCACAAGGTGACTCGCCAAATGCCCCCGATTCAACGGACCAGCTGGTGGACGCAACAAGCGAACCTTCTGGAAGCGCAGAGAGACCTTTCCAAGAAGACCTTTCTGCACACGGCAACGCTTACCTCATCGAAGTCGCTGCTGTCGTCCTCCTCTTCCAGCGCCTTCTTCGCCTCTGCCAGGCCCGGCACTTCGTCGTTCTTGGCGAAACGGCCCCGAATCCGGGGCCGGCTGTCCGCTAACGTCTTTCGGCAGACGTACTGCACAGTCAGCAACGGACTTCGTGTCAGCGCCTAAGAAGCCACGAGCTCCTCGCAGACAGAGCAGCAACTTTACTGGTAGAGTAAGAATACCAATCCCCTTCGAGAGAAGCGAAGAGGCGCTTCTCAAAGCGCATTAAACGGAGTTACTCTCGGCAGCGCCCTCAATTTTGGCTCACTTCCTGCCGGAAGCAATCTCAAGATTTGAAATAAAGTGTTTGGTGAGATTAAAACGTGGGGTCGAAAGGAAAATCTGGGTGAACATTCCAGGCACGTGGTTTTCGCGGCACTCGTTATGCCAACAGCGATGAGAGTGAGTGACGTCGGCCAGAAATGTGTTCAGCAGTGCGTACCCGTTACGCGACTTGGGCCAGAGCAAACCCTATCAGTACAACACTGAGCAGTCCAAACCCTCATTTGAGAACTACGATCATGATGCACCTCTAGACCTCAATGAATCGACATACCCCAACCAACGTACCTTGATCTTTTTATTGTAGTTGCGCTCGTTCCGCTTTTGCCTGTACCGTTGGATGCGCATCTTTCGCTCCTCAATCGTGTACCGCCCCACCTTGAAGTCGTCGTAATGCAACCCCGTTGTCGCATCCCCGTTCTGAGCGGGCCGGTTCCACGACTGAAGAAGCAGAATGTTCCAACATTTCAGACAGACCCTTGAAAGATAGAATTCTGACTTTCAGCGGGGGCAGTGGTAGGATTGCTGATGTGGAGAGTTTCGAGATGTTACGTTGACATTGTGGCTGTTCATTTTTCCTGTTTCGTACTCTAATCAGGCCACTTCATCATTCGAAAGAGCTATTTTGTCCAGAATGGCTATCACACACAACAGTATCTAGCTAGACGATGTCAGGAGACGAGGAGTTGCTTCGAATTAAGTTGCAAGCACAAGGACCGACCTGGATGTCCCCAGTACTTTGCACCCGTCTCATCCCCGCAGCACCTATGGCGCTTGGTTGCCGCACTGGCATGCCCCCGAGCCCCTGGTTGGGAATCTGGTATGGGGCAGACGTGTCGAGCCTGCAAGTCGCGGAAATTGTTGCATGTTACACAGAATTACATTAGATGGGAAGAGCGGAGCAATGAAGGTGAAGAGGGCAATAATTGACAAAGCGTCTGGCAGAGTAGCACATAGCGCAAGTACCCAACCAACAGAAGGACCCATTCCCTCCGTCTGAGTTTTTCTGGAAGCCTGGATTTTCACAGGAAACTTTGGAATAGCGACAAATCAACAGTCTACTCAACCACACAACCTGCCGAATGGAGAGACGTACAGGACAGCGATCAGTCCCGTCATGTTCAGGCATACCCGACTGCGCGCTCCACAACTCAACCATTACGAGCTGGAAGTTGACATCATGTTTAGCCACAATAACCAGCAGGCCGACATTGGCGACTATTTCACCTGCCCAAGGAATACCCTGACGTCCAAGAAAGAAAAGGGCAACAATGTAGTCGGACAAAAGCAAGCAACCGAATTCCATCAAGGTCTGCTTACTGCTGCATGCGGGAGGCGTCCACCATCGGCGCCCCCCCCGCCATTTGTAGCTGCCCGAGGGAGTGGCTCGACTGGCTCCGCTGAAGGGCCGACATCCCGTGACCCCCTCGTTGCTGCATGGGGGGTAACGGCCGCAGCACATCCCCGTTCGCATCTACCTGCGCCAGCAAGTCTTCCGACGCCACCCTGGGAAAGCCCGGGTTACCCCCCTGAATGTATTGCACGGGCATGTAGACCGCGTGCGATGTCGGCAGGGGGGGACGCGCGTGCTGGTCAGGAACAGTCGGCGAGCGGGGGGGCTTCTTGTCTCCCGGAGGTGAAGCCCTCCCCGAGTTGGTGTCCCCCCCTGAGTGCGTCCGGCCCCCCGGCTTCATTCTAGGGGAGGCGAGGCCTTCTTCTGTTTTGACGCGGGGGTGGGGGGAGCGAGGAGTCATGGGACCACTAACCCTAGGAGAGACGGGGGCCGTGACATGCAGGGGGGCGAGGGGCGACTGGAGAGGGGGTGGGTTCAGCTGCATCGACGTCGGGTTCAGGTGCACTGGGGTGGGGCTCATCTGAAGCGGGGTCGCGCCCGGGGGGCCCATGGGTGCGTAATACTTCCCGTTGAGGGCTTGGTCTACGGGAATGGGGGCAACCGCCGAGTGATACGCCACCCCCCCGGGGAGCGATTGCAACTGCACCGGATGAGGCATCGCATACATTACGGGGGGGGCACCTGTGCGAGGGGGGAGCATGTACGGAGGCCCTGGACGGGGGGGGGCGAGGAACACGATGTGCTGGGGGGGTTGACCCTGCGCATACAGAAACTGCGCTTGCTGCAGGGTTTGGAGTTGTTGCTGCTGCGCTTGGAGCTGCCTCGCTTGCGCCTGCAACAACTCCTGTTGCTGCTGGTATTGCATGTGCTGGTTCTCGAGCGCCATCCTGTCAAACTGCTCCATTGTGGCCGCCGTCGTGCTGGGGGGGTGCGGGTCCTGCTGAACGTACCCCCCCATTGGGGCCATCCCGGGGTACTGGAACATTGGCCCACTGCTCATCGGCATCATGCCGTTCCCATACAGGGGGGGCATCTCTTGCTTGGGTCCTGCGCCCCCTTGAGGATTACTCTCCGGATTTGACCTCCCGGAGTGCGAAGACTTGCTCTCCACCTCTAGTTCTTCATGGTGGCCGAGACTCTGGAGGAAGTGGTCCTCCTCCAGGTTTAGGGGGTCACTTACAAGGCCGCCATAGTTTCCAACAGGAGCCTGCAAAGAAGAAACCCAGTCAGGGATATTCTAGCTTCTGGCACAGTCATCCTCTTTGGATTTGAGGATGGACCCTGCGTCAAATTTACCCCTTGTGAGGCCTTTTTAGGAGAAAGGTTCCAAGGTAAAGTGTATAGGCAGGCAGCCATGTGAAATGGATTCAACAAAGGGGGATGGCTATGCACGTTTTGGTTCCTCCCCTAGGCCATGGCGAAGCTCAGAGAAAGTACGGCACTTCTAAACGAAAAGTCTCCAAAGACCTCGGTGGTTGGGGCTTTCCGATGGCAATCTATTTCCGGGCATTTTGTAAACAGCCAGAAGCTCTGCCAGAAAATTTTCCCTCAAAACCTCCACATTAAGCGAGTGTACCAGACTACCGTGTGCCACAACCTGCTATGGCTTGCAGGACATGCAGCTCAACATGGGGCATCGACCTGGCAGCGAGGACCTGGCAAGCTTCTCTTTGAAGCAAGTACCATGCATATTCAAGTCACCACGCAAAATTTCCTTCTTACGCGGTACATGTGCGGAAGTCTTCAAGTAGGATAATTGACCTGGCTGAAGGTTCCCTAAATGAGATAGAGTTGTCAAAGCTTCCGAAGCAGGCCTTTCTGCTGCAACCGAAGTTTGCTGGTATATTGACACTTGTGACAGCATTCTGACTGCCAGGCTTTTGCAACATTCCAAAGCACTGGCCTGACCATGGTAAAATTGCGATTGTGAAATTCTACTCTTCCGACAGGCCAGGCAACAGGGAGAAGGCGACTGGTCATTGCAATTCAAAGGAACGATTTTCAGGACATTGCAGAGCAAGTGCAAGGAAGCAACACGCTTCTGCTTCTGAAGGTCACAGCATTGACCAGATAGTTATCCTGCTTCTTCAGGCACACCGAGTCTGGAGAAGCTAGTCACAAGCAACATAATTTACCTGAGAAACCTCCATGAGGCATTGCATGCTTCCAAATAACGAGCCTCTGAATAAGCCAAGCTCAGAACAAGTTTCGTACAGAATGAACATAAATGTTTTTGAATTTTTTTAAAAGTGTTCTGTCTATGCACACACATGTTGCCCCAGAAACTCAGTATCTCACTAGCTGCCACAGGACCCTACAAACTTCAATATCTCACTAGCTGCCACAGGACCCTACATAAGTGTCTGCATGAAAATGCATGAAAGGGCATTGGTAAACTGAATCCTCCCACGCAAATTGCTCAGAATTACCAGAGTGCCTCACCCTGAGAGAATAGAGCTGCAAGAAGCCACACCATGACAGATGTCTGAGCAGATACTAGGGGCAGTTGTTGAGGCTCCTCACCTGCGAATGCTCGCTGAGTCCAGATGTTGCAGGCCCAAAAATATCCTTGTCAAAGTCAGCTTCGTTGAACCCCACGTTTTCATGGTTCAACTCTGAGAAGTAGTCTGGCTGTGGGAACAGCAAGTCCCCCTCGATAGACATTTTCTGCTCCAGGCCGTGGCCTTTCAACCCCCTTTTAGAGTTCTTACTTTTCAGTGCCCTATGGTTTGCCTAGGGTGAGCTTGCTGGCATCAAGACACGAGCTCGCTCCTTGTCACATAAGCAATCCTACTGAAATGACTTATGATGCCTTCCTCCTTGCTGTTCCTAATACTGCTTTATTTTTCAGGCCTGCTAATGACAATTCAAAGTCTCCCGTGAGTGCACTGCACCATGGGGCTGCTAGTAGTAGTAACAAGGCAACCTGCAGCCGGCAAACAGCAAACTCAAGGACCTGCAAATTGACCCTGTTTCTAAGGAGTGAAGCTGTGGAACTCTACAATAGACAGCATCCAACGGGTTGCTCACGTGCGCTTTGCAAGGCTCCCCCAACCAAACAAGAGCTGAAAACAACTCAATTCTCCTGCTGGACCCAGTATGATCATTCCAGCGGTAGTCCACGGGCGCACAGCCTTTGACTTTCACAACTCAATACCAGGAAACAACTCTGAAGTCTTGGCATCACCCCTAACCGGGATGACCTTCCCGAATAGCTACCCCTCACAAAGAAAAGAAGGCGGAGCAGCAAAACAATTGCCCCTCAGAGTCGGACCTACAAAACGCATTTGAGCATTGCAATGGCGCCCAACTCCATCATCCATGCTTGCAGGCTTGTCCTCCTCCTTCTCAGGCTTCTGTTGAGCTTCCGTCACGTCAAGTTGTTTGTGCAGGCCTTGCTGACGGGCCTACCAAGTAGAGTACTCTTCTCGCATGGTACAGCTTTCAACATGAGTTCGTCAACATCGACGGCTCAAGTTGCGGTTACTTCTTCAGTCCGATCACGAAGTTCGAACGTGGAGCATGGAGTGCAGAAAGTTTTGGTCGATAGCAAACAAATGTCCTCCCGGTCTCGTTACACCTCCACAATAGCTCGCATGCCCAGCTCTGTTTTGTGTTCAGCTAGACTCAGAGTCAGAGCTTAGCCTGTGCTGGGCCGTCTTTCTTCTGCCATTTTCGCTCAGAACAACGCATCGAAGCCTCAATTTCAACCGAAAATGCGACTCCTCTAGTGGTAGTGGAGTCACCTTTCCAGCAGCCACATTGGCAGCTGCTTCTGTCCTTTTCAGCATGGTCAATGGAAGGCGGTCAAAATGGAAAGTGCTGGCGGTCTTGAGTGGGCCGCCGCCAGCAGATCAACTAGAAGGTGAGTTGAAGGTCAGTTGAAAGCCGCTGGTTGTATGCTGGTTATTTGCTCACTGCTTGCTGTAATGTAATGTGACTCTTGAGTGGGGTGGTGTAAAAGTAATTGTACTTTGTTGCTGTCAATTGATTGGTGGCACAATCTTCCATCATATGGATTTTCCAGAAAGTAGTCAATCTGGCTAAGCAAGATTCTTTTTGATCAATGCACAATGATCTTACAACAAGTTGCTGAATTTAGAACATTTTGCGTGCAAAGTACTTGAACCAAGGAACAGCAGGATTCATTCAAACGTGTGAAAATGTGTCTGCCTTTCAAAGGAGTTTGCTATGACAATTGAGCCTGTCACCTGCTGAAGAAAGTTGTCCTGCTCTAAAGCTAAGAACATCTTTTCACCTTTCTTTTGATACCTCCTGGATTGCTTTACGGTCAATATACTGTGAAGCCTTTCGACCAGCTTGTACAAACTGAAGGGAAGGGACAGATCACATGGGGCTTCACATGGCCTCCAAAAGCATCACAGAGTCTTGATTTCACTGATGAGCACATAGGTCAAAACTTAACCCCAGACTAATGTCATCTTTGCCTGCAGTTGGTCCCTCTCCGGCCTCCAGCAATCCAGCCGGATCGTCCTTCAGCCCAGCCGACTTCATCCGCTCCTTTCCAGGGCTCCAGGAGCTGCAGGGAGGGGAAGCAGAGGTGAGTTAAGTAAGCCAGAGGCTAGTGGGAATAGTCAGTGGAAGCTGAACCCCGCCTAATTAGTTAGTGGCGAGGCGTCCTCCGTCCAATGATGAGGGTCAGATTCGTGTTGGGAAATATTTTAAAAAGAGAGGCAGCACGTTTTTTGAAAAGCAACACCCTGTTGAATGCTGCTTATCCATTGTGAACAACATATTTGTTGCCACTTTCCCCGATCACCCCCTGCTTATGTGGTTTGGCTTTGCACCGTGTTGGTTGACGGATGACAGAGCTTCGCTTAATTTATAATGAGCAGAAAGACCTGAGCAATGTGGTCTTGCATGAAAAAGTCTCGTAAGAAGGGTCTGGCAGAGTCTGCGTAACTTCGCAAACCACTTCCTTAACCCTGTTTTCCCCTCCCATTTGACCTTGTCCTGCTAAGATAACAATCCGGAATAAGATCTGGTCCGGATTCGAACGTCTCTATAAAGGAGACCAAACGCTTGACTCTTCTCACAGGTCCAGTTCATCGAGCGACCAACATTGCAGATGCTCCAAAACATCGTTCAAGCCATGCAGCCCAACCTAGTTTTCTTCAGCCATCGGGACTCCCCCTGGGGTACCGAACCCATCGTCACACTTTCCAACGAAGCGAGTGTCACGGGTCTGCTGATGTTGGGAGACGCACAGCCTCCTTCCTCTGAGAATCTGGCTGAGATATTTTCGGTCCACTTCCCGGATTTGGTAAGTCAACCGTTGGTTGACTCGTCAGTTACCAGATAGATGGCCACCGTTGGATGCTGTGATCTTTCTTGAGAGTCTCGAAGTGCTGATGAGCTTTCTGTTTGATGGACTGTGGAACTTCTTCCCTAAGGATGTTGAACATTCGCCAACTTGAGGTGCTTGAGCTCTAAGAGATACATACCTGGTGGGTCGGAATACTTCAATTCCGAGCGGAAAAGCTTTTTGAGCTCCGGGTAGAGTTTCCAATAATACAATTTTGGACGCCTATGAACGAGTTCGCCTTCGGTGGTGGCAAGGGGTGAAAGCTCATCGGCGACTTCTGACCGAATGAGAAAGCTTCACGTTGGATCACGAAGTACAGGGCTCATCGGCGGGAATAAAAGTCTATTCGAGCACCTTCGGATCGAAAAAGAAGGCTGGAGGACTAAGCAGAAGCCAGTTAATGAAAATAGATTTTGTGTCTGCAGGTTTTGGCGAACGTCGTCCTCACACCCAAGCACGCAGAACTGATGCGGAGCAAAGTGAGTCCCTCTAACCGGGGCCAGGCCTGCGTCGTAGACCCGTCGCTTGTTCTTTCGGCTAGAAAACGGCTCGTAACAAGCTTGTTTCGGCACCAAACCTCAATGTACGTCCGATCTGAGAGTTCTCATTCCATCATATTTCAATGGACCGATATGGGAGCCATGCTTCTCGAGACTCTGCCTCAAGGCTACCAGTTGGAAACCTTTTATTACAGGCTATGCCGGCATTGAACACTTGGTTCACGACGGATCTTTAACAACCGGGCTGATCGCCAGAAGGTTCTTTGAGAAAGGCCGGTGAGGAGCTAAGCGATTCGGAATTTGATCTTGTTCGGGCGAGATACGCGATCAAAGCGTTTGCGGGGACACTTCAACGACTCTCTGGTTCGTGCCGTCATCCGGTATTGTCACCGGATGTCTTTTTTTGCGCCGCTTTTCTCCCTTGCTATGATCGCTGAAGACACCGGCGGTTGCCCTGTCTCCCGAGAACATCAGCCTTCAAACTGAGTCATGTCCGCTCCGCTGTTTCTTTCTTGCAGGGGGTCCAGCACGTTATCTACTGGCCAACCCATTCCGCCCCCCCGGCTGCGGCCCAGTTCTTCACCGCCCTTTTCTCCTGCCTCCGGAACCCTTCCGTCTCCCCTCACGACGCCTTCCGCCTGGCGGAATCCGCCCACCGGATCCACTGCTCCACCCCCCTTCCGCGCCCCTCCATCTCCGGCATTCCGCCCCCTCGTTCCGTTTCCTGCTCGCTCGAGCTCCAGCAACGGATTCCGCCCAACGGAACCCTCAGCGCGTCCGTCCTCTTCAAGCTGCACCAAGAGCTGCGGCTGTTGCTCTTTGGCGCGCCGGCGGTTTTGGAGCCGCCGAAAACGCAGGCCCTCGGCGAGGGTTTAAGGGTTTTGCTCGCGGCTGAGGTGCGGGGTTTGAGGCTAACCCAGCACGCGGTTGGGGGGGCGCCAAATCAGGAGGTCGCGGCGATCGGGGCAAGAAACGGGGCGACGTTCGCGCGGTGTGAGCTTTGCACGGGAAGCGGCGCGAGGCTGGCCGTGACGGCGGTCGGACGGGCGGAAGCGTTTGAGGATCGAGAGGTGAGCGGGAGGGGCCTCGCGAAGGGCGGGTATGGATATAAAGAAGCAGAAAGTCGGTCAGTTTCTGACTTTGGGACTATTTAGGCGTAGAGAGAAGAGATGGGCTTCCAACCGCAGCGGATGATGAGGCTTCCAACGGCTCTCTTGTGCCTAGATTTACGCTGCTACAGCCGTTCCGGAGGTTGCCATGCGCAGACTTGGCAACCCATCTTCGGTCTCCTGAGTTTAGGAACATGACCCTTGATTCAGAAGCTTTGCTTCGCAACGATCATACCTCCCCTCCCTGCCGCGATCTTCGTGTTTTCCGACGTGTGCCGATACCGGCGTGGATATGTCTAGTTCTAGTCACAAAGTCGGGGCGGGTAAAGTACCCCTCCAAGCTTTGCAGCTTCAGACATCCAGTATACGAAGCATCCTCCGTTTCCTATTTAGAAGTAGCCAAAGTTTTTAGCTCGGTTTACTGACAAAGTCAGTACCGAGCTGTCGCAATCGCGGGGTTTCAGAAAAGGGGGAAGTGGCGATGCAGACTGGATCACTCTATTAAGCCCGGTTCGGCCCGTCGAACGTAGAATTCAGTGATTCACGGTCTGATTTTGCAGACCCCCATTTTCGACGGGTTTTGAGGTTCGATGCTTCGCAAAACTTTTTTCTAGGGGTTAAACCCTGAACTCTGCACGTGCCTGTCGGGTCTGCATCGCCCGACTACCGACAGAGCCGCGCGGCCGGCCGTTCTCTGAATCGCGCCCGCCAGAAAGTCGTAACGGGGATAAGCTTTAGATTTATCATAGCTTATCAGGAGCACACGCAATCTGACGTACGTATTTGATGCTCGCACGATCGATTATACAATTATTTGCGGTGGATGGCTATAGTACGTATAAAGCGTATGTTTGCAGGTCTTATACGGTAAACTATTTTCATTCGTCTGAAGTGGCTTTCTATACTATTTGTATGATTCAGCTGTTTTCGAATGGATTGAAATTTGAAATGATATCGCCTCATCGTAAACCGAGCGATTGCAGCATTTTGCTGCCTACATTTTTTTAAAACATTCGCCCCAACCCACTTCGCAAATACCAAGAGGATGACCTCTTTGACTTGTCTCTCCCTCGGACGCTCCAAAGAGCCTCATTTTTATAAGCTATTCTCACAGCACAACACCTCCAAAAGCGGATGGCATTGAAGCAGACGAGTTGCGTATCAAGTAACCGTGACTCCGGGAGTTCTCGCAACAAAGCTTTGGAAGCTGGATTCGACACAGAGAACCTTGTCTTCACCTCCCCGTGCAGGTCTTAGAGTATCACCTCAAGCGACATCTCTTCGACCAGTCCGCCCTCCAGACCCTCCCTAAAGCCCCCAGCCTCCTCCCCGCTCGTCGCACGACAACCATCGCTTCCGGAGGTCCCACGTGCGAAGTCTTTATTACCCTCCCCGACTGGGGCAAGGATCTGCTCATCCAGCTGGCAGCTGACGTCAGCTACCGGCCCCTCGCGGCGCTCGGGCTAGCGGGCGTCGGCGGTTTCGCGGTCGCCGCATTTACTGCCGCCGACGGGGAGCGGTTGTCCGGATTGGGGTTAGAAATTAGAGCGGGTTCGCCCGCAGGAGCCGAGCTGGCAAACGGGGGGGTAAATGACGGGCTTGTTGTGCCCCCCGGTCACGGCGGGGTGGCGAACGGGGGGGCGGATGGCGGGCTCGCCGGGACCCCCGGCAGCGGTAAAATTGAATTGGATTTGGTAGACGGAGGAGGGGTTGAAAAACGGCTTGGAGCAATGTTAGACGCGAAATCCGCGAAAAGGATACGAGAGGAAGAGTTGCGGGCGAATCTGCGGGCATGGAAGCGGGCTGCGGCGGCGAGCTTGGAAAGGGAGGCTCCAGTGGCACGGCCCGTCTTGCAAAGGTGAGGCAAGTCAGATTCCACTGACGGGTAAAGACGTCCTTGAGACAATCCGGCCCGTGGATTCCGGCTCATGGGAAACTTCTTGTGGGCGCTTGGTTGGACGTTTATTTTCTTCGGCCTTGATTCACAATCAATGAAGCTCCGCAAGGTTTCTGGTCGCGTGACGTTCGAAGACGAGGCCGTGAAGCGCAAACAAAAGAGGTGCGTATCTATCCTTTCCTGCCTGACCATTCCTGAGTGCTTTGAAAGAGTCTGCAAGATGAACGGATTGAACCATTCCTGAGTGCTTTGAAAGAGTCTGCAAGATGAACGTATTGAAGCGCAGACTTTGAGCCCTCACTTGAAGTCTCGACCACTACAGACTGTAAGATGGTGAGGCACGAGCCAGGCGACCCGCGTCTTTTACAGCTGACGGTCATTTGCACTCTTTTTCGTACAGATTTCGACAACGGGAAAGCATGGCGCCCGTGACACCAGATCAAGTAGCGCCGATCATCGGCGGGTCTGGCGCAGCTGGCGGTGTCATGTCTGTGTCGCCTCCGTTCGACCATCAAAGAGACACGAACGGGGGCGCTCCAACTTTGCTCCACGAACGCCCACCTCTGGAACAGAACGGGCCTTCAACATCTGATGACCAACCTATCTTAAATTTGATGCGCTCGCCACACTGAAGAACAGGGTCTGCGATTGGACCTGGACAAATTTCCGATACCTAAGTTATTTCAGACTAGGAGAGGCTAGAGGAGGATAAGCGGGCTTGTGAGACTTCATTCAATGGGTGCATGATCAACATTGTACCGTCCCGGTCTCACCGGCAGACTTTGCCCAATGGCTCTATGTGACTCAGGCCGTCAATAAACCGGAAGTTACCATCAACAGACAATTGTCTTACCAGTATTATGCTCAGAATGTGTCAAATTTTGCAGATTGCAGATTTTATGCATGGCTGCACTCAACCGCAGAGAATTCTGCATGGGCAGCTAGGCCGCTCGGAATTGCGCCATATATATTGTGAATCCTATAGCGACTCCGCGCTGGCAACTGGACACCTACTGAGTCATGGGTGTCGGCTAGATACATCATCATACATACATGCATGGCTCACGCACAATGAGGCACATGACTTGAAAGCATTTGCATTTGTACGTCATGACTTTGACAGATAGAGAGAGCGAGCACTGCATGCAGAGATCAAACACGTTATCTTGATCGACCAACCATATGTCGAGCTCGAAGCAGCAAATGCTGCGCTTGGAAAAACTTGTTTTCTGTAGAAACAGACTCATGTCTTGCATGTGAAGACTGGATGGATCTGTCAGACCTTTACGAATTGATGAATGAGGGCAGGCCTACATTCAACCTCTCACGAAAACAGAATTGAGGATACCTCTGCAATTCACCTGTTTGTGCTTGGAACTCAGGCAACACGAGGGACATTCCAGCAGCTAAGTGGTGCCAGGTGACGTTGTTCAAAGCTACAAAAACATGGACCCGCTATGCGCAGACTAGTTGAGCTTTGGGAGCGCGCTTTTTTGTGCGAAGAGACGCTTCTTGATCCAGAAGACCATCATGTCTGCTGACATAGCCTGAGGCTTCTCGCCATCGAAGAACGGTTCAATAGTGCTAGGCGGATAACCGTGGCTGGTTAACGAAAATCCTCGAGAGCCTGCATCGCATACAAAGCACGTTGAGCAGATTCAATAGAAAAACATGAAGAAAGAGTAGCCGTTGCCGGATCTCTGCTTTGTCTCACCACGCATAAGACCCTCTTCAAGAAGATATCAAAATCTTGTGCCTTATGTAGAGGAAGGAGCAGAGCACTTGGAGCAAGTCGAAACACGTAGGAAACACCACACACGCAAAAGTGTGCTTCTCAGAAACGGCTGCTCTGGGACCAACACTAAGGATAAGAGACCAGCCAGCAGCCCATTGGGCACCTTTTCGGGAGACGAGCGTTGGGATGACCATTCTTTTCTTCATCCTCAACCTATCAAGTCGAGTGACGGCCAGGGTTTTCTTTTAATAAGCCGCCGCTGAGGCTAGGTCGTGACGGTGTTGTCGGCTTACCTTCTATCTTGCCATCCGGAAAGAAGGCCCAGAAGCAGTACGGCACACCTCCGTTCACGAAACAGCCTCGGAGCTGCGTCAGGAGAAGCGTACTGTCACTCTTGCAGTTTCACCAGTATACCGGTTTCCGTTCGACCATTTTCGCAGACCCAAGCAAGTCGAATGTAGTTCTGATCTGGACTTCACAGAAGGCGCCATGTAGTGAACGCTTCCAGAGAAATCTTTTTGACGTTTTGGGCTGTGCTGGCCAAACGCTCAAGCATAGCAAACGCCTACCGCTAGGGCCTTTAAAGAAAGAACGTAGGCTGCACTCCACCTTGATTTGTTGTGAGCCCAGTTCATCAAATCACGCCGTTGGCATCCCTTCGAGCTGCCAGGACCCCCTTGGCTTATTCCAAAACAATTCAGACCTCAGCAGGCGCTTGGTATGACCAGGAAATGACATGGCTCTCGCCAGACAGAGGATTGCTGTTTCTAATGGACCAGAGCCAAAGCGCGAGCCACCGAGACACGTCTCGATGCTTGCAATTTCAGCCGTCCCTGAAATCTTAATGCAATATTATAGATAACACAACGGCACTTCAGCCAAGGAGACCCCCTCACCTCGTTGTTCTCCCACACGAGCTCGACGTCCGTCACGTTCTCCTTCTCTAGTTCCGCCGACAGCATAGGGACCACGTCCTCGTTCATCAACTCGTTGAGCGCCTTGGCGGGTGCCTTGCCCGCCTTCTTCCCGGCCACCTTGCCCTTTGCGGCGGGCTTGGCCTTTGGCGTCGGAGCGGCACCTGGTAAAAGAGAGACGCTGCAATGAGAAACACTACACCGTAGGTGGACTGCAAACGCAGAGGACGTTTCTTGGGTGACGGCTTTATGAGTTTTCTTCCCGGTCTTCCCGGCCGCCTTGCCCTTTGCGGCGGGCTTGGCCTTTGGCGTCGGAGTGGCACCTAGCAGAAAAAGGAGACGGTGACATGAGTAACAAGGAGGCACCTAGGTCGACTGCAAACGCAGAGAATGCAAAGATGCTTCTTGGGTGGCTAAACGAGCTTTGTTCCCGGCCGCCTTGCCCTTTGCGGCGGGCTTGACTCCCGGCGTTGGTGGGGCACCTGGCAAAGAGGAGACGCTGCAGTGAGAAATGAGGATGCATTGTAGGTCGACTGCAAACGCAGGGGATGCAAGTGTGCTTCTTAAGAAACGGCTAAACGGGTTTCTTCCCAGCCTTCAACGGGCTTGGCGTTCGGAGTCGGTGCAATATCTGGAAAAAGGAGAAGCAGAAACATGAAGCGTTGGCTGCTTTGCCTCCCGCAGCGGGCTTGGTCTTCTAAGTTGGTGCAACAGCTAGAGAGAAAGAGGCGCCTTATTGAGAACGAAGCTCACAGGGAAGAACAAAGCGGACCTCAACGCCAAGAATGAAGCCCGACGATCGCCAACCAAGAGGCAACTTGCATTCCCTGCTCACATGGTCCCCCCAAAAGAATCCTCGTTTTTTGACGTTGGTCAGGCACCCGGGAAAGACAGGTTGACTGCTCAAGATCTTACAGGTGCGAATCAAAACAATGTTGTCTTCTAGACAGGTTGTTGTCCCGCGATAATTCCTTACACAGGGTTATTGGAACGAACATGGTTTTGAGCCGGACTGGAGATGGCCTGCGGGGGAGATTGAGGTGACAGGAAGAGTGCACGCTAGTTACAACCAGCGCATGCTAGTTACAACCCAAAGTCATGTGTTGATGACCATACTTTCTGACCGAGTAGCGTTCCTTGCGCCCCTGTTTTCAGTGGAGACATCCCCAGTCTTTGCAATACCATTCATTCCTTGTCGGGCTTGGGCTCATACTGTGGTTGGCGTTGCGGCCTCAGGATGAGCCTCCGTCTGTTGTTCCACTCACAAATCTGGCGGAGCGTCTTTCGAACCAACGTAGGCCGCACTGGCGAAGTAAGCACTTACGCACTCTTCCTTCTCTAGCTTTCCCTGCCAAGCACTCGTTCATTCTCTAGCTTCTCGTGCAGAGCAAATCCATCCTTTAAGCTCCCGACAAAGACGCTCACCTGCGGTCGGCGCCCCGTTGTCAGCCTCCTTTGCGGCCGGGGCAGCCGCCTTAGCAGCTGGCTTTGCAGCGGGTTTCGCAGCGGGCTTGGGTGCGGGGGCAGTCTCGTCCTTCTCCTCTGCAGATGGAAAAACCAAAATAGTGAGGGGCGCGATTCTCAGCTGGTTGGAATGAATTGGGTTTAAGTCTGTGCATGCAATTAATAACCTCAGCAGACAGGGTAACACTTTTTATGGATTGAGTAGGTCCGCGAGTCGTTCCTACAAGCATTTTACATGAAGCGTGCAGACCGAAAAGAGTGACGCGATTTCGTTGGGACATGCAGGCCAAAGCAGTGCGCCAACCATTTTCCGAAGTGGAGTAATCTATCAAAAAGTCAAATCATTGCTGAAGACGATAGACAGCGACAATGACTCTGTGCCCCTTTCAAGACGAACCACAGACTGTGTGGGAATTATAGCTTGCTCACATCGCCAAAGCTATTGAGACTGTCAAAACAACGTCGTAACGCTCTCTACAACCTTACTAGCCAAGCACTCCTATGTCGAGTCTATGGACAGTATCACTTCATGTTTCCTACACCCACTACTGACTGCACACAATTTAGATTTGCAACAAAATCAGTGCACACAGCATAAGGTTGCCAATATTCAGACGCCACGCTCACCTGATGCTTTCTTCTTGTCATCGTTTCCCATAACCTTCGCGACCGTCTTCTCGATGGGCTCTGGCTTCTCTCCCGGGGGTGGCGCCTTCACTGCGATTGCCTGGAGTTCGTCGGGGGTGGGGGTGGAGGGTTGGTCTCCATTCTCGCCGCTTTGCTCACCTGGACCAATTGGGAACACTTCACCTTTGAAGGAAAGTCTGAAGTATGGAGGAGCACACAGAGTCTCCTCTTCCCAGCAGATGGCTAGCCAGCAGGAACAGGGCTGCCCGGAGCTGGAACAACTTCAAAGCATTATTTAAACAATGGAAATTTGCAGATAGGATTCTATTATCACAAGAATACGATGTCAGCCGTGACATCCACGCTGTTCTCCAGCAAGCCGTCCAAAAATGGACGATCTGACGACTTTCAAAAGTTGTATTTGATAGACGGAACCTAATGAGCCTGACTTTATCGAAGGCGCCGGAAACCGTTGGATGCGAGGACGTCGGCCAAGGTTGCGGCCGACTTTCTCATTGTGCTCAGTGAAACAATGTTGTGTTTCTCGCATGCGAGTGTCCCCCCTGTTAGGATGGCTGTAAAGGGGGGGTTGTTTACCCGCCAAGAGCAGCCCCTGGCTCGGCTAGTCACCCGTCTGTTTTGTCATTCCAAGTCCAGAGCTCAGCCAAGAGCCACCTTCAGTTGCTGTTTCCAAAGCAAAGCTTTGCATAGCCGCAATGTGCTGACTTAAGATTGACCCTCATTTAGCTTTCGAGGCTGCCCCTAGAAAGAAGAACTGAGGTGTCAAGGATTCAGATGATGCATCTATACAAACGTACACAACCATAGAACCCATCCAGCGTGGGACTATGCTTCCCGAAGCGAGAAACCATTCGGCAATACCGGACGTTTGTCGCTGCGGAGGCCCTGTTCCTATCACACTCAAAAAGCACGGTCTGAGGAGACAAAAAGAATTCGCAAAATCTGCTGCAGACACCGTAGTCTGTCTTTATCAGAAAAGAAACCTGCGGAGACGTACCCTCCACAACCACCTGGTTGTTCACCCCTCCAATGCCGTCCGGGACGGTGTCAACATCTTTCCGATGCTGCCACTCTCCGTCCACCAGAAATTTGTACTGGTGAGCGCCAGGTGGCAGCGTCTGGAAAGGCAACAGTGGAACTACAGTAAGGGTGGGAAATACAGGCGGGTCCCACTCTTCAAATTCAAGCGACAAAGGAGACAAAACGAACAAAGAATCATAACAGATAAAAGTTACTATTTGAACCTCTACGTTTGTGCATTGTGATTGCAGCGTCCGATTGAACGTCGTGAGGGAACCGTACAGAGCTCAGAAAAAGCTCTTGAATCTTGCTGTTTCAGACCGTGCTATATCTTCTCTGACGGTTCACTTGAGCAAAGCGTTGCAGCGGCGGCATTTCAACGTCACTTGCTATACAAATTGTACCTAACCCTTGCTTATCAATTGACATATGGACCAATCAAAACAGAGGCGTTTTGCTTACATTGCATTCTGTATGGGAAAACTAGGTTTGTAGGAAAGACCGCGCCTAGCAGCCTCAGAAAGTCCCCATTATAGCAAAAGACTTGATGGGGCATCTTGTTTTCTGTCCTCAAGGTGAGACCTTGTTAAGCCGGCCGGAGCCGTCTGCTTGTGTCTCAGAAACTGACCCGAGGATCACAATCTGTCTTCAAGTTTCAAAACATTTGCAGAAGCAAGCCGTGCGCAAGTAGTCTCTCACACCATCAAAATGCTGGGGCTCACATTGAAGGCAAACAGAGGGGGTAAAACACCAAAGTCCTTAGCATCTGTCTTTAGACCTAGGAGCATGAGGAAATGCAGCCTTCATGCTCACATATTTAACCTTGAACACCCCTTCGCCCGCCTTTTCAAGGGGCACCTTCTTGTCCCACTCCAGGAACGATCCCGTAAGCAGGACTTTGTCAGCATTTCCTCTCCACTCAAGCACAACCTCTGAACCATCTGCAGAGCACGCCACAAAGCTAAATGAAAACTCCGCAAGAGAGCGGGGAGGAGCTTTAAGAGGACCGGGATCAGTACCCGGAGGGCGCAGACGCCAGCCAAAAAGTTGGCGCGAGCAGAATTGTGAGCGGACGGATTAGTCATATTCAAACTGCCCACAAGCTCAAATCGATTGGCTAGGTCCCAGTATGTTCTGTACAAGTTTCCGCCATTGTTGGGTGCCATTTGACCAGTCCAATTGATTGCCCAAAATCTGCATTTTAGCTGGGAAAGTCAGACATAGGGCCACTTCCTCCTTGACACTGAGGGCTACACCGGGTGCGTTGACCCGAAAATGGGTGCAAATAGTTGCCAATAGGCCATATTAGACGCCTGCAAATTTTGGTGGACGCGCCCGCGGTGGAGCCCATACGTTATGCTCGCCACAGGACGTTACATATTCTGGCTGGGCGTCTGTCAGAATTCCTGCTCCAGCAGCATGCCTCTTCTTAGATGAGGCCCAGAGCAAATCACCTCAGAGGGGAGCTCACAGTAGCTCTCTCATCAGATGTGATCATGACCGTTTGGAACCCTTCGGACGAGGCTGAGTGTTTGGAAGCACTGTGATGGTTCATTGAACGTAGCGTTCACTGGAGACATCAGGGAGCAGCAAATTCTTGCCCCCTAATGCTCACGGAATGAAACAGCCTGATCTGACATGGTATCAAATGAGCGCTGTCCCTCTAGAAGGAAGGCAACTTCAAAACTCAATTGACTCCCTCGTTCATGCTGCACCCGCTGTACTGTGCTCCTTCAAACTCGTCCATGGGTTCCAAGAACCTCCCTCCCTTTGCGTTGGTTCGAGTAAGTCATACTACATTTGTAGGTTTTTGCATCTACCCAAAAGCCAAGCCAGTTGTTGAGCATACGTACAAAGAATCTTTGTTGCAATTTCAAATCAGCCACATCATTACCAAGACGCCCTGGAGGCCCAACAAACTCAATGACGCAGTTGGGATGGCATCTCATCCAACATTAGTGGATGAATGTGAACTACCCCAGTAGAAACTGAAAAGGTCTCGGCTCAGAAAGATGACAGAAATCATGTAAAATGCTACACTTACCCTTCGATGCAGCTACACACGTCCCTCTTGCGGATTCTTGCATTGTGCGCCTTGGCACAAAATCGGCAGCTCTCCATCTCCTCGCGGCTCCACCATAAGTAGCAGAAGCACCCAAAACCTCTGCATTTGCTGCTACTTTCCTCGCATTCAAACGTACATCCTTCTTTGATCGTTGAGTCTGTGGAACGATGTTACTTGTGCAGGAAGCAAAGCAACCGGCAATTCTGCTTCCGCTTTCGATCTGCCGGGTCTGCGTTGGGGCGCAAAGATCAAAGGCCGCATTTCTGCACAGGGAGGACGCCGCCATGTATGCTCAATGCTCGGATCCTCTTACCAATCAGATGGTCCTCTGTTTCATAGGATGCAGCACCGGAACACCGATTACCAAAAGCTTTTGATGAGATAATGTCACTTCAAAATTAATGTGCAGGCTTGTACAACCGGCACAGCAGCTACAAAGACTGTGTTCAATCCAGCGCAAGAGCCAGCCGGTTCGTTTGTCCTTTTGCTGGAGGGGACTGCAATGCAGCTATGAAAGCTTCACTCTCCCCTCATGTCGCAACCACAGCTCCTCGGACACAATGCACGAGTCCTCCTGTTCTGGTGGATCGTCACTAACTAATGTAGTGCCTTCGGGAGTATGCAGCGCCTCCCTTTTATGTCACAAACCCTGATCGCTCCCTTTTCCTGCCACTGGCTCCTTCTCTCGCGTCTCCTCCTTTCTCTCTGTCTAGCTCCTCTCCGAGTGTCACCGACCTCGGTTTGTGGTCAAGAGTCACGTCATGACGAGAACATTATCCAGTCTGGAATTTTGAATTTAGTTCCGGAAAGTCGTTCGACGGCGGAGCTGGGACAAGATACGTCCCGGTCGTCCCTGCCAAACTTTATCTCTAATTTGCCTGCCTTGTCAACAACTTCGACATGAAGCGTCGAAAACGTCGCGGTACGCGAAGTCTGAAAACCTGCAATTCCCGAGGGTCAAGTTCAACGACGGCCGACTCGCTGCCAGCTGGACAGACTTGTTGAAGGCGGCAGCATTCAAGTTGGAGCCAGTTCGCGCTTCAGCCTTCAAGTTCAGGTTCAGTAGGTATCCTGTGGAGTGTGGAAACCGCTGGTTGAGCGGAAGTCTGCTGTGCGACGACTTCATATTGAACGTCTTTTGTCTGCACATGCTGTACACAGCTGAAACTAGCGGAGACTGCTCGTCTGCTTGATTCTACAGCTCTTTGCGTTGTAGATGGATTCAGAAACCTGAGAAAGCCCGTTTTATTTGCACTTAGATGATTTCCCAGGGTCGCCATGTCACAACAGAAGATAGGAGAGTGGTAGGCAGGCTTCGCAGTAGCTCTCTTGTGAAGCACCACCACTTCGGTTCTTTTCAAATGATAAGTGTAGCTAAACCCGTGTATCTGAATGATACTGGTTATCTAATGTGTTGATAGCCATACCACTTCTTGTATCCGAATTGAGCTACGTGTGGTGCTCCTTTGAGAGAGCTAGGATACATTGATTGAAAACTCAATCAACGAGGAAACTTGAGGCGCACTCTGTGAGTGGGGGCGCCAGCCTTATGGAGCCCCCTGTCATACCCAAGACGGAGAAGCAGCTGAAAGAAGATCTGGGTGATTGCATCATGGGAAGGTGAGCGCGCTAGTGCAAGGGTTTCATGAGAAGCAAGCAGCCAAAACCTGGATTACAGCATGCTGTGGTCTCTCCAGTAGACATAATTGCAAACCTTGTGAAAGTACGAAGACTGGGGTACAGGTTCTCCGGCACCACTTCTTGCGTCACCTTCTTCCAAGAGTTTGAAGATAGTTTCACATACATCAACTCCTAACACGCCAAGATTGGTTGATGTGGTCCGAGGCTCATGGACGGCAGGCCGTGAAGATACATGTCCTGTTCCCGCACTGGACCAAAACGGTTTACATTTGGCACTATATCTGTGTAATCATTATATCATTCCCAAAGACCTGCCTCCACTCTTCCAATCTGCAATCCTTTATGACGTTCCCTTTCTATTTGCAGCTCCTATGTGTATTCCCTTCTTGGATGCGCCGTTGCGATACCTCTTGGGATTCGTCGAAAGTCTCTGATGCCTCTGGTTTTCCTAGGGTGCACAGGAGGATTGCTAGATCTCATACAGGGATATAGGAGTTGTCTCGAACAGCAAAGAGCTCTGGACGAATTTCGAGAAAGGCAAAAACGGGAATTTGGTTGACAGCGGTCGACCTTCTGCAGTGTCTCCAATATGGATGCATGTAGTCATCATGTCATGTGATCTGTACGTTTAGCAAGGGCTGTAGCAGGATGTTCTTCGCAAAGGGAGACGTCTGAATATCGAATCGAATCATGTATCGTTGCTACTGAATCGATCATTGCTTAAACTCTGTCAAACTTCAACACCATGGCCTCAGCCACAGCTGGCGGTCAGTATCTTGTTTATGATTTCTGAACAACATACGGACGTTAAGTCACTGTGATCGTAGCGGTCTCTGCCGCGGTCATGGTGCATTCCTTTTGCTTGAAGCGGCGGGTACAGATATACATGAACTGCTCATCTTGAATGATCTGGAACTTTTGTACGACTCACGTGCACCACCGCATGTACGTCACTATTTGCACCGGTGATTGCAGCACCGACATGCATATGATAGGAACTTGGTTACTCGACGAGACGGTTCAGATTACACATGCTTCGTGATGTTCTCCTTTCAAACGTCAATCAGTGCCACGAGGGCTACTCGCTTGAGTCCATGCCAGGCATACGTGACATGTGCCATAGGGTCCATTTTTTGGGTCGTGAACGCCCATGTAGCTACTGTGGTAACTTAAAGATTCAACCGTCCGAGGGAAGCACTATATTCTGATAGTCTAGCTGGCGCTCTGGTTCTGCAAATTCGACTGCACACCTGCTAACTTTCGAAAACCCAGGTGTATGGCGCGGATTGGTGACGTCATGGAGTGCCTGCAAGCATCGGCTTGCAGGCCTAGCAAAGCCACACATGATTGACAGCATCCGTTTGTTTTACTCCAGGTCGGTGGTGCATTCGGCCGCACCACTACTCTAGTCTCTGATCAGGAGGCCCCCAACCCCTATAAATGTGGCAATAAGAGAGCATCTGACAGTAAGGGGGGTCTTATACCAAAATTGTAGACATGAGTTCATTGAAGTAACAATGAAAGCAGTTACTTAGTAGCCGGAAACTCAATACGGACTGTGTCTTCTCGAGGGCCCCGATGTTCGCATCACCAGGTCACTCGAACCCGCTGGCTGAGGCCTCACATCCCCTGGGCCCCGAGCCCAGCCCACCATCTTCCTATCCTCTCCCCCGGTCCATATAAGCCCCGAGCTCTGCCCCTCTCGTATCCTACAAAACGCTCTTACCACAGATTCGTGCGCGCCGTGATACACTTCCTTTGCTGGACGGAGCGATCCTCTGGGAACCGCCGCGTCTGAACAGCGGTTTGATTGGTCTACTGTGAATACGCCCACTGCCCCGTCCTGGGTGCCTGCCACCAGGTCCAGCTGGCTCGTGGACGGGTCGTATTCACACTGGATCAGATAGTCAATCTGCGGGACAGAGTGTTCGAGCTTGGTGAGTTGTTCAGGAAAGCATGTTCTTGACAGCTTGTTTACCTGCCCAGAGCAATTGTTAGTGATCCTCAAATGATAACGGTGCTTGCTGTCACTGAAGTTCTTCGGTTCACTGCGATGTTCTTCGACACGAGAGCAAGCGGGTCTCCAGATTGTCGAGAAGAGTCACCGCCAGTTGATTCAACTAGAGGGGTCCTGTCATGTGTTCAAAGGTATTATAAACGGATTACATTGAGCGTAGGGGTTTGCCGGACGGCATCACCGGCGTCGGTTTCTGACCAATCAAAATCGACGACGGAACTGATCGTCTGTTGTTGCGGCGATTTGAGCCATCCGACCGCCATTGCAAGCGCTTGCTATGCCCACTCGAACGGAAGTGACGTAAGGCTCAACGGGTGTGCAATCCATCAACAGCGATAAGAAAGTTGGGCGACATCTTACTGGCGGTCCCTGCCATTGTCTCGACGCCAGTTCCCTGGTCTCGGGAAAGTCCGCCAGCTGGGCCCCTTCCGCCCAGTTCCAAAGACTGCACGGAGAACGGAAAGGATGAGCGGAATGACGAGCGTCGCTGACGGGAGACGGTGAACGGGAGACTCAGAATTCAGAAAGTGGTGCTGATGAATAATGGAATTGCTCACAAAGAAGGAGCAAGATCTGCATCAAATGTAGAAAACCAGCCGTTTGAACATATTGTGCTAGCTTGAGTGCAGACAGGATTACAGCACCCTCGAGAGGCTACCGCTGGGCTCTCCATGTGAGAACGAACGGCAAGAATTGATTCGTATCAAGAATTCTTTATCAATAGCATAGCAGTGACTCTACACTCGCAGAAGGGGCAGAATCCTCTTGTAAGGGCTTTTCTTACTTCCGAAGCTCGACGCCTCTAGATTGACTGCACAATCCTGAGCAACTGCCGTGACCTTCAGCGTCTCGAACTTAGCCAAACACAGTGAGTTCGCTCGAAGGAGAAATCCACGGTGGTTTGAAGGTGTTGCCTCTTCCGACTGTCGACGACTCTATCCCTCACCTGGGCGTTTCGATGTTCGTCAAGCAACACACATTCTCGGCCTGCTGACCGTAGAAGCCAAAACTAGAGACGAACATTCTTTCCAAAAGGTCGACAATACTTGGAAGAACTGCGTGAATGACTGGTTATCTTTTTTTTCCACCTCAACGCTCCTATGTTCGTCAAGCACCACATATCCTCTGCCTGATGACCGTAGCAGCCGAAACTAGAGACGGACGTTTTTTCAAGAGGTCGACAACACTAGAAAGACTCCGTGGATGACCGGTCCCCCTCACCTCATCGTTTCTATGTTCGTCAAGCACCACACGTTCTCCGCCTGCGGGCCGTAGAAGCCGAAACTAGAGACGGACGTGTTGACGGGGAGCACCGTTTCCATGCAGTCTTCGTCGTCGAGAGTGCCACCCGTCTCGAAAACGCACACCAGGCCGTCCACCGACGAGGACAGCAGCTTGTTGGGGTGAATCGGGTGGAAGCGGACCTGAAAATGGGTTACTGAAGGTTGTTGAATTGGGTTAGACACGTTAAATCGAACGCATCTTAGCCCACCCCGTCTACCGAGGAGGACAGCAGCTTGTGATATGTATTGGGTGGAAGCGGACCTGAAGATTTGGGTATAGCGAACTGGGTTAGCAACGTTGAAATAAGAGACGCATCTGAGCCAGGCCGTCTACCGTGGAGGAGAGCAGCTTGTTGGGGTGAATCGGGTGGAAGCGGACCTGAAAGATCGGGTTATTGAATCGGGTTAGCAACGTTGGAATAAGAACGCGTCTGAGCCCAGGCCGTCTACCAAGGAGGACAGCGGCTTGTTCGTGTGGACCGGATGGAAGCGGACCTGAAAATTTGGGGTTACTGAATCTGGTTAGCAACGTTGGATCAAAGGCATCTGAGCCCAGACCGTCTGCCGAGGAGGAGAGCAGCTTGTTGGGGTGAACCGGGGGAAGCGGACCTAACGATTTGGATTTAGTGAACTCGGTTAGGAGAGTTAGCGCTCAACATGCGTCGAAGCCGGGGCCGTAACAAACTTGGCAGCTCGCTGATATGAACCGGGTGGAAACGGCGCGCGAATAAGCGAGTAATGGAGAAACGGTTAGCTATGCAAAGAAAATATTTGGGTGGGATGGGTTAGGCGAGTGAGGAAGGAAAGCGGATCAACACCCGAGGATGAGCCGTTTTTGTATTGGAATAGACTGGTGTCGTTTCCAAGATGCAAACAAGGGCCGTCGAGCGCGAGGACAGCAGCTTGCGAGTATCAATCGGGTAGAAGTAGACATACAAAATTTTATTATTTTGAATTGAGCACGTTGAGTAGCTGCAACACGTAAGAACGACCTGATGAGAAAGCGGATTCGATAGTCGGTCGCGCAATGCAAAGTGGCTAGGTGGGTGGAAGTGCTTCGCAAAGGCGAGCCGAAGTTGAAGCGCGACAACTTGAGGGCGACGACTATGTAGCCAGTCATTGACCGAGCAAAAGCGGGTCATCTCACAGAATTTGACCGAGCCGTCGACAAAACTTGAGAGCGCAATCTTGTGGACTCGCGACTGGTAACCGCGAAAGTACATTGCTGGCAATGGGAAGGAGCAGTGAAAGGGTCAAAGGTCGGCACCATGATGTCTACTGACGAGAACAATAGCTTCTCAGTTGTATCAGGTGAAGCGGACCCGGATCAGCAGGAAAAGAACGGACCTAGAACTGGGTCGATAAGCAAGGGACCACTCGGTCTGCGGCGCATGATGGTCATCGGCTGGAAGCGGACCTGAGACATCGGGTGATAATCTCCCTTTGCAAGCGGAGGGGGAGTGAACGGTCATTGAAGTCCCAAAGAAGAGACGGGTTCGATGGGCACCAATTTTCAAGCAGAGGACATATGCCTGTAGTATCCGGAGCGACCTGCTTATCAAACTCAAGGGTTCTGCGACATCAAGCAAGATATGCCCGACTTCCGAAACAGGCCCACTTTTCGCGAGGAGTCCGAAGGACACGGTAATAGAACCTGATGAATTGGGAACCATTTGCAGTCGATGACGAAAATTAAAAGTGTCGGATAATAGCCCCACCTGCGTAACCTGCTCCATATGGCTCTCCTCGAACGCCCCCATCCCCGCATGCGTCCTCCGGTCCCACAGCAGCACCACCTCACGCCCTGCCCCTGCCACCATATTTTCCCCCGGACCCCCAAAGGAGAAGCTCTCCAGCTCATGTCCTGGGCCACACGCGTACTGGCCCACCTGATCGAAATAGAGCAACGGTCGGTCGAGCTCCTGTCGTGTTCTGCTCTTTACTTGGCCTTTCCCAGGACGCAAAGAACTTTAGTTTGAATCCGTTATTTCCCAATCTGCTTATAGACCTGACGTTTGTTCTTCTTTAAAGTTTGCCACCTTGCGAAGCTCAACTTCAATGAGGCTCGGAAGTCAGGATGAGCCATTTACGGGTCTTTGGTTGTTGAGGCTTGCACCTTTGACGAGACTCTCATTGCCACATAGACTCAACAAAGGCCTTTGGTTTATCACAGTTGAGACAACGAACAGAGACACTCAGAGTGAGAGTTCTCCCTCTGCGTCTTTGCCCCACCAACAATCATGTTAGGCCAAGACTCTGATAACAGGTGACTTTGCCCACTTTTTGTGACCCGTCTTACTTTCTGCTCACCACTCTTGCCCCCAAATGTTATTGAGAACGGGGCTTAAAACAAGCTGGTCAAGAAACAAGTTCGAACCTCACCTGCGAAAACGACCTCAGATCCCATTCTCGAACTGTGCCGTCACTGGAGCATGACACCAGAAAGTGCGGCGAGGCTGGCTCAGGAAAGCCAAGCTCATGGATTGTGTCAGTGTGGCCTTGAAATTGCCCCAGGAAGTCTCCTGATGCGGGGTGGTACACTTTGACAATGTGCGTGGAAAGAGACGCCGCCATTGCTGATTGTTCATGGCTGTAGGAAATCAGATTGACTTAGTTTGACAAGCATCTGGCTTCACATGGTTCCTTGTTGCACATACAAGACTCCTTGAAGACTAATGAAGAGCGTTCAGGTAAAGAGGAACGGTGCAAATTCCTAGTGAGTTGGCAACAAACTTCAGCATTCCCCTATGCCATCGTTTGAGCTGGGTCCCAGCTGCTCCCCGGAACAGCGGCGCTTGGAAGCACCAACCAATCCGAAGGGCTGGACATCGTTGATCAGAAGGTTTCATGACTCATTACAGGCATACTTCTGGAGAAAAACTACATTGACCGATTTCTCCATTGACCAACAAAAGGTCTGGAAGCCAGACAACCACTGTTCTTCTCATCAAGTGTACGTCGACCTGTCGCTGAAACCGTGGAGAACAGAGCAGCATGACAAGGTAGAGTACAGCTAGAGAACAGAACTCAGCAACTTGATCTGCGGAGGAGCACGAGTTTGCACCCATCTCCCCAGCAAAGCGACCACTCACTTGGTACATATGTCAAACACGTAGTCCGGATCTTCCACCTTTCCTAGCGTTGTGTATATAGTCCTGCTAGGCACCATCATTGCAGGCCCTGCTCCAGCGTAGGTCTCCTTTCTCCCACTGGTTGACGCCTGGGGAGCTGGCGCCGCTGCTTCCGGCGGGGCCTCGTCCATTGCCGCGTCAGCATCCTCCTCGTCAAAATGGATGTGGGGCATGGTGGTGGCAGTGAGGGGCGGAAGGAGAAGAGCAACTGTGGCTTCAGCGGAATATATTACACAACCTATGAGTTGGTCACTCACCTCCAAAATTAACAAGTGATCTCGAGCGCCCCTTTTTGGAACCTTGCTACAGCCTCAGGCTTGCTGTTGACAGGAGAAAGGCATCAACTTCAAGCCCCCGTTGGTGGTGGTGTGCTGTTAAGTCCTAACCCGCTTGGTAACACTGTTTTACTTTGTTAGAATCGGGCTCTTCTGTGGCCACCGTCCCACTCGAAGAGGTACAATCAGGTACCATGCATGCAAGCGGTGGAGAAACCTTGAAAGATAACCGCCCTTCCAACCCAAACCAAGGGAGGGCAGGAAGAAGGGAAAGCAGGAAAGGGGGAAAAGGCCGTGAAAGAAATTTCAGCAATTGCAAGCCTGGCAAGGCTCTTGCGCCAGTGGCAGCAGCAAAGCCTGAAGAATTGCTACCCAACTTTTGTTCAGAAGCTAAAAGCTCAAGATGGACGACGCTCCGGGCAGCGACGATGAGCGGGCGATGCGGCATGTCAATAAAAGGGCGCGGAAAGCGAAGGGGGTGGTGGCAGTTTTTGATGAGAATGCGAGAAGGTGTGGCTGCTTTTGAGCTTCTGGGGGTTTCAAAACACGAAATCACGAAATCGGAATCTGTTTATGACCCAAAAACAAATGGACGCTCAGATGGTGGTCGTGGCCTCTCTTTCAGAAGTAAAGTCCTGTGCAATTGTTCTTTTGCCTTGTCTGCTGGGCGCTGGACTTTGTGGTAAAACGTGGTAACAGTTCAAGTGTTTGAGCTGGTTTAAAGCGTTGCTGTTGATCACTGAAAAGCAGTGAATGAACTTTTAGCGATCAATGTGGTTGTAGTGCTGGCCTTCAATGACATCTTCTCATTGCAGCGGTGGCAGTCTTTTCTATCGGATAATGCATCCTGGCAGATTCAGTAGGTGGACACTTGATTGATTCAAGTCCTTGCGCTCCTAGAATTTCTAACACTGTAGAAATCAGTCTATATGCTTGGGGTATACTCAGTTGTTGAAAGCCTCTTTGCCAACATCTTCATGGTTTAGAGCTGGCGGATAATCAGCCAGATTAATGCTGGTGGTGCGAAGAGCGTTCCGGAAGTCACTGGCTTATTCTGGCGCCCAGCCTGAAGTATACCGTATCGGGAGTCGCTTTGTTTTCAGATGCACCGACTCCTTGTCATTCCCGGTCCTGTCCCTTGCTCACATGTGACAGTTTGTCGAAAAGCTTAGAAATCTCTTCCATGTTGCGGGTGCACGGTGAAGTAACAGCGATGTGTTTCCTGGAAGCAGGAGATGCTGTGTTTTTTTGGTCATCCCCTTTCGTAAAAGCGCTGTAAGGTGCCCTGCAAAAATATCTGATGTAAGGGTGGTCACATGTGCCAAGCACCTGGGTTTGCAGAGGCCTTATTTCTGTCGAGAAGCTTATCATGGCATTTTCGGGATCTGCTTGCTTCACGCATAATCAGGAAGATCAAGTCAGCCCTTTAAAACACAGGATTGTCTGTTGCTCATAAGAAACGGTTTGGGACAGGCGTTTGTTTTCGTCATCTACTTCCAAGTTGAAAATGCCCCTTTCTGAGTTGCAGGGAGTTTGTCACGGGGTTTCGGAAGCGGAAGCAGCAGCGGCGAAAGCAAGCGGAGAAAGAAAACATTGAGAAAGAGCGGAAGAAACGGATCCAGATCAGAAAAGAGGTAAGCCCCTCGCAAGAGGAAGTAGATGTTACACTGAAATGCTGGCAACCAGTCACCTCATCAAGGTCCATTCCGATCGTACAGTCGATGTAGATAGTCCCCAAAAACCTGAGCCGAGTCGAAACTCAAATTGCGGAATCTTGAAATGTAGGTCGACTGCGCCAATGCCTTTCTATCATCGTGGTACATTCTGCGCTCTGCCAGGTTGGACTGCTTTTCTTGTACAATACATAACGCTTGTGTCTGGACGACTATGGGCCGTCACATCTTTGCGGCACGTATTTGCGCCAATCTTTCTTCTCGAACATTGATTGTGGATTTGTTCACAGAACCAGCTGATGGTTTGGGTCCCCTTGTCTTTGAGATGTCCTGTTCATGTCCTTTCCCACGAAGAGTCTCGTTTTTTCAACGTCGAAGAGCCCGGGTTCCAGAGCGCAATCTGCAACAGTACGAGACATTGAAACCTGAGTTCGATGGCAGGTCACCTGCACTGACCTCAAAAAGCTCAACCTTTTCGCAGAGGCGGCTCGCTGAACAGGCGAATATAGCCGAGGCTGGGAAGGGTGCGCAGCTGATGTCAGCAGATGACGTGGCAGGCAAGGAGAGTGATGCGGGGGAACCGCCAGAAGAGGACGACGCGAAGGAGAGATTAGAAGGTGAGCCGTTGTCAGTATCTTTCGTAATTCCGACCTTCTGAAAATTGGGATGTTTAGGGGCATAAGCCAGGGTCGGATATTAGGAGCTGGGCCATAAGCAGAGGCGTTCAAGGGCGGCCACATGCACGTAAGCCAGGGTGCTTTCAAAAGGCTGCAGTTCAATAAGCGACGTTTCTCTCATGAGTCAAAGCTTCAGGTACAGTTCCTCGTCTTGAACCGTGTTTCCAACAATCTGTGCTGGGAGAGGCGCCTGCACTTTTTCACAAAGTGAGATTTTGGCACGATGGGTTGCAGGGAGAACGTCAGACTGGCTGGCATCCTGAGCTGCCACCTTCCTTTGCGACCTTCGTAGCAAAAAGCACTATCTGCATCCGCATCCGCATTATAGAGATCGGAAAATCAGTGGGCCTCTCATATTCACTACCATACAGAAGCGGTTGCTGTTATTTGAGCACCCTTGAGACGCTTTGAAGCAGGGACTGGCTTTCATTCTAGTCATTTCGATCCTGAGTGGCCTTTCGATCGAGACTTTTGCTTTCTAGTCGATGTACCGACGCTAACCTTTTTTGGTGGTCAAATCAGTGAGGCACTCATGTACCTCTATATGCCTACTTCGTATACCTCAGATTCTGAGTTGATCTTGCCAGGATGTCCAACACATGCTTTCTGCCAAGAACATCGTCTGGAAGGTCTGCATCTCAGTATATCGCACGGTTTCGACCTAGCCGCTCATGGGGTTTTGCGCAATAAGAGAGCTCGAGCCAGCCCTATGTTTCGCTTGCGGTCAAGAGATCCGAGCGTTTGTTTGATCAGCCATCAGGTCCACAAAATCTTGCTTCCCAATCCTCAATTCTCATGCTGCCAACGGTCGTTGGCTGACGGGCTTTTCATTTCATTGCAGATGTCGTCGTTTATGATGATGCAGCGGCAGTCACAACCGTCATCATCAAAGGTTTGGGAGACGAAGACTCGGACGAGGAGCGAGGGAATAGTGGAGATGATGAGCTTCTTGCATACGGGAAGGAGCGGCTGAAAGAGCGGAACAAGAAGTTAGCTAAACCGGGATCCTCTCTGAAGCAACACATCAAAAAGCGGCTAGCACACAAAGCCAACAACAAGAAAGGGCATAATAAAAAGTCGAAGAACAGCAACAGTAGACAGAAAAGTAAGAAGAAAGGTTCGTAGAGCATGTCATGGGTTTGCTGCGACCGTGTGCTGTTGTTGGAGTCCCTTCAAATTTCCCGTCCAAATCATTGAATGCTTTGGAAATTTTACAGTAAAAGGAATTCCTCGTCATCGTCGCCCTTGCACAACATCTACCGGCCGGGTCGCCGCTGCTTGCGCAGCTGCACACTTGATGTTTTCAAACACACAGAGCTCTACGTGACATAACGAAAAGCTAAGTAGCACTGCGAGAGCTCGAACCTTTTCTGTACTGCTTTGATGATCATGAATGCGCTAGCTCATAAAGCAGAGTCACTGGCGTGAGGTTTCGAGAGCTGTCATATTGTCATTGATGCCCATGGTATTAGACCACTGTCCTCAGGACGACCACCGCTTTCCACTGCTTGCATCCCAAATCGTCGATCTTCACTTTGGACGGTGGGGTTCTGTCGGACAGACTCAGCTTTTGTAGCGTTCCAAGTCGTGTCCGCATGTCCGAGCAGCAGCTGCGATCCGCGTTGACTAGTGTGGCTCCACATTCTGCAGGTGCGTGTGCAGCCGGGCAGAAGGCGGACCATCATGGCCTAAAGGAATGATGCGCTTGCAGCTCTTCTTGGGAAGATGTCCTCCCTGAGCTTCCTCGTGCAGTGGGTTCTGTCCTCTTCGCTGCTGGTCGGCGCGTACTTGCTGGGACGGAGGGCTCAGCAGGACACGCGCTTGCTCCCTGCTGCAATCATCCTCTTCCTGTTTGCCGTACCCATCCCAATTGTTGCATCGTTGTTCCCAGGCCCTGACCAGCTGCGCGAGTTCACAAGCATCAAGTATGGCCCCCCCATCGCAGCTTTTGTTGAGGCCGGAGAGAAGGCTTTCCAGCAGAGTCCCTTTAAACCACTTGGAAATGTCAGCAACGGCGCAGTGGCCTATAATGAGCTGCCATCTGGCGCCGAGACAGAGGAGGGAAGAGAGAGTCCAGACTCCAAGTTGACGAATCCAGAATCAGGGTTAAGGAGTCCAGTTGAGGCTCTTAACAACAGCTCAAACCCCAGATCTCAAAGTGAACTCCGGCCAGAGCTTCAGAACCAAACAGCTAGTGCAGAGACTGTTGAGCGCAACGCCTCTCATCCACAACCGAAGTCTGGGAGACTCTTTTCTGGTGAAACCGTGGAGATTTATGGTCAGCAGGTGAGGAATGTGGCCATCTTGAATGATGGCATTGTAATCGCGATTCACATAACCAAGGACTGAGACGCAAGTCAGCAATACTTGAGTAAGCGAAAAAGACGCAGAACCTTGAACCTTGCAATGCTGCGCTGGTGGGGGTGGGGTCGCATCATGGCAAGATCATCATGTGGATTCTCCTCGGTTGATTTCAAACATCTGGTACGTCCTATGTTGGCAGTATATTGGACTTCCACCCTTGCGCCAGGCAGGAAACGATGACTTGCTCGTTACTCGACCTGCCAGATGCACCACCATCTCTCACACTTTTCCATGCTCTCATTCTTGATGCAGATCACCAACAGAAGCCAACGTCATGCTCCTCATTCCTCCACTGCTGTAGCTAACGGCAGCAGAAATTCCAGCCTGCAGTTTTGCTTAGACACGCTCGCTGTGGGAACTTGGAGAAATACGAGTCTGGTCAAGTCAGAAGCTGACCAAACAAGAGGCGTACATAACTCAGTCAGTGTAGAAAAGAGGGGGAGTGCTGAGTCTTTAAATCAGCAGGGGAGTCACATGCTCTGGGAATGGGATCCTCTAGGCGTCCAGCTGTGCAACTTCACCACCTGGGGACGCCTAGAGAGTGTCCAGTCGTTGGCCCGGTTGAGCGGGTCGCTGTCGTCAGCAGATGAGAGCACAGCAGAGAGGGCAGCACTCAGCGGTCCACAAAGGACAGTCAGCGCTGCACTGACACCATCGAAAGAAGCAAATGAATCAGTAACTAGAATAGTGGTGGCGGGAGACTCGCAGGGGCGGCTCTTTGCGTTGGCGCTGTTGTTGCTGTTGAGGGGCATTGAGGAGGACGAGCTGATGCTCTTTCAGCGAAAGCACCAAGACTGGAACGTGACAGCTGGCGAGGGGAGTCTGTGGTAAGAGGCCACACTGATCATGTCGAAAAAAATCGTTTGAATGCAGAGCACAAGGGTTACTTCGACGTTCATATCCATCCGCCGCGTGATTAGTTTCGGAGATTGTTTGGAAACAAACGAATTGGGATTAAGATACATGGAGCAAGAGTCTTGCAGGTTATTGCACGGGTGGGGCACAGGAACAAGCCTCGACTGGCCCAGAGAAAGTCCGTACTAACGCAACAGCTCAATAGGCCCTGATTGAGCAACAGCCTCTCCGTTCCTGCCAATTTCCCCTATTTGATTCCTGGTTCTTTCTTTTGTTGGCAGCATCGAGTTCTGGTGGGCGCCGTTCGCATCAAACGTCACTGAGCGGTTGCAAACCGAGGGGCGCGCAACTGAACCGCCTGCGGTCATGGTGAGACGATTTCCACCGGCGACTGTGTTCCTTGAAAATTTGTAGTCTTTGGACCTGGTTTCGTTCATATCTGAAGACCTCTTTTTGTCGTCTGAGTTTGTGAAGCAAGATCAAGACCTGAGTAAGTGTCAACAGTGGTCACAAGCCCTTCACTGAAAGTGAGCCACACATCCATTTCCGATTCGGACGCTTTGACGGGTTGAAAGCTCTGAAAGACAAGACACCAGTCTTCAAGTTACGGAAGAAGCTGGAAGTTGAAGCTTTTTCGAATGTGGCTGGAACAGTATTTGTCAAGAAGAATGCTTGGCAGCTCATCATACAGACCAAGTCGCCCATAAGAGATGGAGGCAGCGCGCATCCTAACGTGCATCCCACTGTTTTTCGGGACAGCTTACGGTTTCGTATGACAACAGAGGCGAACCCTCGTGATCGCTCGTTCGTCAACTGATGCCTGTCTCGGTCGACGCCGCATCTCAAGCACGGCTCTGTGACTTTGGGCATCCAGTTCTGTTGAGGGCCTTCACACTTATTGTGCCTTTTCCGATTGCCTCCTGTATCCTCAAGAGTACCTTCCAAGACTTCGTAACAAACTTTGCCCGGTTGATAAAAGTCCTGCTATGAAACAGCGAAAGCATGCCCCTCGGAAGGCAGCATGACCTACACGTGGAAAACGAACGAGCCGTTCCAGCCATCGATCTCAACGGCCGTACAGTCTCGAGGGCTCGTAGATTGTACGAACGGCATTACGTTGCAGCCAGTATGACGACTATTAGACACGCAGAATCTACGTTCAAGATCCTTTTCTTTCCCGCATTTCCCACGTTGTGAAATTCGGCCTCTGATACATGCTCTTTGCTGCCAGTATCATATCTCAGCATGCGACTACCATGACATGCAGCTTACATACCAAAGCGTTTCCACAACTATCACAGGCAGTGGGCTTCGGTCTCTTTGCCCCTTCTTCTTTGTGTCAGCATGCAGCTATCAAACACGCGGGCCCCAGTCCACATTGCTCTATCGTCAATCTCTAACTCATTATATTCACGGCTTTCAAGGGATTGAATTTCGGTCTGTGGCCCATGCTCTACAGGAGTGGCCCCAAGGGCTGATGAGACGTTGTCTCGTCTCCTTTTTATTACTCCTACGTTTCTCAGCTTGCAACTACCAAGCAACCAGGCGCTGCTTCGTAGAAAGAAGCTTGAGTTCTCTAAAATCTTTTCAGGTTTTGAGTTTCGGCCTGTGGCACATGCTCTACACTAACGACCCAGAGGACTACGCCCGGAATCTGCAACAGCTGACGGCGACGCTGCAGGAAACGTACCGAATAGCGGGGCGTCGGCAGCCGCTTGTATTCTGGCTCAACAGCCCGCTCCTCATCACGGAGAAACTCAACACCGAGGTGGGTGCTCCGACGGCTAGCCTCGGAATGTTGTCAACTCGATAAGTAAAGATCGAGATGCGCAAGCGCTTCATTTCGACTTTTCTTGTGTGGAAAGAAGAGCGCTCGACTTGGTGCCTCGCTGCGTTCTTTACGTGGTAAATGTAAGATCGACAAGATGAGGCAATCCGGCGTCTGTCGCTCTTTCAGATTATAGCTCTTCGAAGCTTTTCTGATCGACGGATTGTCTGCCAGCCGTTGATCTTCCCGTTTGCGTCCTGGCCTGCTTTCTGGATTGTCCAAAGGAAGTGTGTTGATTCCGTGCTTGCCCGTCTTCATCTCCAGTTCCGTCTCCGATCGAGTGAGCGTAGGCCGTGCATGGACACCTCAAGGCCATCTACGGTGATGGGGGCCCAAATTGGCCCAAGTTGCAATCTGGTTCATTGAGAAAAGACTCAGGTGCACGGAGTGTGCATTTCCGGAGCTTTGAAATCGGACGCTCACTTTAAAACGGGACGGAACCGATGCCGGAGGACTCTTCGGAGCGTTGTTGTTTACTAGTCGTCTTCCCTGACAAACTTGTCATTCAAACAACCGGTACGACTTCAAGGCCTGCAGACATCCGAGGCAAAACCGGACAGAACTCAACCGACGAGCTGAGACCCAACGGCTTCGCCTTTCGCTTGCAGGCAAAGCGGGCTCGGCTGACCGAAAGCATGTTGCGGACGTACAACGAAGTGGCGTCGGAAAGCGGGCTGTTGCTGCCGGACGGGCCCGGTGTTCTTCTCGACCTGTTCAGAGTGACGGGGAGTTGCGGGGAGTCGTGTGCTCCAGATGGGATGCATTACATCTCGGAAGCGTACGGCGTTGTTGTTCAGGTTATGCTGAAGGCAATTGCCCTAACTCGAAGCTGATGCTGTTGTTGGTCCGTAGCACGGGGCGAGCATCAAGACATAGCGGTTGAGACGTTAGGAGGCTCGCTTCCTTTTAACAGTGGAGTAACCAGAGCGCAGACACTACGGATCTGACGTTTAACTTATTTATGAGATCTCACACCTGCAATAGCTGCAGTGGAAACACTTCGTCGTTGTACTATCGTGGAGCTACTCACGTGTAGGGCGGTACTCACTACCCAGCCCGGCCGGTGCTAATCAAGCGCTGTGAGTGCAAAGAATAACGTACAGCTTCAGTTGCACAAATCATTGATTCAAACATAATACTCGAGCTGATTGCATCAGAGTCGGCATCCTGGTGGCACGCCGGCCGCCTTTAATTTGCCTTGATCCCCGCATTCGGCAGAAGGACTTGAGTCATTGCTGCCCTGCAGTGCCAGGGCCGCGGCGGTCGCACAAGTCTTTCAATGGCATTTAAGCAACTTCCTGATGTGGACGGCGGTAATTACCCAAATAAGCGTTCAACGCGTGATACGGAGTTAGCAATGCTTGCGTGGTCCGAACTCAAAACACCATGTGATCTATACATGGATGCGATCATGATTGTAAGCCAGCACTGCTATGGCCCATGTATGCGCCCATGTATACGGTCCCGGCCTCTGTATGATCAACGAAAAGAGAGTACATGTATGAAGTCTACAGTGCAATGTACACTTAATCTTGTAATTCGATGTACGAGCAAGTGACTAGATGCAAATATGTGGTGCGCATTAGTCTTCTGATGTTAATTCACATGCGAAGATATTTATACGTTGGATTCTTATACCCCGTCGCTCTACCTACAACTGCCTGGCAGTGTGCTGAAGCTTTTAGTGGGCTTACGTGAGACGAAAAGGGCGTACGGTTCGGCGGGCCCGCCATGGAAGTGACATGCCTTCAATTCAGCGGCGTTTCGTGTTCGTCCTTAGCCGGATATCTCTTCAATTTAGGTAAAGTAAGCTCGAGGTATAGTAAGCTCCCACCCTAACACTAAAAAACCTAACCCTGAAGAGCACCCGCTCCGCACCCGAACCCACCATAACCCCCAAACTAACCCCACCCGTGTCAGGCTGCTTGGCTTACTTTACCTGAAGCTTACTTTTACCTAAATTGAAGAGATATCTTAGCCGGGCCGGTAGGCTGCAGTGCTAGCCACATGGCAGCACGCGATTCGACGAAGCTAGCCCGTGCGCATGAATCTCAGCTTGAATTGCAAGCCACCGTCTGATCAAGCTCGACCGCAGTCGGCCAATGTTCATTGTTTCGACTTACACGTTACCTGTCGGAGCTGCTCGGTTGCATACCGACATGCCAGCATGCGCTTCTGTCGCTCTCGAGTCGTTCCGTTCAAGAAGGCACGTTGTTTGTAAAAAGGCGGTTTGGCAAGCCCCAGCGAGTCGTGGATTTTTTAAGCAATCACCTGCAGGCAGGACCTGATGCCTTTGGCGGCGGCCTACAAAGAAAAGCATTTTCGTGTCTTGCTCGATACCCGCGGTTAACTCCAGAAACAGGGCATTTTGGCTCTCAAAAGAAACACGCTTGAAGAGAGGTAAAAGCAGAAAGGCGAGTTTTTGCGGAGGAAGCAGGAGCGCAGCCGAACAAGACGCAACGTCGAAGCAAGCGGCTTGGCGCATTCCCTCACCCGTTGGCTGCAGCGCATAAGACCAACTCTCTGCGCAGACTCGTAGACCCGGCCGTTACGCAGTATGGAGCAAAGCTGCGCGCGCGCATTCGCTGGGAGATGGCTCCTTCTCACTCTTGTTCTCCTCTCTAGTTCCATCCTCACGGTCGACGCGCGCGGCTATGGCGGGCCCTTCTTTGGCGCCGTTCAACAAGGGCGCCGGCTGCTGCCCACCGGAGCGACTTTTAGGGCGACATGCCAGTCCGCTGGGGGTAGAGACCGGGCGGAATTTCCGCCCAGCGGATCGAATAATCAGGCGACATTCCCGTCCACCGTAGAGAGTATCATGGTCGCCGGGACAGGGAACCGGGGGGAAGGGTTCAATCCCCGGCCGCTCATTGGCATCCTGACCAAGCCGGGGAAAGGGAGCCTGGACGAAAATGGTCAGGTGGGCGGAACGAAAGTGTGTGCTTTTTGGAATGCGGGTCGAAGAGGCGGACAATTCAAGTGTAATGATCACCTGTAAAGCGAGGCTCTGGACGGATCTTCGTTCCGACTTTTGACATTTCGTGAACGGGTGCTCAAAGCTTACCAGGTACAGCCGGCAGACAGCTTGTTGAGACGGTGTCGACATTCAAAAAATGGTATATTCTTCTTGCTGGTCTTCGACTGGATATCTTTCACTTGAGCAAACTGCTTTGGTATTTGCAGTGAGCCGAAAAGAAACTGTCTTTGCTTCATTATGTATCGAGGCGCTGGAAAAAAGTTACTCGAATTTGACCGACTTTTCTCATGTACGCTCGCAGGAAGAGACAAACACGTCACACATCGAGGCGTCTTACGTCAAGTGGGTAGAGGCGGGAGGGGCCCGCCCGGTGCCAATCCTCTTCAACTCGACGGAGGAACAACTGGAGAAGGTGAAAATGATTGGGCCGTTTAAGACTTTCCATTTGGCTGCACAAGAAAGCTGAGGAGTTGCAGTCGGCTTTGAGTCCTGGTCTGCTTTGATTTGGGGACGCAAGAGCAGAGGATCTTGTCGACGGGTAAAACCGCATTCGCTTACCACTCGATCTTTGGAAAAGCCCAAAACATCTGCCCACATCGCCGTGCACCCATAAAGAGGATTTTCTTCAAAGTCAATGCTTTTAAGGTTACAATATTCCACGGATCTGAGGGCTCTGCTGTACAACATTTGACTCGACGCTTTCGACGTCCCCTCTCCAGATCTTTAAACAGATCAACGGGATCCTGTTTCCTGGAGGCAGCGCAAACCTGAGCCTCGAGAGCCCCTACATGAAAAGCGCCCGCAAGCTTTTTAGCGTAAGCCTGTAACAATCCCAATGCCTTTATCCGGATCCCGCAAACCATAAGCCTGCAATGCAAGGACATACCAAAATTTTCAAAGCAAAACGTTCGAATAATCTGACGATCGTCTGGATTTAGAGGATTGGAATGCAGGACGCGTCTTTTATCAGTTTGTGTCACAAAGCTCTCTCCGAGCCTCCCTAATATATCTCTCCTATCGATCTAAACGACTGAGTCGCGTGCTTCTGTTGCTTTCGGTTTTCGGCATTCCGTGTTTCTCGACAGCTTGCAAATACATTCACTGGGCGAATCTCTGGCTTCCCGCAATTTTGTTGATCAAATTCCTGTTGACAGCCGTTTCCTGATCTTACTCTACTCTTCCCTGCCTTTCTTCAATCTTTCACCCCCTATTCTTTCCCCTCTTCGTAATCTCTGCTCCCCTGCAGCTTACTCTCGACGCCAACAAGCGTGACGACTACTTCCCGCTCCACGGCACCTGCCTGGGCTTCGAGACGCTCAGCGTTATAGTGTCAGGGGTAAGGATGAAGTTGGATTAGCTTCCCATCCTACTTGAATCACGTTCACTGTTATCTTGTAGTACGGACCACTATCAAGCGATGTCGCCCTTCGACCTTGTTCGCGACTTTGATGAATGTTCGCAAGCAAGAGATGCGCGCAAAACGCTTTGCATCCCAAAAACCATTTCAAGTCGCTCGTCCGAAGAAGACAAGGGGGATAGTTGACGGAGCAAACAGATAAACCTGTTGCAGCCGGACCTCCGTACTGCCATCAAAAAGGAGGACATGCTGGATGTGTACAGGATGGTTATCTACTTTCGGACGTCCGCACGGGAAAAGACGATGCGGAACGTCAGAGATTTCGTAACGAACAGTCTTACTCAATCTTCTACTAAGGTTCGATTGTACGAAGACTGAATATACATCAGCGCACGAGAATGCTGGACTTTGACGATCAAGAAACATTCAAACCACTTGAATCTGTGATTCTTGAGAAACAATTTTCTGAACATCGATGCTTTTCAATGTTTGTTTTTTGGATCCTCAAACTTTCGTCTTCTGTTTTGGACGTCCGCGCAGGAATGCGAGGTGCTGGCAGTAGGACCCGTATAAGATGCGCGAAGGACAGCAGACCCGACTCGGTATGTATTCCTTGAGGATTGTTTCACAGAACATGATCAGTATCTTTTCTATGTTTGTGTCAAACCATTCATCTTATTTCGGACGTCCGCGTAGGAACGTGAGGTGCTGGACCCGTACAAGATGTTCAACAAGCCGAGCACGCTGCACTTCGTGTCCGAAAAGGCGCGCGAGCGCGCCGTCTTTTCCAAGATGGACGACGACCTGAAGAACAAGATCGAGAAGAAGCCGCTCGCCATGGAGAACCACAAGGTGGGCCGCGTGGCGACATAATGACTGACACGTGGCACGCTGCATTTCGTTTGTGTTTGAAAGTGTTCGCGCGCGCGCCGTCCGAGTTTTCTCCAAAATAGACGAAAATCTAAAGAACAAGTTGGAAAGGAGCCGCTCGCCATGGCTGGGCGTAGCGCTCTATATGATTAATACGTGAGCAGGCGGCCTGGTTGTTTTATTTAAACTAGGTATCTAGCCCCACTGATCAAGAATAAGATTACCTCGACCGGTCATTCACTGTCGAGGCTTGGTAGGCGAAGCGCCACAGGCTCCGCTTCCAGGGACTTTTGACAAATTTATCAGGAAGGAGGACCACTTTTGTGGTTTTAGACTTACGGCAAAGTTGAGTCGGCAAGATGTCCATTCTCAATCTTCAGTGATTGCTTTTGTGAGACGCTGCAAAAGCGATTCGCGACTTCGCACCCCTTTGTCTGGGTTGCTGAATCAGATCCTCCTAGGATTTGGAAATTGAAGTCGATTGTGACGCATGCTGAATCAAAAGCGAGTTGCTTTGTGCAGTTTGCGCTGTCCCCCAAAAAGTTACTGGCAGCAGAGCACAAGCGCCTGAGCCGCTTCTTTTCCGCTCTGACGACCACGATCGACCAGAACGGAAAGGAGTACGTCAGCACCATGGAGGCGCGCGAGTACCCCATCACGGCGACCATGTGGCACCCAGGTACGCTAACGGTTTTCTTTAACCGGGTCTCGTTAAGACGAAACTAATGTGGTTAACGGAGACTTGTGAGTTGGCACTATGGTGGCCCGGGAAGTCCCCATCGCCGCGACCATGTGGCACCACAGGTACGTACGCTGATGGTTTGCCATAACCAAGACTGGTTAGAAAAAAGGAGCCTGGTTAACGGAAAGTGATAAGCTGACACTAAGAAAACGCGCGAGGACCCGGTGACCTTCTCAGCTTGACCGAGCCTGGTGAAGAATAACCAGCGTGGTTAACGGAAGGTGTTCCACACATCCGTGTTCATCACATGAAAGAAATTACATTCGCAAATGAAGATCTTGTGCGCTTTCTTCCAGAAAAGAACACGTTCGAATGGGCGGTTCCGGACATCCCGCACTCGGAGGACGCCGTCCGCATGACCCAAGCAGCAGCCAACTTCTTCGTCAGGTACGCCGTCCGAATCTCGTCCGCTTTTCCTTCTGAATCCGTCCGAATCCCGTACGGGTTTCGTCCGGACTCTATCATGACTCTGCTCAGAAAGTCAGCGTCCGGAGAATCTTGTAGATTGTGCTGTCCGAATCTTGTCCGTGTCGCCTTCTGGATCCGTCCACGTTCCGTCCGGATTCTATTATGAGTTTTGCTCATGAACTTAATGTCCGAAAGAATCTCGAAGGTGCGCTGTTGAAGTGTCTTCCGGAGTTCCATTTGTAGGCCGTCCGAAGGCCGTCAAATCCTGCATGCCAAAACGGTATTCCAGTCGTATCATACCTTTCTCCGAGCCCGTGTGAAGGCTAGCCAAGTTGTTCGCTGTGAAGCAAAACCGTTTAGCCCTTTCTTCGTTCCAAGTTTGGAATATAAAGAACTGCCGTTCAAAGGGACCGCTTCTTTCTAAAATATGGTTCCCCCTGTCCTGTAGCATCCACTTTGCTCGCATTATCCTCGGCCCAAGTCTTCTTATACGCGTCTCATGTGCCCAGCGAGGCCCGCAAGAACTTCCACAAGCCGGAGAGCATCAAAGAGGAGCAGGATCTGCTGACCTACAACTACTGCCCCATCTTCGCCGAGAAGCGCGGGTGAGAAGCTTTCCCCGTGCGAACATTCGCTCAAGCCTTTAACAGCGCTGTTAAGTCAAACATGCTCGATGTCCAGTTTTCATGCAAGTACCTAGTGTCTGCGCTGGCATAGCGACTAGAAAACGGGGCAACTGTTTCCACTGACTACGCTTCGGTTCTTGTGCTGGCAGGGCGGAACACACGCAGATCTACGTGTTCGAAGACCCCGCCGAAGCAACTAGGATGGGGGCGTCGGACGTAGCTACTTACTAGAAAAGTGCTTGGAGGCCGTTGATGAGATCGAGGTCGTGTGGCCGAGGCAGTCAGATAGATACGAATACGTACAGATGGATAATTTGCAGAAGCAATAGGCTTGGAGGCAAGTAGACTAGAGAATACTGGGGGCAAACGTACGGTAGACTCAGGGATAGAATCTAACTCGGTAGTTGAAGGCACGTGTAGATGGATAACTGTCGAGAGCCACGTAGGTGGGCACGAAATTAGCAGATACGGCGGCATGGCTTAAACCGATTGGAGCATTCGACGTCACGCCAGGTCGGAATGCGCCCTGCCAAGATGTTCACATAGGCTAGCTAGCTGGGGAGAAAGAGGACCGCAAATTAGGCTTTTTAAAAATCATTTTCCGCTGATCTTTTCATATGCATTCGAGGACTCTGGAGAACTCGATCCATGAGGATCACTAGGCGGTCACGTCCAGGCCCGCACGGCCCGGCGCCGTGAGACTGCTCAAACCCCAAAATATCAAGTTGAATGCACACGTTTAGTGGCGCAGCATGCGGCAATGGGTTTTCAATCCGCAATATGTGGGGCCCGAACTTACGGATTAGTTCGCGTGAGTCCAACAAATTGACACATGCATACTTCACAGCTTTATATCGATCATTCACTGCGGCCTTCATTCTTTGAGTTTCATGCATCGGACTGTCGCCAGTTTACTCAAAGTTGCAATGCAACTGAAGTGACGATCGTCTTCGATCAGGGGCCAGCTCATCGCCTGCCTTCGAACGCACTCAGCTGCTTTTCACGATCGGAATGGCAAATATTCAACGCAACAGCTCAAACGTGTGGCGTGGTCAACCATAAAAGATGGATCGTTAGTAAGCAAACGATCTTTTTCGTACACCGTCCATCTACGCTTTATATACGTTTATTCGATCCGGGTGGAGTCGGCAGGCTAAGCGATCAAGTGATGGAGCGATCACTGCATGGAGCATCAGTGTGCCACGTTAATCTTTGCTTTACGATTCTCCTCCCTAATCTTCAAAAGTTAGAAACGGCGCCAAGATCGCCACATACCTCGTGCATGCCAAACGATGATAGTTCGTTCTGTCGTTTTCAATTCAAAGTGATTGACTTCTGCTTGCTGTTAAAAGGTAGCCCAAAATGCTGCGTGTCTGTGCTCTCAAACAGCAGCTCGCACAACAGCGTCTCAAGCGTAAGATATCTAAACACCTTTGACGTTTCAAACATGAAACACCTGCCAAAAAAGGCAGACTACTGAGGATCCTCCAGGGTGAGGCGTTGATGCCATTGAGCGATACTCTCCTCTGGATAGATGTCGAACTTTTGGTCCTGCAAGGACAAGAATGCGTCTGAAGCAACTGACTCGACAAGCGGAGCGCCGTATTTCAAGTCCAAGCAACCTGCACGCAGCTAGTACTCTGGCTGTGCAAGGCACTCAAGATCCATTTCATCATCTCAGAGAAGCATCAAAGATTGATCCGTTATATATAACAAAACACTTGGCTTCCTTCCATGTATATTTGTAGCTTGAAGTAGAAGCGGTATGAATCAGTATGAAATTTTGCCTAAGTTAGTCATACCGACATCCTATGACGGCCAAAAAGGGACCAACTTTAAAACAGGTTCCGTCACGATCTGTGTGCACGCCAACTGCATGCTTGCAACTACGGAGGATTCCCCTGGCTGACTGTGCAAAGGAAGTAGATTCGCCGGTATATGGAAGAAAACAGTGCGGCACAGTTCCGTAACCAAGTAGAGAGGGTCTGCTCTCAAAGCCAATCAGAGCAGGCTTGCGCTTGCATCCATTGAACCTGAACCTTAACGAGAACGAGCTGACATGTGGATCATAAAGTGGGCCGACACGCTCAACTAGAACCGGCTGGCACCGATTCAACACAAACCTGGGCTGACGATGTATGGATTGCTTTCGACCTTGAACATGTACTCGGTGAACCCCCGTGATTCGAGTTTGTGCGTTAGCAAACGGTGAAAACCGTACTGGAAGTGCGAAGAGGATGGACACAACAGAATCCACTGGTTTTCGAGGCTTGAATCTAAAGCGGGCCGACAATGAGCAAACGAAATAATGCGAAATGTCAGACGAACGTTTCACTCGTCAAAGGAGTAAATTTTCATACGACAGCTTCCGCTTTACGCGCATGATCTAAATCGCTTGACGAGGCTTTCAATCTAAGCATGATGTGCGTCATAAGGAAGTGAAATAGGGTGCTCGTTTCAAACATAATATGCGGTGTGGTCTGGGTCGATCCACGGGGCTTTGGACCCCAACATGATGTGCGCACAAGCAAACAAACTAGAGTAGGACGAAATTTGTCATATAGCGGCTGACGTCCTACGTCGTGTGGTCCAGGTCGATACACGAGGCTTGGGATGTCAAGAACATACTACAAGTCAAGAACATACTAAAGAAAGCAAACGAACTAAAGTGGACGAAAAGTTCGATATGAATGGCTCACGTCGTACGCAGCGTGGTCTGAGTTGATCCACACACTTGGACACTCAACATGATACTGTAGAAAGAAAAAAACTGTAGGGGACGAAATCTTCGATATGAACGGCTCACGTTATAAGCAGTATGGTCGAGGTCGATCCATGGGGCTATGGACCCGAGCATGATGTGCGTCTTCTCGGGGGCCTTTGGCAAGGGGGTGTCGATTGCGGTTGCGAATGGGTGCACCAGCTCCGGCCACCGGGGGTCGTCCAACCAGAGCGCGCTCCCGCAAATCTTGCAGAATCTGGTTTCAGGAAGACGGAGGTTGGTTCAGGAAAATTCAGAGGGTGATTGGAAGAAAGCAGAGGAGAAGCTTGCGGATGTGATACTTCAGCTTTGAAGAGGGTTCGTCCAACCAGAGCGCGCTCCCGCAAACCCTGCAGAACCTGGTTAAGAGAAAACACGGGCGGTTAGTAACACCAGGGGTTGGTTCAGGGGCCACCAGACAGGAGCTAGAGAAAAACGTCCCCGAAATCGTAGCTCCATACACGAACTCAGTGAGTGTGTTGTCAAGGTCTTCGCCCGAGCTGACTGCTAGATCTATCTACTCAAACTCTATGTACTGCAAATAAGGACCAGGTGATGGATGCTAGCGGTCTTGCTGTACTGAACAACAACCTCGCTTGTCATCAGTGCGCCTTACCTTCTTTGTGCCTCGCTCACTTTCACCACTTTGGCCTCTTCATCTCGAATCTTGGCATTGTAAATCGTAATCTTGTCTTCCCCGCTGGTGACTTTCAGCGTCTTGGCGTCGCCACCTAGGTTTACGGCAGACCCAGCGCCGCCAACTTTTCTGAAGGCGTAAAAAGAAGAGTTGACGAGGAGCAACACATGTATCTTTACACGAAACAAGGTAAGAGAAACTCCTGCATGAAAGCGTACATGTCAAGGGATCCATTTTGTAAAGTTTTGCACAGCTTGGAAAGGGCAATCACGCGACCCTCAATACTTGTGGAGGAATCAAAGCCTAAGGAGTTGAACGCATGTACGGAACGTAGTTGCACGGTTGTTCAAACTTTTCTTACCAATTAAGTCTGACACTGCATTTTCCTCCAGTAGGAAGGATGGCCAATGTATGATTTTACCGCTGCTCTTTATGATCAGAAGGGTATGTCCAGAGCGTCAACTTCTGCAGCTTGGATCCTGAAGCAGAACCGCTAGGTACCTTTCCGCCTAGCTATTACACTAAGGAAACGCGTGCACTCCCAGAAGGATACACAATCCAAGCGAAGTTTCCGGCAGGCATGGTCGCGGATGAACTTCTGCAATAATAGCAACCGTGGCCCAAACTGATCGCAATCAATTGAAAGCGAGGCCACAATACGTCATTTCCTAAAGGCACTTGATCAAACCAGACTCTTGCACCAACCCGCCCTTCTCCCACCCCCTTTCCCTTCGCCTCCCCCCTCCCCCCCTCCTCTGAAGTCTATCCCACACTTCTGCCCCACATCCTCACCTGCAGATTGAACAGTAACAGTGCTGCACAGACAAAAGAGGAATGACTTCAGCGGAAAGGTTGGGGCGTAGAAGACATAGTGAGCCCAAATGGAGCTCTGCCGCTCCATTACATGTTGCTTGGTCATGCCACTCTTGTGCAGTGGTCTTGCTATGAAGTTCAGAGCTGAAGAAACTTTGAGGAGGCTGTCGGCAGAGGGTGCATTGAACTTGACCAGAACCGATCGGAGCAACATGAAAGAAACCCTCACAGTGAGTGCTTCAGCACATGTTGATCATTACTTGAGGACTGCAGCACAGAGTGAGAAAGTCTTGCCTGATATGGGTAGGGATGCTTGGAATCCAGCTCAAACTGCACTTCACCGCAGTGGCAGCTCCCTTTAAGATGCATCTTCGCAGCAGCTCGTAGTTGCGCCGGTAGGACAGCCAAGGCGGATCAACAGCTGTTCTTTAGCAGATTGGCTCAAGAAATTGAAGAATCGTAGAGAGAGTGGTGTTCAGAAGCAGAGGGAGATGGCCTGGACTCGAGGAAGCCACAGCCTCATGCAGGGATGCAATACGATGGCTTGCTTATGATGACTTCGCAGGAAGGTGCAAAAATCCGAATGCGAGCGCAATAGCCGCTAAAGCAGTTGCCTCACTTATGCGCAAAAAAGAGAGCCTTATTAACTGTAACTACCTAAAACCGGTGTCAGGCATGAATGTGCTCGCTGAACAGAAACTCACAAAATGCAAAATATTTGTATTATATATTTTGGCTCGGGGGTAATATGAGGAGCTGAATCTACGAGGCACTTTTGGATCATATAAGAGGTCAGCAGTTGATCCCTTTCTTCGCGATTGCAGACTGCACTGTCTGCAGTACACCTCTAGGCAACAAAAGAAAGCCTTGCCTGCACATTCACTTCAACTCGCATGATGTCCAGGTTTTCCAACTTTTAACCAGCTCATTGATAGGCAAAGCGCGTGCGTAGATTCCTTTGAGGGTTGACCACCATCGCAGTTATGGCGCCCAGCGTCAAGATGTTCCTTGCGCCCGCTCTTATAATGGGCCTCAAGGCGATGAAGGTTGATTTCGCCGCGCCAGAAAACCTTCTCGTTATACGAGGAGTGTACGGTGTTTCTGTAGTTGCCGTATTTTTAGCGTACCTTGCGATTGCCTATAAACTGAGCACGACGGGCGACATGCAGAAGAAGCTAAAGGTGAAGGAGAAGAACGTCTCAGGGTGAGTACAATCGGGGTGTTTCTGTTGGCAAATACTGGCAGGAGGTTTCTGTGCATGCAAGTCTCAGGGGTTTACGTTGGACTGCAAGTTTCAGGAGTTCGCGTTTGGCTGCTTATGGCCCAGGGGCATTCACGTGATCTAAGATCTGTTGCGGTAATCAGATCTTGCAATTGCTAGGTGTGGTTTTGATTGCATCCTCAACTCCAGCACATCTGGAGATCTAAGTTGCACGAAGGAACCATAGTAACAAAAGCAAGCCTGTGACGCGACACTTGGCCTCAATTTTGAATGCTGCCAATTGATGGTGGTACAGTTGAGGGGAGAAGGTCTCTTTAGTCGGTGAAACGACTTTGATGGTATCCCGTGTAGATCATAGTCGACACTTTCATTTGAGCATCTATCAAGGCCCCGGCAGAAGACACCACTCAGTTGGGAATAATTCATCGACGGTGGTTGAGATATTCAACTCAACCGCACTTCAAGTTGTAGGGTTCTTATGAAGTTGTGGGAATTTTTAGTCAGGACCGCTCATTTGTTTAGCACACGGCAATCATCAATTATCCTGATCATGCTCAAACATTTGCAGCCAAGAAATCGAGACGGTCCTAACTTACGCGGCCTACGATCAGAAGGAGCTTCAAAAGCTGGCGATCCAGTTCTTGATGGTAAGCGGACTTCACTTTCTTTTCGAGGAGAATTTTTGCAGAGCTAGTTGCACCCTTTCCAATTCTCCATCTTCCCACCTTTCAGCAAGCATAAGACTCTAGCCGCTTCTTGCGGCAGAAAGAGCGCAGCGCCAGATTTTCCAATCAGCAGCATCAATGGTCTGAACAATCAAAGGATTGTTTTTGTCCAACTATGGTGTCAACAGCTGCCCTCGCTCAGATGTGAAGGAGGGGAGACAAGTTGGGACCCCGAAACCAAAGCAATCTGCGTGATAGACATGGGGCTCTTGATCAAGCTCTGCTTACAAAGGAGAAATATCCTGCTCTGTTGGACAGTCCCGGTGATCAAGGTTGCTTTGTACTCGCACGTGTTGTTTCTGCTGAAGTTGCTCATATCATGCTTGTATGATGGGAGCAATCTGAGGAGCGGCGTGGCTTCGAGAGGGCTTGTCCTGACAAAAGCGGCTCGCAGTCTTTTTCACAACGCTCAAGTTATCCCCACAGTCTTTTTCAAACTCCAACTCATCGTTGTTTCCTAGCAACAAGATATGTTTGTCCTCGTTCTCATATGTTAATTGGATGTCCATTTGGTGATATGCAGCAGCTAATGCCAATTTGGATTCAGACCATAAACCGCGAGAAACCGGTCTATCAGTTCTCCAAGCAGCGACCAATTTGAAGCAACTTGCAGGACTGGAAATGAACAAGCTTGATAGTCGCTGACAAAACTGCACTTTTCGAATCTACTGGCTGCGGAATCCTTAGCTAGTCTAGAGTCAAGTAAATGAAGCATCAACAACTCAAAAGAGAAGATTTATGTCTGTTGCAGGGGGTGGGGATGACTGTCTTCATTCACTACAAGTGGAATGTTGTTCCCGCTCTAATCCTACAAGCAGGTGCGCTCTCTAAGTCTGATCTTAGCAGCAGCAATCAAACTTCGTGAGCAACTTCCGGAAAAAGTTCACATACTTCGATTGTGAAATACTGTCAGACTCCCCAGTGTCACGCAGCAGTGTCCAAAGTATGTGCTGTAAACCTTGCTTTACCCTAGCCCTCTACTTCCTTCTGTGATTTTCCATTCTGGCCTGTATGTGCTTTGTAAGCTATTGCCTCATTTTTGCACGATAGCATTTTCAATACTCTAGATCTTGAGCAGGGGCTTTTGACAGTGCAATCGAAATTGAGCATCTTAGATCTGTCCCAGAAGCCGTTTGGCTTGGAGACACGTTTTTTTCCATAGAAAGGTTCAGCAAATGCTTGACTTCCGCCTTTCCTTTGCAGTTATGGGACCAGTGAACCTAACAGATCACGCACTTGCGAAGATCTACTTGTTTGGAAAGAAGGAAACGAAGCGGCCTTTCAAGGACGAGAGCAATCCGTGAGTGGACTGGTATCCGTTTGCACTTTCGTTCTGTCGTCCCTTCTGTTCTCATATCTCGTTTCACTGACCTTTTTGTTTGCGAAGGTTTTCTCAAGCTTTCTTGAGATCGAATCTTTAAGTTTCGTGCTGCATGTTATATTGTTCAATATTCTTAGCAGAGCAAACCGTTTGACTTCGCACTTTCCTTGTGCCTGAAACCCCGTCCCCCAAACCAAGTGGCATGTTGGCGGCCTCTCTGAACTGGTGCGAATGCTTGTCATCAAAGCGAACTGAAAATCTATCCCGAGCGCAACATCTCGTCAGCTTTCTGCGTATGAACGTCCGCTCGTTGAACCTCACGGCTGCAGCAGCCATTTCAAACGATTGGCAGCTCAGTCGGTTTCTGCTTTCCATTGAGAGGAACGGGTCTGAATGAACGCAGACTTTGGAGAGCAAAGTGCACGGGGTTGCTCTTAGCGAATCAGCATACTGTGGAAAAGTCCGTTCTTTTCTCCGCAATGCTTTCTTGACATTGGCCGCCTGTTGTGGCACCACGCAACTTGTTTCCGTGCAAGCAAGGCTGGGCAGTCCAGAAAAAGATTACCTCTTGCGATTGAGAGGGTTTTCAATTGTAGCCGGCTCAAGGCGCTCTCAGTCAATCGACAGTGGAGACGATCTGAGCCCCGTGAGCCTGACATCAAGGAGCCAGACGGGGTGGAAGACTCGCTTGCGTTCGTTCAGCTTTTGAGGCCCTGTTAATTTCATGTACTCTGCAGGCTCGCGGCCATGTTCAAGCCCCCAGAGCCGGCGGCTGAGGAGGTTGAGGGATCCCCCGAGGCGGAGACTACGACACCAGCGGTTGAGGCGTCAGCCGCTCCGAAGTCGTCGTCAAAGGATTCAAAAATCCCCCAAAAGGACTCAAAAGTTCTTCGATTGGATACGGACACGCGGAAAAGGAAATAAGGGAAGAGCGAAGTTGATACTTGGAACAGCCGCAGGCCTGGGGTTTGCGGAGTGTCGCTGTCTTTGGGGAGAACCACGTTATCAACGGCTAAACGGTCTGATCAGCCGACATTGGAACTGGATCATCATGGATGAGGTAATGTGCACTTCAGTGGAGCCGGGGCTTCTATAGTTAAGGTTTGTTTGTAAGGTTGAAATAAGGTCAGGGTATCGCAAGAACTTCTTCAGAACTGCAACATGTCTTGTGCTTCAGTATAGGGGAGGACTTGTTTTGACAGGGACACGGCATCATGCATGGCATGCAACAACAATGCCAGACGAATCGAAGGCAATAGGTAGATAGGACATACTCATATCTAAGTTCAAATGCTGGCAGTGTCAAGTATCTCCGAAGAGCCTTGTTCTCCTTCGTGAAATTCGTTGTCAATCATACATACTGCAGTCTCGAAACAAGAGTTGTTGACTCCTTCCGACCGGATTCAATCAAGAGGATGAGAGTGAGCCTCATGTTCTGGTACGATCGACGTACCCGTTATGCGATAAGCCTTAGTGCGGCATGCATTGCACAACACGCCACTGATCGATATATGTTACTTTAAACCCCTTCAACATGCTGGCAGTAAGTTGAGCTCTGGAGATCACCTCGCATGTTGCAAAGATCGAGTCGATGAAGGTTACGAGGCGGCGCCCACGCCGGATCCTGCGCGGCATGTTGTCGAGTGTAGCCCTAGGCCTCAATGTAGCTGTATATATGTACTCAGTGCGGTCATTTAAGATTACTATTGGCAATGATGCATGCTGCATATAGCTGATCGCCCACGTGCGTGACTTCAGTGCGCGGCTGGCCCCATGCAGCGCAGCGGCCAATTAGGTGGATCCATGTACCAAGGATGCATGTGGCTGCAGGCGCTGTCCTCTTTATACATCTCAACGATCACACCGTCAAATGCCAAAATCATGCTAGACAGTGATCACCTCGGCACCTTGACAATGTCCATATGGCAAGCTTCGATACAAGGAACAATCTGCATCCACAAATGAGACATCATGTCTTGTCACCGTTCACTTTCAGACCAGCTACCTTCTGCGTAATACTTTGCACAACATTTCCTACAGCTTTTACTGCGCCCCCTAACACCGGAAACTCCTCTGCTTGCGACTTTTCTACCCCGTTGTCCTCCGCGGCCTCCTGCTTAGAGCTCCCCTCTCCAGCATCCCCATCGTTCCCGTTGCCGACGACTGTCTTCCAGATCCGAATGGTGCCGTCCTCGGACCCCGAAGCGTAAGACTCTCCGCCTGGCGCGAAGCGCACGCAGTGAACTGGCCCGTGATGGCCCTTGTTGCATTCTGCATCAATGACGTGGGTTCAGCTCAGCACATACTTTCCGTTGACCATAGAGTATGCTCCAAAAGGCCTTGTTAAAGCGGAAATGCTCAAAGAAAAGATGTTGCAGTACGATTGGAGGACCCGGACGGTCCCCCTCTTGTCTTCTGTGCATACTGCGCTTAAGGCAACGCTTGGACGCAAAATAATCTGGGCAAAATAGCAAACCGCAAAACTGGAAAACTCGATGTCTTCATCGAGAAAGTTGTTGCTAAACCCGCGCTGAATGAAACAGGCACGGGCTTGGACTCTGTCTACCAATACAATCAATGATTACGAGAAGCGTACGCAGAGGATCTAGCTTCTTGACAAGCAATGAGTCGCCAAACCAAAATTGAAACATAAGGTCATCAAGGATCTTTCTCGTCAAATGACAGACAACAAAGCAGCACAGTTAGAACGGCCAGTCTCCTCCAAATATCGCTCGCGTGTTTCGAGAAGGCTTCCGACCAACAGACCAAGACCGACAACTTGAAGACGCCCCAATTGCTCGCTCATCTGAGTTCTCTCCGTCCTCTAAGTCGACGACGAGGACCCATCCGTGAGCAACCTGTCTCGTACACTCTTCGCAGAGAGAGGCTCAAATCCTTCTTTCATGTCCGTGTCAACCAATGCAGACCACTTCGGAACAGGAATGACCAGCCCTCTTTCTCCCTCTCACCTAGTTCCTCCCCCGTCTCTGAGTCGAAGAGGCGCACCCACATGTCGTTGCCGGCTGCAACGAACCGCTTGATGGAGGGGAAGAGGGTCGCGGACTCGGCGGCGTGCTGGAGGGTGTGGCTTTTGACGAGAGAGAACTTGTGCGCGTCCCAGATCTTGACGTCCTTGCCGTCCGCGGTCGTGATGAACTGGCCGTCGCGGGAGATCTCCACGCTGGTTGTCGGGCACTTGGTCTCCAGGTTGCGGACTGGCTGGCCCGTCCGGATATCGTACAGCCTAGGTACGGACGGGTGAGAACGGGCTTCAATGGGAACAGAGCAACAAAAGGGAGAGCATCCATACCTCAAATGCTCCATTGGCAAGAAGAGGGAGGTGCATGTTTTACGAGCGACAAGTGCAAGTAACACACCAGACTGGACAACCGAGGAAGGATTTGAACGGGGTTTCAGCGGGGTGAGAAAGAGGGCCACAGGTAAGAGGGATTGCTCCGTAACTGGCAACGATAGGTATGTAAACCAAGGGTGTTTTGACTTCTTTCGATCCTCTGATGATTCTGGCATCGGAAAGCTGATCTTATTGAGACCGAGCACGACAACTCAAATGGAGAAGCACTTTCTGGAAGCAAAATTGGATTTGAACCTGGGCTGTCCTCCCCAAACGAGAGAGGACAAGGCAATGGGAAGAGCGAATTCAAAAAGGATAATCAGGTCCAAGCTTGTTCTGCAGCAAATCGGAGGCTACCAAGGAGGGCAATTTCGGGAGGAGCAACGTATGAAAATAAGGATTGAAGTTGAACAGCTAACGTAGAACACAGGATGGAAAATAGATTCTTGGACTCTCTTCCAACCCATCAAAGAAGGTGATTGTACGGCATGTGATTAAGGATTTATAAGTACTCCAGAGGAGCGGACTACGGGCGGCGGACATTTCCGGAACCCTTTCGGAAGACAACATCTTTAACACGGCCAGAGTCGAGAGGTCTGAACAAGTGGGGTAAACTCACGGGTGAATTTCGCTACACCCCAGTCACATGGGCAAACTGACGCCATTGCCACTCATGAACCAACTCCCCAAGAGCAGCAAAGAGCAAACCTGAGAGATTCGGTGAAGTTGATGATGTGTAGTCCTATGTCTAACAGACTTATTGATCACGCGTTCCGAGCATAGAGTTGCCGTAAGCGCACCTTACTCCCGTGTTGTCATTAAAGGCGGCCAAAATAGTGCTGTCATTCTCATGGAACAAGCTGATGCGAACAGTCGCTGGAGCTCCTCCAATGATCACCGGGTCTGCGTCTGGTCTCTCAAGATCAAAGATGCGGATCAGCTTTTCAGCGCCCCCTGTCACAATCTTCTTCCCGCTCTGCAAGACAACAAACAAAGATCGACTTACCGGTCAATCTATCCACTCCAAACAAACCTCCTTTCAAGTCTGCAAGTCCGTACGTGTCCAGAGTTGGAAGTCCTCTTCTGAGCTGAGGTCCCTCAAAAGAGGAAACTGCTAAAGATAGAAGACCATCTCTAGGGGCCCATTTGCTTAACAAGATATGAACGCACAGATGCTACACATACGCATCTGAAAAGGGGTGTCGTGAAGCTGCTAGAGAAAGCATTTACTTGCCTTGGCAAAATCGACGCTCCTCACAATGTGCTTGTGGTCAAACGAGTGCATTAGCTCGCCACTTAGCGCGTCCCACACACGCCTGCACACAAGATCCCATGTTACAAGGTAATCCAGTCACGTGACTATTGAGCTGCTAGACCATGCTGCAGCAGCTTCTTCCTAGTAGGCACTGATCTTGTGCTGTTCATCATCTCCTGTGATGCAAAAAAGGCACAGCATCCTTGATATTTCAAATTATGCCTCCTGATTTTAGGTACGATGCCTGTTCTCGGATTGCAAAAGCAGCTCGCTTGAAGCAGTGTTTGGAGCTGTCTTGTGCTGATCGACACAAGAGGTCAACAAAAAGTTGCATGGAGCCTACACTAGCTATCACTTACGCGCTGAAATCTGCTGATGCCGTTGCGGCTATTGTTGCAGACGGGTCAAGACAAGCTCCCCAGACTGCTCCTTTGTGGCCTTCAAAAGTTCCAATCCAATCGCCAGTCTCTCCATTACGCAGCATTGGCTTGCCATCTGCACCAAATTGTCAAAATCGGTAAGACAAATATCTCTCTCACCAAGTGCTTCATACAACCCCATTGAGCCACTTGAAACATGACATAACCTACAGAACCCTAAACAGAAACTTGATCATTCCGGAAGTCGTCCCACAACCATCGCATCCCTCACAGACACCATTACCAAGAGCTTCACAATTAATCATTCATCTTCTTTGCTCAACAGACGTGCATGGATCCACAAGAAGTCAAGCACGGGCCTCTCCCCACAAGGTAAGCAAACCTTCACCTAGACATGTGCATGCTCCAGCTGTGCCTCATGCAAACATTGTCATATTTCGTTGCATTCATCTGAAGCGAGCCTCACCTTTGCTCGCGCTCATAAGGAAGAAACCATCATCAGTGACCGGGCTGTATGAGAGATCCACAATAGGCCTGGAATGGCCATGGCAGACCAAAGGGACCTGCGCTCTTTTGACAACCATCGCGGATCAAACAGTCCTTGAAGTGATCTCCTGCTTCAGTTGTCTGCGAAGGACTGGCAGTGACTGGCTGAGCCCCGGCTACTTGTGCCCTGACGCTAATCGAACACGCTGCTAATGAGACACTGGTTGCTTAGCCTTTCTAGAAATCTGCATAAATACTAATGTAATGTACAAGTGCGACTTTGTCCAGTCGCAACAATGGAGGGATGTCTGTCTTGCGTGCAACGCAAGTTGCAGAATGGGCTTTCTTCCAAAACAACCTCCTGAGCCCTGCCTAGTAACTCTCAAATGCTAATCATCGGTCAAATGAGGAAGGCCTGCGATCAGATTGACTGGTTGTAATCACAAACTTCACGGAACCTGAAGACAACACACGAGGCAAATATCTCTCAAAACTGCCCTGATTTGCAGAGAAAAAATCACCCTGGTGAGCGTTTTGCACAAGCTTCCCTGCACTGCCGATGCCAGCTAAGATGAAGTGTGGTCCCTGCCTAATGCAATGCCTGCGAGCCGTGTCCTTCCGCCCCCTCCCTACAAAAGCTCTTCCCCTCCTTTCCCTGTGTACCTACCGTGTTGATCACCTCGTCACCTTCCTCCCTGCTGCATGCTAACCATAACCTGGAGTCCAGAACCCAGATTTTGACCAAGAAACAGAACGGTTCACATTCATTGAGAAGCTCATCTACGGTTCACGTGCTTTTCGGATGTCCAACCAGAAAGGCCTTGTTTGTTTTGACCTGTGGAAGTCTGCTCATGATGAAACTTCGGGGAAGTTTGGGAAGAAGGGCAAACGGGGCCTCAACCTCCTCGTTTAAACCTGATCTCCTAACGAGGATAGGGTTTCAGTATAAAAGAGGAGGTGTGCGTCCTCACTTGACACACTGGCTACACGAAGCGAACAGGCGCCTCGTGTTCCACAGGCGCCTTCTGCTGGGGCCAGGTCGTCTGCCTTCGCTCCCAAAGCAGCCTGTAGGTCTTTCCTAAGCTTGATCTTTCCTTCTTCAAGCCTGGGAACTCCTTGTGAGCTGGCGCAACCAAGGCGCTGCTCATTCGCCTGATGCACAATTCTGCGCAGCACTGCAAAGAAACCCCAGTGTAACTCCAGTTTGTTGAAGTGTATCAACAAAGTCTGACTCCATTTGGGTCTGTTTCACTGGGATTTCCCCTATTCTCAAAGGTTTCTTCTAGTTTGAAGGGTTTCCCCTCTGACCTGCTCTCTGTGTTGATCAACCCTTCAAGCTCCAGCTCACAATGGAGGGACACACATTCTCTGTATACCGGGGAATCATTGATGAAGTCCTGGAGAAAGCAAGGGCTGACTTTCAGGCTGAGGGAGCGGACGAGCGCGTCCTGGACGAACTGCGAATGGTGCGCTTCTGCACATCTGCAACCTTTACACCACATTCTACTCTCCACACTCCATAATGTGCATGTGATGGCCGCACTCCTGAGAAAAGCGCTGCCTATCTTGTTCAGGCTGGGAGCTGGAGTACTCTAGTAAACCTGCTCCCAGTATCACAAGGCATTCAGCACTTGTGTCCGCTGCAATCCTCGCACCTGAACTCACCTCTTAGATTGCTGAGATTGTTATGTAAGTGGGAAACCTTGCATCAGCTGGTGTTTAGTAGTTTCATTAACAGGAAGTGGTCAGCCACAGAATGAAGCAATGAGGCAGCTTGGCACTAGCTGCATCTCAAGAGGGTTTGGTTTTCTGTAGTGTAGCAATGGGAGCAGGAAAGACATCACAGTCAGTCAGTGTCTGAAACAAAGACTGTATTTTGGTGCTTGCCCAGGAGTCTTTGGCAGCTTATAGCCTTCTTACGGCCATGTCAAATGCATGCAATCCATATTTTGGCGCGCCGCTTCCTGCTTCTAGATTCTCATAGAAAAACGTCACCATTTGTGAATTTCTTGGGCCCATGATCAAGCGGATCAATACTCAGATTTGACATCCTGGAGACCCCACAGTGTCTTTTCATCGCTTGGTCTGTTTCTACTCATTGTTGAGCCTCAGGAGGGCAAACCCTTTCCTTTGTATCTGAACTCCTTCCTCAGGAGGGCAAAACCTTTCATTTGTAATTGAATTTCTTCATCCATCGACAATCTCTTCCTCTTTCCTCCTTCGTACAGATGTGGGAGAATAAGCTCCTCATGACGAATGCAATCCAGCCAGCAGGGGTGCTGGTTGAGGAAAAACCCGTCCAAGCAGCCCTGGAAGCCCCTCCCCAGAACGCCTTCTTTCCAACAGACCTCAACTACCCCCCTCCACCGGACCTGCCGACTCAAGAATATGTCTCTGTTCCACACTCTGTAAGTCTTTGCCTCACATTTTGTGGTCAGCCTGAATGAATCTTGAATTGTCTGGATGGTTGGTCACAGGTTGTCCTGTCGGTTGAGTAGTAGGGGGGGTGACAGGTTTAGTTTGAGCTGCTGTCATCTTTTCCAACCCACCCCAAACTTGTGAAGGTCAGTTTCCCTGCTTCTGTTATGTTGCAGAGTGCCTGTCGTCAAGGCTGTTTGGCAACTCTCTAAGGTCTTGAGTCCGTCTCCGCGTGCCAGTAGAGTCTGTGCCAGAGTCTTTGGTGCCAATTTACTTGGTCAAATAGGAGCAAAGGCAATCAATATAAGAATCTTCGAGGCACAGAATCAATGACGCCCTGATTGTGCCCCAGGGTACCTCTTCAGTTGGTTTCTTTGTAGGAAAGAGGTTTCCTGCCAGGTTGTTTGCTTTCATAAACTTAAACATTCTAGATGCTGTAAGCCGGCCTAAGTTCGCCCTGACTGTTAAGTTTTCTCCTGAACTTGCCCATGTGTTGCACTTTGGATCCAAGAAGCCCCCTTCTACCTGGCTTCAAAGGCCCACTCCAAAAGGAAAAAGACGAACTTGTTGCACTCATTCTCTTCAATTTGCAGCTCACTGCTCGAGACATTCCTGTCAAAGAGCAGGACAAATCACAGGTCTCTCAGGCCTCACTGGTTTAAGATGCACCCTCCAAAGCCTCTTGACATACTTCTGGAGTTGCCCCTCAGATGCTCTTGAAGCTTGGACAAAACTGGTAGTACTCGAAGTGCTTCAGAGAAGGTGTCGCTTGCGTCTGACGGGGTCGTAAATGGGCGCAGGGAAGGGGCGAAGCTAGCAGCAGCGCTGCTGGGGGGGAGGACAAGCCGTCTACGTCTGCCAACGAGGTGCGTTTCCAAGTACCAGCTTCCGCAGACTTTTCAGGAATGGTTGGTTTAGAGGAAGGCTTGTAAAAAAAACACCAAAAACTAAAATAAAACAAAAAACAAACTGCTCCGTGTTGGTGTCACCTCAAACTCCGTTGGATCTCCTCAAAGCCCTGTGCCAAGAAAATTTTGAAGGGTCTCCTACTGTAGAAGGGTTCCGAGTACGACTTGACACTTTGAATGGCACGACAGCATGCACAGTAGAATACACACGAGCCGGTACGGAGGCCTAGACAGATCATCAGCTACAGAAACCCCACCCTCCTACAATCACCTCGGCACTATCTCTTTCACTTTGGAGCGCGGCATGCTTTGACTTCTGCAGACGAAGGAGCTTTGCGAAGGATTTTCAGGACAAGAGACCCTCATATTTGCATACCACAGGCTCTGAAAGCGTACACAACGCCTGCAGGGCCTCCAAGACGTCAAGCGGAGGCGCCTCTCCGAGCTCGGGCCCGGCCTAGAAAACGCTGCGGACGGCTTAGCGTCCGCATCCGTTCCGTCCGTTGGCGTGACGGTGGGGTCGGACGGATTGCGGATACGAGGGGGCGGGGGGGGCGACGAGGACGATGAGGAAGATTACAACGAGGAGGAGCCGGAGAAGCCGCCAGAAGGTGCGGGTTTACGGTTTTTGAGCGTTCATTGGAAGTGCTTTGTACTTTGGTGTGGTTTTGTCGAGTATTTCCACATTGTTCCACTTTACCGGATCCGGTTGTGTCAAGCTTGTGTTGTGTGCTGGGCGAAGAATGGAGACAGTAACAAGGAGGATGAGGAGAGGGCTTTGAGGGTTCGTCGATCGTTTTTCTTTTTCGCAGGATCTGTCAAGCTCTTGTATTTTGCACTTTTGAGTCCAGATCCTTCGAGTACCTCTTCTGAGCGTCGCTGACAAATCTCGAGGACGAGTTCGGGAGTGTCGTTACGAGTTTTCTCGTCTGGATTCGTCTTCAGCTCTTTTAGACTTCGTGGTTTTGCGAGCTCTATTCCTCGAGCTGTTTTCGTCGAGTCGAGCTTGCTCTCGGTAAGCTAAGCAACCCCCCTTGTTGGTAAAAACGTGAATGTTTTTCTATGTTGGAAAGATTGTGACACTTATTCCCAGCTGACCATTGCAGTGAAAGAGGATATCGCTTGCATCACTCGAAGTGCTTTGTCTTACTCTTCTCCACACATTTTCAAAACACAAATTTCTACGACTTTTTGCTGAATGTAGTACTTTCCAATAGACTTGCCTTCTTTGCTTGGTTTGCGGGCTTTGAAGATACCGTACTAGAGTTGGACTTGGGCGGGGATAACCTTTCGAACGCGTTCAGACACAGCGAATACCTTTCACTGTAACAAAAAATGTGTGACAGAGAATCACCCAAAACTGCCTACGTGTGAATACCACTCGTCTTGCTACAGATTGCAATGAACGGAGAGGTTTGGGTTTTGGGAGAAATGAAGGTGACACTGGGCGGGGAAGACGGCCCAAAATATGTGTGAACATCACTCATCTCAGGAGACTACAAGTCTAAGACTTGAGAACAACTTGTAAGGCCCATCCGAAAGAGCCAATTTTGAACACCTATGTCCTGCCGAAAGGTGCGGGCTTTGAAGGAACTGGAGGTAGCGGGCGGCGAGGAGGACGATCTGAACGAGCACTAACACCATTTGCTTTTTCTGGAAGACTTGACCTTGAAGACACAAGTTTCATCGGACGAGCCCACTTTTGAACTTCTATTTCCTGGTAGTTATTGCAGTAAAAGAGGAGGTGCGGGCATTGGAGGAACTAGAGGTGGCGGGGCGGCGAGGAAGACGACTTGGAGTAAGCTTGGACATAGATTAACTTTTCCAGAAGACCTCAAGTTTCAAGGCATAGATATGCGGTAGAGCCCTTTTTTGAACATCTCGTCTTAATTTTCATCACAGTGAAAGAGGAGGTGCGGGCTTTGGAGGAACTAGAGGTGGCGGGCGCCGAGGAGGATGATTTGAACGAGCTCGATGACGAGGAGGAGCAAAAGGAAGAGGAGGACGACGAAGCGGAGGCGACCGCAAACATCGTGTTGGCGCAGTTCGAGAAGGTGACGTCACGCATCCCCGTTGATCTCCACTAGTTGCTTTATCTACTCGTGGCGTCTCAGATTCGATCAGACAACGTCAGGCTTCCGGTTCAACGTCGCCGGCGAATGTTGCTATAAGATTTGATGGCGTTTGAACGATGTAATAGACTTCGTGTTGGCGTAAACCTGACGCCTCTGTACGCCGATTGCAACGTTCCATCAGCTTTCAGGGGCTCATGCTTTTTTCCTTTTGTAGATTCGTTCTTGCCAGATTATCTCATTTCCAAGAGATACACTTAGGTGGAGTCTATCGACGTGTTGGCGCCGTTCGAAAACAGGACGTCCTCCCGTTCGGAGCACGTCAGTGACGTACCATTAGGGTACCCTCGGCGACTCTTGAGATTTTTATTGCTCTTTTTGTTGGCAAGGTTCGAGGGAAGAAATGGGTTACCTTTTGGGATGACGTTCTGAGGCTTTTTCTGCCCCCAAAAAGCATGATCGAATTGCGCCACTTGACCATTTGAGCCGTCGCTAGACCAACTCTGAGAAGGTCGAGAAGGTGGCTCTTCCAAGGACGGTGATGGAGAGTCCAAAACTTTTGTTAAATGCAGCTTCCGGGGCAAGAAGGATCGTCAGCTGACATTTCAAACGTGATCATATTGTCGTAGAAGAAACCTGTTCAGCCTAAGCACTCTAATGAATCTTGTATTGTTTTGATTTGGACCATGAGAGATGGACAGCAAACGGCGAAAGAGGACCTACAAGTCAAGAAGGCCTTTTTTATTCGAGAGAAAGTCGTCGTTCTTTCAGCCAGGGCACGCTTGCGACCACCTGATCTTTCCTCTGTGCTCGCTGTTCCGTTAAGCCTCCGATGACGTCAGCGTGAGCAAAGGGGGGTTTGCATTCCAGCTGACGTCAGCGGTGCCGTCTAGGCCTGGGTGGCTGACGTTTGCAACGGTCCGATTGCAGGTGACTCGGTCGAAGAACAAGTGGAAGTGCACGCTCAAGGAGGGCGTGATCAAGCTGAACGGAAGGGACATTCTTTTCAACAAGGTGGGTGGTGGACTTTCGGCACTCGCTCTACTTTTTCGTTCCTCCGCTCCCTCTGCTGCGCCTCTTTCCGTAACTGTGTGTGTTCCTTCGCTTGAAAAACCAAGCCTGTAAAGGAAGTGTGCCATTGGAGTGGGAGCAGAGTCGCTTAGTAATGTAAGGAGTAGTTGCGAGGTTGCTGCAACCCACAAGCCAAGCTTAAGAAAGGGAGTGGTTAGTAAGTAGCATTTGCTTCTTTGCTCTGTCCACCACTTTGAGCAGGTTTGCACCTTTCCGGAAAACCTTCGTCTCACATATCTGCTTTTCGTAAAAGCAGTGAGTCGACGATGCTAGATCTGAAATTGAAGTTTAGCAACAATCTGAGATATGTTTTCCTTGGCGCAGGCAAATGGAGAGTTTGTCTGGTAAGACGGTCGTTCAAAGGGCCAGAGGGAGAGCGTTGCAATAGGTCGGGGCTCCGAGACTAACGACGGCCTTGCGGAATCGATCACATTCTTGTCCTACGGCCTAGGCTCATACATTAGGCAGACGCGGTCACAGAACTCTTTCCTTTGATGGGCCTTAGGTTTGCTTTTGAACAGGATTGCTTTGGCCCTTTGTAGGCCCGAGACTGAGCGAGGCTTTTCAGTGCAGAGCTTCGGTCCCCCTGACTCACGAGGTGGTTCATTTGTTTGATTGCCGCCATGGATATGCAATGGTTAGGGAGCACGCTGACCTCGATTGGTATCATACCATAGTATGGTGACAAATCTGATGATGCCGCGCCAGATCGTCAGACTGCGCAATATTGCACTGAATCATTGAGATGCAACCGTCTCCCCTGTGGCCATATCTGGTTTGCAGGCATGCCATGCATGCAAACGGTCATGTGCAACAGGCGAACTTATTGTGCATCACATGCTTGAATCTGTATAACATCATAGGTGAGCAGCTATAGCCGATCATATGCATGTGAGCAGTAGTAAGGATCAGATTAGTGCGAATCCTAGTTCCAACAGATTGCCCGGAGGCGACAAGTAGCTAGCGGAGTCACGGTTGCTTTGACTAGCACGCCACTGGCAAGTTTAGTTGTAATCCGGTAAGCTGTTGTTAGACTAGGTTTGGTGACTAATTCAGTGTACGCACTTTGATTTGGTTAGGTAGCTAGACGTTCAAGATCCAAACAATCGATCCCATGTATGCCATGGAAGCCTATGGCCCATGTGGCTACGGCGTTTGAAAAGAGAACATCAGCGCTGCCAATCACTGCATGCTACCGGCCAGGCGAGCTGCGCACATGTACGATAGCGCATGCGCATGGAGCAGCGCCATACCAGTACGGTAGGCGCGCATGATCGATACAATAAGAAAATCAGGCGTGCAATGCCTGATGCAAATTATTGCGTCCTTGCAATCATGGTGGCTATGCATGGCGTCCCAAACTGTTTGCAGGCTCATACACCACTAAGATATGTTGCCTCCGCTGCAGTATCTGTGCATTACCAAAGCATTCCATGTTCTAGGTGCCACAACAATGATGTGACTGTATTGCAGCGGGACTGGTAGAGTTGACACGTGATCCGTCAAGGAATGAAGGTACCGAATGATACCATGGTTGTGATCATTCCCAGTGTTGCTTAACTTTACAGGAGTACCGGCGACGAACTGTGGTTTTGTGCAAGTGCCACGCTTCTGTGACCTTAACGAATGCACACGACTTTGTGCGTTAGCAACACTGCAACACTTCTGATTATTTGGGGTAGGAAAGAATGACAAGGAAGGGACCACACAAACATGTCTAAGCGTAGAAGGAAGATAACCAGTGGTCAAATCTGGCTGGGTCCGGCTTGGTCGTCCATACCGCTTTCTCTCCGTTTCGATGAGGCCCCTGGACCTCCCATGGCTTGTGTATACATCACTTCTGCCTTCCGGATGCGCTCCCTCTGAAGCAAACACATCCTTAGTGTCTTGATAACAAGACTTGCCCTTTCTCCGTATATTCAAAGTTTGTTCATGTCTACTCATAAGTGCGTGTGGCGGAAGAAACCCTGCAGCTCTTCCTGCTGACAACAAACTAAGACGAGGAAACAAGACTGCGTGCTTCCGACTTTATTTTCCGGAAAAAAACAGACAAGCTTTTTGAGTACTGCAAATGCGGTACGACTTACAAGACACACTGCTTTCGAGTTTGAGTTTTGTCAACCGGTCACTGGAAGCAGCTGAAGCAGATACTTGCTCCAAACGGTAGTTTCAACTGGAACCAGAGGGCACATAAGAATTAGCAGTTCCTACTCTACGGACCTGGTTTGTCAAAAACGAGTCCGGGAATTGATGGAAGACCATGTGAAGAAGTTTCGAACTTTCTGCGCCAGAGAAAGGGGGAAATATGCTCTACCTGGGTGGGCTCTTGTGCCAAACTGAAGAGAAAGCTGTTGTCTTAGCTCAAAATGAAGACCCTTCTGACAAAAGCATACCTGTGCTTCTACAGCGTCTGAAACATTGACGGACTTGGGGATGTGAATGAAGCGGATCCTCCTCCCCTGGATGAACATCAACGCTAACTCGGTCTTGATTCCCTGGAGAGAAAGCAAGTCCGATCAAGCCTTATGACAAGTCTCTGCACTCTCAAAGGTGCGTCAGTGCAAAACTTTGTGAACATTCAGACTGCACATGAGCTCCTAGGAAAAGTAAAAACCAACAAACAACATTGTGCAACAGTTTTGGTGATGCTAAACCTGGGGTATATGCATGATGCAACAAAAGGACATAGACAACTGGCATGTAGAGAGGGCATGAAGGAGTCGTATGTGGTACAGTCGATGCAATCTCCAGTTTGTAGCCTTTGCAGCTAATCAGAAGCAAGGGGTGAGCAAGCTGCACCGCAAAGATGAGGTTGCACGCACCTGGAGGTTCTCTTGAATAGCATCTTTGATGACAATACTGTAAAGAATCAGAAGGGCGAGCATTCACATCTTCTCGCTGTGATCAGAACAACTTGACACCGGCAAACTAATGCATTCAAAGCATTCAAGGGTGCTTGACTTAATCTTGAGCACAAGCAGCAGGAATGAAGCATCCACCGTCAGACGAGTACACCCTCGTGTTCCAGATCAAGCTCCACAAGAGACGTGAAGTTCTTACGGAAACAACCTGATCCATCCGCGTAATTGAGCATTTTGCTCTGGTACTCCTTCACCAGAGCCGCTGACAGAAACAGTGCAGAGGCCCTCACATCTTTTTCACCTCTGTCCTACTGCCGAGCATACCGGCAGAAAGCAGGTCACCACTCACTTCATCCCAAGGTCACACTCCTCCAGAACGCCCTTGACCGTGACGTCATTCTTCAGCTCAACCAGGACCTTCATCCCCACCAGGGCCTGGATCACGCAGATGAGCGACCGCTCGGACGCTCGCCCCTTTTTCTTCACCATCTAATGTGAAATTGTGTTGAAAAGGTAAATAAGCAAGCACCTCTTCTAAAAGCAGGCCGCTTAACCTTCTGGAAACCTACATTGAGTGATTAGGTGTAGTCGAAGCGGAAGGCACAATCACTCCACAACCAAAGGGCTGGCTAGGCAGGCAAACGCTAGCCGGCAGACCACATCATCCACAGCTCGTCTTCAGTTACACACCTTAGGAGGCGAGAAGGGGATTCGAGCGAGGCGGGTTGTACGGGGGTTGTACTATGATGGCTCCTTTGATTGTAACTCTTCCAGGTCTTTTTCACCCTTTGGTTTTGACGAAGACTCAGAGAAACGAAGTTCAGGACTTGAAGCAACGGACATGCGCGCGCATAGACATACGCCAATCCGATTTCATATCGAAATACAGCACTGTAATCACGCCCCGGTCAGATATTAAGTCTTCCGAATGTCCCGTCGAGTCGTCGACGGCATCTCAACCTGGGAGGAAGCCGAAGCGGCAAGCCGCATCGACGTGATGCAGCAAAACTTCACCGGGTGATAACAAAATTTTACAAATATGCGAAGAAAATTCTAACGTAAAATACAAGAGAAGCGCCAAATTGAAAGTTGCAGTTGGATCGCGAGGAAAAAGAAAGCGCAGCTACTGCGCAGCCAGATGATGGCGCATTGATGGGGTCGCAGGAGCATGCGTCTACAAGCTGTGGAGCTTTGTAGCGCTTAGGGCTGCTATTTATGAAAGTAGGTAATGAGTTGCGATGTGCCCTCTCTTGGTGATGGGCGCAGAAGGGTTGCAATTAGGGAGACCGCTTCAGCAGGTTGATTGAGTTAAACCTAAGGTTACTGCCTGGGGTTGCGTGATTCCATCACAGTCAGTTGAAGCTGTTGTATTGCAGCGGTGCACCCTTCAATCAATTAGAACAGTCACTGTCTAGGTACGAGGCACCATGTCGGACTTCAGCGTTTTCCTTATAGTCTTGGCGGTGATCATATCCGTTTTGGTTGTTGTCATCAACATCTATGTGCTGATCAACTACCAGCATCCAGATGACAGGAATCAGGCCTACTTTCCCAAGTTTATTGTGGTAAGATTTCGTTCCTCAAGATCTGTCTCCTGCATCCATTGCATAGTCAGCAAACCCTAAATTATGAAGCAATAATCAAGCAGGAGACTGGCGCCAATATCTGTTTTTTGAATCGCTTGTGCTTGCATCGGAGCGCCACTCTGCTGGAACAATTTGATCTAGATTAGCATTCTGCATCTTCAAATGACTAGTGGAAGGCCCATTTTAGATACACCCCAGCAATTCAGGGGCAACAACCCGACTTCCTCTGCTCAAACCCTTTGTGCTTCAGTATACATCAACAGCAGTTTCAGCCAGTCATTTGCAGAAGAAAATTTTGGGTGTACTCAACCGAGACACATATGACCTTGAGCTGCAACTTCTTGAAGAGGTTGCACACTTGCATGGAGGGCCGATCCCTGTGCTTCTGGTTGACACTGGTCGTTCTTCAGACTTAATCAGCCCTGTGGTCACCGGGCCTCAGCTGTGTGCTAAGCTCGAATTGAACCATTGTGGAGTGCGAGGCAGTCTCCTGGACGACAAAGAAAGCATAGGCCTGGTTGAGAGGCGCTTTGCGCAGATTGGGGGCCCAAGCAAGCTGACTTGCCATTGTTAGACGAGGAAGAATTTTTGATGAGCAATGCGATTTTCTCCGGCAGCTCATGAGAAACTGAAATAGTGCACCTGCTGTAGTTGAGGACACCTGGGCTCACGTTTTCTGCTTACCCCAGCCCTGGCCACCCCTTCCCACCGCCCCACTTCAAACTCCCTCCATACTTCCTGCCAACACATGCTTCCGGCCCCCCTTCCTAAGCTGTCAACCTTACTGCTTTCCTGTGACCAAGCTCTCCCCCATTCCAATACAAATGCGCTTGACCAGCCAACCCCCCTTTCATGGAGCTTATGTTTTCTTGGTCAACATGCCCCCAGAGGGGGCAACCACCCAGGCAAATAAAATGGCAATCGTAGCGAGCACAGATCTGGGGCTCCACCGCGTATGCCTATACCAAATTTTGTAGGCGTCTTATAGGGGCCATCCCCTACCTATATACCAAAATTCGGCCGGTCATAAGCGGTGGAGCCCCTAATATGAGGTTTTGATTGCAACAAATTTGACACCTGTCACTTTTCCCAGCCATTCTGCTAAACTTCAAGGCCTTGTTTGGTGGATCCAATGTCCAGGAAAGTTGGCGGAAAACTCTTGAGATCATATTGGGGTCATAAGGAACAGGTTTAGGCTTTTGGGCACCTGAGATATGCAGCCAAACTTCACTTGGATTTCTGCTCGGGAGCCCTTTTAGCTGGGTGGTTGTCCCCTCTGCATGCCCCCCTCCCTAATCTTTGCAGCTCCCTCCCCCCACAGGCTTTAGCCTCACCGTCTCTCAGTTGTCAATCTTGATCCTCCTTAGTTCGAAAAGAATGTCCCACCCTCCTGGCGATGAATTTCTCATTGAAAACCGATGGTTTCTTTACTGTTATGGCCCCCTGCTCAGTTAGCATCACCTCTGACACCCTATTCCCCCCCGTTTTTCCTGCTTCACACAGGCCCAGCTGTGCTTTTTGATGCTCTCTTTTACGATCGACAGTCCCTCAACCCTTACATAGAGCTCCAGAGCCCTTGCGCCTGTTTCTTCCTCTCCAGTCAACTCTCCCCAGCATGCTTTCTGCCTCCCCCCCTCCCTCGTTAGCAGCATTTTGGCCTTGTCAAGGTCCAACTGTCTATTTTATAGCTCCACTTTTGAGCGGAGTATTCGCAGTTTGTGACCAACCCGTTGCATCAATCCACAATCCCCTTCGTGGGACTGATTCTACCCTCGATCAACAGGCCCCCCCAAGGAAAACCAGCCCTTCCCGCCACAGCTCTTGGCTCCTCAGTCGCCCAGCTGAGAAGCTGAACGGACAAAGAGCTGTCCATTCTGATACTACTCCTCTGGCAAGTTCTCACCCAACAGCCTTTGTTCAGCCACCACTCCCTAAGACTATTTCTTGGTTCATCAGCGCCCTCCTTCTTGAAACGATATTGCATCCACCCTCCGTCCCTTGCCAAATGTTTGGCCTGACCGCCCCCTAGCTGCCCACAGCTCCGCTTTCCAGCAAGCTATCCCCCACTTCGTCGATTGACTTTTCTGGAACAATCCGCTGCCTGGTGCTCCGCCCCCCCAGAAAGAGAATGACCCGCTCATTCCGCAGCTCCCCTTTTCAACAAGCTCTCACCCATCCTCCGGATCAAGGCCCCCTGAGAGGCTGACCTTTTGTTCTCATTTTGCGTCCCTCTTCATTGATCAGCAATTCGTCTCTTGCCAGGTTTTCGGCCTGACCGTCGCCCAGCTGTCCATCTTGATGCTGCCCCTCGACGTCGCCAACCGCAACGCGTGCCAGAGCCAGGTGGTCAACGGCGCTTGCAACCTGACGCTCCCGATGAAGGAGCTCTGGTACGCGATCTACATCGTCGACGCGGTTCTCGTGTTCCTCGTCATCCCTTTCACCGTCTTTTTCTACGAGGCGGACCAGGAGAAGTGAGTCTGGTTTATCCCTCCTCTGGTCTGCTCGATGTTTACGTTTCTTTTCCCTTCTGAAGGGTTGTATTGTCAACGCGACCTGCTCACGGCAGTTTTCTACGAGCGACCAGGAGAAGTGAGCCGGATCTAAGCCTCCTCTAGTTTGCTCGGTATTTACGTTGTTGTGTCCTTCTGAAGGGTTGTACCGTCATCACATCCCGTTCACCTATCTTCTTCGACGAGGTGGACCAGAAGGAATGAGCTGGATTTATTTCCTTCTTCTTTTGCTTGGTGTCTACGTTTCTTTTCTCTTCTGGTCGGAGCATTATAAATGCATCCCATTTCCCTTCTTTTTTCACAGCTAGAAGAAGTGAGCTGGGCCTCTCTCTATCCTTGTTCGGTCAGTGTCGTCGTTTGCTGGCTTGGTTGGTTGACGAACCAGTAGCAAATGTTGCTGCTCTACATCTCCTTTTGTGCTCCACTTATGCTCCTCAAGTTTCATTGGAGGACGCGGTTGGAAAAGCTTTGCCGACATTGATACCCTTCGCCTCTGTGCCCGCAGGACTGCAACGCAGAGGATCACAAGTGCACTCCTCTGGTCGGGCGCTACTGCCGTGGTGTTTGGCCTGATCCTGGGCATCTGCTATGGTAAGTGGACCATTTGCTATGGTCAATAAGGATGCGATGTCAAGAAACGATACCCACAAGGTTGGCTGCTTCAACCGATAAGACCTAGTCTACATTCACTCATGCGGGTGCGGATGTAGGCAGATGCACCTTTTGCACTGATCCATCTACTCTGATACTGTCCAGGGCTCGTGGGCTACGTTGACTACCCCGTCCGGCGGTTGGTGTCAAGTACGGTCCCCATCAGTATAGACTCCTTCAGCAGGCTGTCCCAGACCACCCCCTGCTTCGATGCGGGAAGGGCTCAGGGCGTTGCGGTGAGCCATACTGCACTTTTCGGCAGTCACGTCGCTATAGATTCTTTGAAATACGAAAGAGAAGCAAACTCTAGATATGCACTGGTCGCAAACCAGGCTGCCTGCTTCTTGGAGAAGCGGCCGGTTGCGACTCTGAAGCGCTTCGTATTGCTGTGCTGCACCAGAGTTTGGGACATGGTTAACGATTGTGCAAAAGAAGGCGGCAGGAGTAAGCGAGGCGAGGATACGGTACTTTACTCTTGGGGTCTTATTGGTATCCTGCCTCGGCCAACAGCATAAGCACTTGCGTCGGTGGATCTGGAGAAATTGTGCTCAATCCAGAAGATGAAATAAGTGGCAGCCATGGGCGGGTTATGTTATCTGGGGCTCAGGATGAGTATGCGTGGAGAGCCGGTATATTCAAGGAACGCCGCTTCGGGTTGCTTGGTGCTTCCTTTGAAGCTCATTATCACTCTTTTGACTAGGTCAGCACACTTGTGAAGAGTTCTATATTTCAGAACGAGATCTGGTCATTCAGTACATTCCAAATATAGTGTTTCATTGGCGGGAGGGGTTACTCTGTTGCTTTTGGTGCAGTAGTAGACAAGTACCGTCTCTCATCTCGTTCATTCGTAATCAAAGCACGCTTTTTTCTACAGTGCGACGCCTTGCAAGCCCCCTCCTACACGGGCGAGACGTGGACCATCCGGACGACCTTCCCGGTGTACGTCATCGCGATCACCACGATCGTCGGATCCGTCCTCTTCTCGGTGAGCACACCAGACCACCCAAAGGTGACGTCACTTGATGACGTCACCCTCTTGGAATCGTCGCGAACAAAGGCCCTTGCTGGTTGATGCGACGCAAACAGCTCCTGTGACGGAATCGCTCCTCGGTGGCCATTTCTGGTGGCCACGACTCGACAAGCGAGCTAGACCAAAACGTGGTTACAGATCATACAACCAGAGTCGTTGGGTTTAGCCGGCCGCCCTTTTCGCCCAGGCACTTTAGCCCGTAGATAGGCGCTCTTTTTCTCGAGGGGACGCACTTGAGAACGGACGGATGCAAGTGGGAGCTGTCGTCATCAGTCGACAAAAGGATCATCGGAAGCATCGAAAATGCACAGAGGTTCAACTACGTTTGATTGCTTGCGAGTTCACATCCACCAACAAGCTATGCGGACTTTAATCGCTCATATTCCGGCGGGTTCCACAATCTCCAAGCCCCACGCTGCCATGAAGCTGGGGGCGTGACATTAAACCAGATGGTCAGCGAAACTACCTGTTGAGACCGACCCGACAGAAACCCTCTTTTCGGGCCTGAAGCAGGTCAAGAAGCTGGGCTTCCGGCTGCGCTTTTGAGGTCTCAAATCCTACCCGGAATCGCCGAGATCGTTAACACCGACTCAGAATAAATCCACTTGTTCGTTTGCCGTGCAGATCTTTGGCGGGATTGGTATCATGTGCCTACCCCTTGACATGATCTTCGCCTTCTTGCGGCGCCCAACGGCCGTCATCAGCCGTTCGGAGTACATCAAGGTCAGCCACGTGTCCATTCCTGCACAAGCCACGCGTCAAAGTAAAATTTGACGCCTTTGAAAAGATTGCTAGACGTCTTTTGAGTCGACTGGGGAACTTGTTTGAAGGAGGCGGTGCATGGTGTTTTTCCTCGAGCGGTGCGTCCTGTTTGGCAGCGAAAAGGGACGCAGAAGCCGGCGGAGCCTTGAAAACTTTTCAGCCCTTCTCTTAAGAGATGGCCTTTCAGTCGTGACTACAGATGCACCGTGTCGCAGACGATTTTCGACTCCCCCTGCTGACGTCATCCGCAGGTAGCGAGGCCAGTGGTTCAACTGAGCACTACGTATCTTCTGAGTCGTTCGCCTGACAAGAATCTAAGCCCCCTTCCCTGCAAGCGTCAACGTAACCTGGCAACCACAGTTCCACAATTGTCATTTGGGCGCGTGAGACTGATTCTAATCCACGCCGCTCTTCTCTTGTAGGAAGCGACGGACCTGGCAAAGCGGTCCAAGGACATCCGAGACGTGGCCCTGGCGCTGCAGCGCGAGGAGCGCTCCGGGAACAAGGGCCGCAACTGGCGCAAGAACGTGCGCCGGGTGGAGCGGGTGAGCCTTCGAGTCGTTTTTCTCGGTCTGATTGCGGGAGCGAGTGTTTTCATTTGAGCTGGTGAGGGTGAGAGTTCTAAAGCAGGTCGTCGTTCCCTCTTCGATAGATACAAAGACCTTTCACACTCCGTTGAAGGCGAGCTGCTGATCCCGAAAGGGACGAGCAGTATCTGACGGAAACGTACCCTTTGCTACGAGTATCTTCGATGCAGGCAGAAGTTCGAAATTTGCAAAACCCGTAAATGCAGGTTCAAGGAACCGTACTTCTTCTTTCCATTGTCCCACAGAAGCTGCTGCTCTTGAAGGAGGACGAGCAGCACCTGACCGAGACGTCCCTCTAGCGAGCACTGCCTTGCAAGAAGGTTCTTTAGTTTCTCAACCTCGCAAACACGGGAACCCTATATATCTCTTTGGAAACAAACTTCCTCAGAGGAGCTGCTTTTCAGGAGGAGGATGAGCAGTGCCTGAACGAGATGTACCTGCACGGCGAGAGATACGAACACAATGTCTCGTCATATCATGTCTGATAAACCATATTTGAACTCTTTTCCCGCAGGAGCTGCTTCTTCTGGAGGAGGACGAGACGTACCTGACCGAGATGTACCCGCAGGGCGAGCAGCCGGAGGCGCTGTGGATCTTCACCGTGCTGCGCTACTTCGGCAACCTGTTCTTCGGCCTCATCGGCATCGTGGCCTCGATCGCGTGGATCATTCACATCATCATCTACGTGCTCATCAAGCCGCCGCTGTCGCAGTTTCTGAACCAGGCCTTTGTCAAGTTGGACGAAGCGTGGGGTAAGTCTCTGGGTTTGAAACCAACTTAGTTATCTTCTCGGTTTGGGTTCGAGGTTTGCTGGGGTTATAGTGGACGTCCGATTATTATCTACGTGCTCATCAAGCTGCCGCTGTTACAGTTTCTGAACCAGGCCTTCGTCAAGTTGGACGAAGCGTGGGGTGAGTTTCTGCGGGGTTTGAATACGCTCGGGTTGGGTCGGGTTTGTGGATATGGTGGAGATTGGTATATTGCGTGCTCATCAAGCCGCCGCAGTCGAAAAATTTGAACCAGGCCTTCGTCAAGTTGGACCTTAAATGTGGGTTTGAATAGCTTTGCAGGTCACCAGACCCTACCTGAAATTCCGTCCAAACCTCGCGCAAGTCCACCCAACCTTCCTTAAAACGTCAAAACCTCGCCGGAACACTCGCCCAAACCCCGCCCAGAGTCTTGCCCAAAACCCACCCACCTAAGCCTCACCAGCCCTCGCCCAAATCTCGCCCAAAATCGCTCCCAGAGCTCGCCCAAATCGCATTCGAACCTCGCATTTTTTTTTTCCTTTGCAGGTCTGCTCGGCACCGTTGCGTTTGCCGCCTTCTGCTTCTACCTCTTCCTCTGCCTCATGGCCGGGGAAATGAAGGCCGGTTTCAACCTGCTCATATTTACCATTCATCCCATGAAGTGAGGCCGCCAGTCCGTCTTTATCGTTTTGTTCTGCGTCTTTCAACGTTTTCCTTTTGCCCATCTTCTTTGACCTGCTCATATTTAACGATCCACCCCATGAAGTAAGACCTCAAGCAGCTTTCGTCCGCTCCTTCTTCGTGTCTTCTCATCTTTTCCTCTCATCTTGTTCTCTCATGAAGTGAGGCCGCCAGCCCGTCTCCTTGTTTCTTTTTCCGCTTCTTTGAGTTTTTTAGCTTTGCCCATCGGCTTCGACTTGCTCACCTTCACCATTCAACCAATGAAGTGAGACGCCTTCCCATTTTCTCGGTTCCCTGATTTGCGTCTTTCAAGCTTTTCTTTTTGCTGTCCTGCTTTAACTGCTCATTTCTACCTTCTACCCCATGAAGGAAGACCTCAGGAAGCTCTCGTCAGCTCCTTTTTCCTGTTTTTCGTCTTTTTCTCTTGGCCTATCTGCTATAATCTGCTCATCTTTTTCCTTTTAACTAGGACACCATATGGTCTCGTCCGCTCCTCTTCGCGTCTTTCATCCTTTGCTCTTTGCCCATCTGCTTTGATCTGCTCATTTTCACCAATCATCCCATGGAGTGAGGCCGCCAGTCCGTCTTTATCATTCTGTTCTGCGTCTTTCCATGTTTCCCTTTTGCCCATCTGCTTCAACCTGCTTACCTTTCACCATCCATCTCATAAATGGGGCCGCCAATCCTTTTCGTTGGTTCCTGTTTGCGCCTCTCGTTTTCCCTCTTCGCCCCATCCACTCCTGAAAAACATGAGGTTCAAATTTTTAGACTTTTAGGAACGCAAGGCCACAGAATTGCGAAGCATGTTTCGCTGCTGCGCCTTACTTCCTCTTTCTGTTCTTGATCTGTCCCGTTGGTCCGTATTCTGTCTTCTTCAGCTGCTCCTGATCAGTCCTGTTGCTGCGTTCTCTTGTTTTGTTCCTTCCCCACCGTATCTTATCTGTCGGTTCGCGCTTGTACTGCCTTCGTTTCGCTTGTACTGCCTTTACTTTACCCTGTTACCTCCTGTCCGTTGTTGCTCGTACTTCCTTTCCTGTTGTCAATACCAGTCTCTCTGGAAATCATTGTGAAGGCTTGCAGACGCAAATTTACCAGGCGTGCTTTCCCGAAGTTTTTGCAGTTCTAATGTGTTGCCCTCTCCTCTCTTGGCAGGTCTGGCAAGACCCTCATGAACTCGTTCCTCTTCAACGTCGCCCTCATACTGCTCTGCTCCTCCAGGTAAGGAGCATACGGCAGATCTCGACAATCTTGTACAAAGCTCTTTCGGAAAACCCAGGATGAAATTAACCGTAGATCTTCCTCAGTCGAAGGGCCAGGCTTCTAATTTTCCGGAGGAGCGGTCCGTTGGAGCTTCCGAGCGCTGTGTTTCGTTCGAACAGGAAACAAGCACGAAACGAGCACCGTCGAAGTTCTGGGGACCGGTTTGACGAGGTTCGCAAAGCTGTGTGTTACAAAAGAAAGAAGCCGAATGGTTTTAAGCCGCATGATTGGAAAGTTTTCTTGCCATCCACTCGAACGCATCGAATCTTTGAACTTGTAGCCTCCGCTGTATGTAGCACACCTGTGTACAAACCTTGCCGTTGGAATTAATGGGACATATGATCCTCGATCTGATGTGGATGTGAGGAACCGCAAACTTTGCCAGCAGTTGAGGATCCAAAAGTTCTTGATCCGCCACTTCTTTTCGAGTCGGGTCAACTTTGTTCTGCCGTTATCTTCTCTTACATTATCTGAAGGCAAGACTTTACGTGGCCCTGAACCTTGAGAAACAAGGTTCATTAAGCAAACGAGCAACCTACTGCAAGGACCCCCAGCGGTTTATCCAGTCGCCACAACTAACTCGTGCTCCGGGTTGCTGCAGCGTTATCTTGTTCTGCCAGTCCGCGTTTGCGGTATACGCGCAAGAGACTGCCGTCTCCGAGATTTTCGGACAGCAGCTGCAAAACCTGCGGGGCATCAAGTACCTCTTCAGGTGAGCCGCTCACAGAGTCGCACGTACATGTTCAAAACAACATCCAGAAAGTCAGGGTTTTGAATCCGCTCTTACGTCCGAGCTTCCATCAAAGGCCTGCCCTGCTCTCGTTTCCCTACGGAAATGCGCGTTGGATCTGGGGGAAAAGGATTGGGCGTGAAAGAGGGTTTGTCGAGATCATTGCACTGTCCTCTTGGCTTCGACGAAGCAACTTTTGGCACCACAGACAATCTAGCTATGCTGTGCGCTACTGGCCCCAGAATGCATCTGGTCGGATCAGGATTGATTTGAAGCATCGCTGATTGTCTGTGAAACGTTCTTCAATCTGACACGGGCGAGATGCTTTGCAGGTTCAACATTTTCCCCATTGCATTCGTCGTTTTCGCGCTGTTAACGCTCTTCTGGTACTTGGCGTTCGGGTGGAGGAAGCGGAAGGTCCGGAGAAAGATGACGATGGCGGATCTGAACACTTAAGCTGGCGGTCTTCGTTAGCTTTAGCCTTTGCTTTACCACTTGCTGGTACCTTACAGAACCTCTTGCGCCGCTTATCCGAAGAGACCCCTCAGAAACGTGACATTTCGCGCTTGCCAATTGTACCTCCGATAAGGCAGAGTGATGTTGTGTTATTCCAAGTGTTCGTGGTCACGTCAAACCAGTGTGGATTGAATGTCATGATTGTTGCACATTGATGAAGGCGGTACCGTGCTCGCATCTTTGCTGGCAAACAGGATAGGAGGTTAACGTAATGGCTTACCAGGCAATATACATGCCAGGCCCAAGACAAGTGCGGTAGGCGGCTGCGCAACAGTGCATAAACTGAATTTTGCAAAGGTCACCGTCGCAACGTTCAAACAAAGTGCTGTGCGCGTCACATCGAGTTCAAGTACGGTACGTTGCAATATTCCGCTTTGCTCCAATCCTCGCGCCAGCTCTCGCAATATATAGAGCTGGCTGCCAATTTAAGCTAGTTCAGGGTGCATGCAGTGTCATGATCATACTAATTATGAAAGTGCGGAGCACATGATGATCATAATAAATATATGAAATTGCTGCAAGCACCATGACTTGTTGGCATGCACGTAATGTAGTATAATTGCGGGGCCGGCCGCGGGCCCCCGGGGCATGTGTAGTCTTGAAGACCCCGCGGAGCACATGTGACAAATTAAGCATGCAAATTGCATTAAAATCAGTCGCGGATTTGTTTGAATTTGAGGACTGGCCTTCTTAAGGACATGGGCCTTCTTAAGCGCCGGCCCAGCAGCTGGGCCCGGGCCGGGCAGCGTACATATTCCAACGTGTGAGGTGTCATTTCCGAGTATATGAGTTGGCCTACACGCGTACTGCATGATTGTGATGTATTGCAAATTGTTCATTCTTTGCTAGGGCACAATATACAACTTTACAATTAGTATTGCATGAAAGCACATAATGAAGATGTGCAGCCTGCGCCACGCTCTTCTCAACGTCCCGGCAACGAAAGATACCGCATACATGGTCATGCCCATGCCCCATTTGAAGTTTCAATCCTTTAAACCATGCAAAACTTGGCCAGTAAAAGCGTGCGACATCTGGTCATGAAGAGTCCCAAGTTCTGCAAAGTGGGTCAGGGTCTAAGATCGGCTCGTACATGGGTCGAACGGTTCGACCAGATCACGAACATTCGTCGAGCTTCAATCCGAGTGATTCCAGTGTGAGCGAGTGATTTGCTTTCAATCAAGTATTTGCTTTGAAGTCGGACGTTGTCACACGATAGAGCGATACACTTTAGTGCAGGTTCCTGAGTTATCCGCCGGAGCTCACCAAAACTCGCGCGCTTGATTGGGGATGCGCTCTCACTGCTCTATAGCATTGCAGGCTACACAACGGGAGGAGGGTTTGGGAGTCCCGATACTTGTATGCGTTTCCGCATGCTGGAGCAGAGCACTTTGATAGCGGTGGAGGAGGCCTGCAAAAATGAAGCATAACTGAATAAATTGAATTTACAATAATTGTACAATCAAAATCGACTATCTCAGCGTGAGTGCCTTGGCACAAAGTCGTGCGACAGCAAACGCACAAGGTAAAGCATCAATCGCATCGTTCTTGGCCGTAAGAAATAACTGTTTATGCACCTTTCCTTCGTAAAATCCCCCTGTTAACCGGAACCTCATTGAGTGGCTCGGTGTTATTATGGAGGACGAGCGATGATATAGTCAGGACGTGCAACGTCCCTCCCAAACAGTTTGCTAAAAACGACGATCTACGATACCCTTGTTAACATGGAAGGAAAGGGTGCAGGACGACTGGAAATGTGAAACGTCATGCAAAGTCGAACAAAATGGAAGTCCTTCGAACGCCCATTATCTTCTTCCCCGTCAAACGCCAGTATACCAGATGTAGTGAAAAACGCACAAGGCATGCCCGTAGCCGAACGAAATGGGAACCTCAAAATAAAGGAGTCGCACGAAGGGGTACTGGGAAACGGATAGAAGTGCGTTCAAAAGACTTGCCTTCGGCAAATTTCTCAGAACGTTTAAAAGACAATGAAACTCATGTACCAGGCTTACCAATGAGAAGGCCGGCTTTTCAGCACGCTCAAGTGATTTGACGTGCCCTTGCAAACCTGAGACGTCGTTGCGTATGCACCCTCCTCAACCACTTATGCCTTACCAAATTCAATCGACGGATCCGTTTTGAAGGAACTGTCGCGTCTGCTTGACGACTCGGACGGTGACTTTGACGCGGCTATCGTCGAAAAGCGACTCACTCAATGGGCGCCTGTGCCAGTTCGACGAGGAACGGCACGGTCGCCGGCCAGCTGCGCGTTGATTTTACAGCTCAAAAAAATTGAGTTCTTGTCGAAGAGCTGCTAACTCAAGGGGCGCCTGCGCCAGTTCGACGGGGAACGGCAAAAGTTCCGGCCAGCTATTGCGTTTATTTCACGGCTCAAAATGCAACTCTCGTCGAAGCGTCGATGGGCCCTGCGCCAATTCGATGGGGAATGGCACGGTCGCCGGCCAAATGTTCTGTCATTTCCACAACTCGAGAAGCGAGCAAAAAGAAACTCTCGTCGAAGGCGACTCACTCAATGGGTGCCTGCGCCAGTTCGACGGGGAACGGCACGGTCGCCGGCCAGATGACGGTCACTCCAGACGCGCTGTCGATTACGCGAACCATGTCGCCCGGTGCTTCGGCGCCGGAAGCCAAACGCTCCTGCTCACAAGTTCTCCGTTCATAACAATCTTTTTTTTTCATCATTTGTTCGACTCCTGATAAAGCTATAAAAAGCATCATTTTTTGCATTTTTGACCATTTCTTATTCCTCGTTGTGGTGGGAAGGGAATGCACGCACGAAATGGGGGGCGCTAGTGGCGGGGGCTCAGTCTCCCTCTCATTTCCGCACTGGTTTCAGCGTTCGTTTTTTCGCCCACTCTAGTTGCATTCAGGGCGCCTAGCTTGGTTGCACTGGCCGCCTCGTTAGGGTTTCTTTTTAAACAACGACCCTAGCGTCTTGGAATCGTTGTCAGGTCTGTGCTTCGAACAAAGGGAATATACAGCGCACACTTTTCGACATATACAGAGCCGGATCCTTTCAGCCCGACAGTAACATGTGCTTCAGGGAGAGAGTTTCCTCAAGCGATAGATGTAACCGTCCCAGATTCTGCCCTGTTCACGACTGCAGCATCTACCTTAACTCAACGACACCTTAACGTCATTTTCTTACGTCATACCCAGAAACATACGAGATTCGAACACGATCCCCCACCTCTTCCTTGGCGTCCCTCCGTTTCTGGACCGCGTCCTCCCGCTTCTTGCGCGTGCTCTCCTGTCCCAGAATCTTTTGGATCGCAGACGCCTGCACAGGACCAATTTGGTCAAGGCAAACCGAACTTCGCTTACTACACTTGACATCATCGTACAGGGCCCCCGAATGCATGTGAACGCTTTGGCTAACGCGAAAGGACCTTCATTTACTACATTTCACGTCATCGTACAGGTCCCTCAAAAGCGGGCACGGTATCTTCCTGTGAGGAGAACCCCATCTAATAATGAACGGCCGCACACAGCAAATCGAGAAAGCAGATTTTCATTTACAACGGTGGAGCTTTGCAGCCGTTCTGTGATGAGAGCAATAATCCCGTGTGCCCCAATCCTTCGTCAAACACTGTACCTGGTTTGTGCCCCAATCCTTCGACCACGTGCCCTCTTAGCCACGTCACCAGGAAACAACTCTCTCGTGACATTCGGCAGATTGTCCGTCCCTCTCGAGCGAGCGGACTTCTGCTTCCACTGACGCCAGCAACAGACCTGATGACGTCAGCAGGCGCGCCGTTCTCACCTGGACCTCGCGGGCGGCCTTCTCGGTGTCGGCCTTGCGCTTGCGCGCGCGCTCCTCCTTCTTCAGCTGTCGCTCGGCCTCCGTGTCCTCCCGCATGCGCTTCTTGTCTGCAGAAAATTGATGACGTCAGTGTACTTTCTTGTCCGCAGACTGCCAAGGAAACGTAAGGGCTCTTGTCTTCGGTGCTCAGAAGGGGCGTGTTGTTCCTTCTAAGTGGACAGGCTAATGAAGCGGACACACTTGTTCACCTGGCTCCAAGCGGTGGTCGCAACTATCAAGTGCCGGGAGGTTCGAGTCGCAAACTGCGCAGCAACAATGAGCATGCGACTGGGCATGAAAAAGCAGCCGGAAAATTGACGTCAACAAATAGCCACTAACGGTAGGGAACACCTCCTTGGACGCAAAATTGCGTGATGCTAAGAAGGACCCTCATGTCGGCACTGCCGACAACAAAGAAGTACGCAACAAACTGACAAGCCCTCCAAACGTACCTGCAAGCCTCTTCGTTGGACTGGCCATCCCATGCGGTGTCCCCAGCCCCCTCCCGCCGTCCCCATTCACATCGCCCCCCTTTTCCGCACTCCCAAGGTGCAGCTCCGTGACATGCAACCGGCTCCGCTCTGGGGGGGGCTTGAATCCCTGGGGACTCCGCCCCCCTGGCGAAAGTCCTGTTCCCTGAGGGGAAGCAAGTCCTCCTCTTAGAACGTCTCTCCGCTTTCCTGGAGTTGTGGCCGGTGAAGTTGCAGCAGGTTCAGGGACTTCGAACTTTTTGGGGGTGTGCGAAAAGGCTCCTGCCTGAGGGGACAGGAGGATTCTAGGGGAGTTTAGTGGGTCTATTCGCACCGGGGCAGTTAACTCGGGAGGTTTTGGACCTGACAAGTGGCTGCTTCTGGCGCTTTCTTGCTCGGAATTTTGTACTATTTGGGGGTTTGGGATTTCTGGCAAAGGCTCTTCTTTCTCCATTTGGTGTACTGGCGCGAGAGGCCCTGCAGATGATTTGCTGCTCTTCTTGTGACTCTGCTTTGGGTTCGGGCTCGCGTGCGCCTTTGGACTGACAGGGCCTTTTGGTTCCGGGGTCTTGTTGACCACTTTGAGGTAGTCACGGTCATCGTCGTCTGGGTCCCAAATGACCTTCGGTTTCGAAAGGCGCCTCTCCCGCCCTTCCACAGGCGGAGACACCCCAAACCCTTCTTCTGCGGGAACCCCTATAGCTTCCTTTTCCGCCTTCCTCGACGAGCCTTCCTCACCGGCGTCTTTAGCCGGCCGCTTTGCTTTCTTTGCCGGCTCTGGAGTTGCCTTGACTTTCTTCTGCTTCTCATCCTTTGGGCTGCGCACGTCTTGCCCCCCCCCGGCATCAGGATCCCAAATCACTTTCGGTTTTGGACTCCGCTTTTCCCTGAGTGCTTGCTCTGCTGTCCCTTTCTCTGCTTCCCCCGTTCCCCGCAGAGTTGCCCGTTTCCGCACGGGGGGGGGGCTGTCCGAGTCGGAAAGGTCTGTCTCGTCCCCCCCTGGCAGGCTCTCGTCCTCATCAGAGTCTTCAACCACCGCACGGCGGTTCCGCTTTGGAGGCGTCTCCTCTGGCACTGAGGCTGGAGCCAAGAAACTAGAGTGGGGGCTTCCCTTTTTGCCTTCTAAAGGAGAGGGTTGAGGAGGTTTGGACCTGCCTGCAGGCAACGACTGGGGGGTAACCTCAGGGGAGGGTTGCTGACCTGCAGATATGAGAAAGTTTTGATCAGGAGATTCTCTATGAAAGAGTCAAGGCAAAGAGAGACGAACGAGCACGAAAGAAGCTCAAACTTCAGCTGGATAGCATGTTGACTGACTCAAACAATCATTCAAGCTTGAAGTCGGTGATTGCAAAGGCTGCGGAACGATCGAGCAGAGTCATTCTCTCTACTGATGGCTGCCTCATCAGTTCAGGCCACGGACAATTGGAGGCATCAAATCAGCTCACAAGGGCCTGAAGCTCTGTTCCCGATGTACTCAAAAGGAAAGCAATTGACCACACGTCTACATGAATTTGAACACACTTGTGACTGGCAAATGGTCTCTGCACCTCAGCATCTGGCGGTGCGCTTGCGCTGAACGTCCTGATTCTACGACAAACGTACATAATAAGCCCCATGTACAAGCACCAAGAGCTATCAGAATAACGTCACTTACTGGGGGTCAAGCTGAGCGTGCTGCCTCCAACTTTCAACTTGAGGCGCTTCAGGGTGGCTCCGGAGGGAGATCCTGTGTCGCTGTTGCTCCAACCGGATGCGTCTTTCCCAGAAATCTCTGAGTGCTGCTTTTGCAACCTGCCCCCAGCTACCGTCGTTCTGCGTCTATCCTCCATTGTTCACATGGCCAACATTTGCCGCGAGTAACCAAGAGGCGTGCAGTCCCAACCTGTACTGCGGCAGCTTGACTTCAAGAAAACTCTGAGAACGCTCTCAAAATGATGTTGAACATTCAGTGACGAGACAGGTCGGGTCACGATTCAGGTGAGCTTGACGAAGCCTAGGACATTGAGGCCAGACCAGCCAGACTGAAAAATCTTGTGAAATGCAACTGCTCTGCTCGTCCCCAACATGGCAACAAGCACAGATAGGGCTAGAGAGAGACTGAAATACTAGGTAGTGAGCACCATCAGTTTGTTGCAGGAAGCACATGAGCCCGCATGAGCCATTGGCATTTGGCCCATGATGATGTAGGTACGTTCTATGCATTTTGAAGCTACATATCGGTGACGTGGCAATTTTATTTGTCCCGGTTGGCATGCTTAGACATAAAACTTGGGTTAAGGAATCTAACTCATACATAGGATACTCGCTAGGCTGTAGACAGAGCTGTTGAAGCTCCTAGAAATCTTGAATTAACCCAAAAACGTTTGGAAACCCGTTTGGCACTCGGGCAGTTCCACCCGGTCGATTGCAAAGAAAGTTTCGCCAATTCTTCTTTCAAGAATTTAGTTCAGCTGGGGCCAGCATTTGCACCATTGGGCACCACATCACAACTTCTAGACAGATTAGATAGGGAGATATGAATAGGAAGCATGGAATGGGGCTTTTGAAGCTGTCTCTCCCAATACAGGGGATGCTTACGGGTCTTAGGTAGAAATCCGGTTTGAAGCTGTGTCTCGTGCTCATCAATGCAGATCTCAATCAGCTGCGTGTGAAGGTGGTGCAAGGTTTGCAGACGGGGGAGCTGTGAAGGTGAGAAAATGTTTCGCCTGCGACAACATGATGAACACAGTCTGATAAGAAGTTTCTTGCAAAGGATGTTGCTGTTGCGGGAAGATCGAAAGTTCTGATTCTCAGGCTTCGGGTTGCAAGTCTGTGGAACACCACTTTTAGGGTTTCCTTAAAGCACCGATCGAGGGCCGAATAATAAGGATTGGCCCTTCTAACTCCACTGCTCCTTTTTGAAACCCTTTTGCCGTCAATTTTCAGATGACGAAGTATTGCATCTCCCTTGCAACCTCTTATTCTCCATCTTGAACCACTTTTCAAGTTGGCATTGGGGCACTGGTTTTCACACCACTTAATCGAAGACGGTGTTCAAAGCTGGCGTTCAATTCACACTATAATGGACCTGGCTACTCCTTTGTGACTTAGGGACATTCATTTGTGCTTGAACGCACATCCACATCCTGTACAACTGCTCCGTATTCTCCTATGTTTTCCCGTCAAGTCTATCATCTTTTGGGGCTTTTGTGTATCCTGTTGTTGTTCTGCCACTTCCTTGTTAACGGTTTTAGCAAAGAAGCAGTGTCTGCTTTTCATACCATTGGTCAGAGCTGCATCAGGCGGCTCATTCGTCAGCATTTGTGCAATGCTGTTGCTATTGATCCACCGTGGTTTTGAAATGCTTTCATCTAAGGCGATATATTTGAAGAAAGAGACAAATTTGCAAGGTCGGAATCTACGTCGAAGGCAGTGTGTGCACTTGAGTGCAAGCGCTTTCTTGTGCGCAAAGCGCACTTCTACTGGACTTATTGAGAGGAGGTCTCAACTCTCGTAGGTTCAACTTCAATTCCTGTCAGGCTATCCATGGACGATCGAGAATGATGTGCACATTATCCACTCTGCAATATCTTTATCCAGATTCTTTTCATTCCCCCTGCAGAAGTACTCCATCAGTTGGCAAAGCTGGCGCCTCAAGTAGCACTCCAGCAATGGCTTTGTGTTCAGCGAGCAGGTATCCAGTTCTCTGTACGTTAGGAGGGTCCAGGCTTTCATTGAGGGACACGAAGACTGCTGCTTTCTGTAAGCAAGGATTGGTGACGTATTCAGAGCTTCAAGCTGGGGAAAGGTGCTTGCAGAGCAGACCAAAAGCCTGTCTGTGTGTCAGTGACTCCAAGAGTCCAGCAGTCTGGGCTTTTAGCCTGCTGCCCTTGAAAGTCCGGCACAGGAGGAAACGCCTCTGTAGCGGAGTGTGCGCGTCGGTTCCAGCACGTGATCAGAGGGTGCGGCGTTCAGCGCTTGCTGGTAAAAGTGCCGTCTGCTCAAAGGGGCCATTGGTCAAGGGTTTCGGGGAAGGGGTGTTTCGAACCAGGGGCCAGTCAAGAGGATCGACGGCGCCGGAGGCTGCTTCAGATGACCGGGGGTTTTATGGGGAAGCCAGTGCCTCGGATAAGGAGAGGATTGAAAGCGGAAGGGCCGCCACAACCAGCGGGAGCAATCCAAGCCAAACAAGGGGTCAAAATCAGCAGCTGACAGACCCCCCGGAAGCTGCCGAACCAGCCGCCTCTTCAAACAGGGTCGGGCAGAAGGAGAGGGGCGAAGTGGGTCCGAAGAAGCCGCTGCTAAAGAAGAAGGGGCGAGAGGTGCTGAAAAAGCTGATAGGGGTCCAGGCTGCCTGGCTGAGCGCCCCCCTGCTCGCGCTGGCACAAAAGACGAAAAAGACGGAGGCGAAGAGAAGAGGCGCTGATGCGCCCAAGAGAAAACCGCGTTCGAAAAGGACGGCGGGCCTGGCTGAGGGGGATGCTCAGGGCCTGGGGAGAGGCGAGACTGGGGTTGAAAGGGAGGAGACTGTTACGGAAGGAGGGGGGGGTCAGAAGTTGGCGGGAGAATCTTTGGGGAAGGTGGCAGCTCATGGAGGGTCAGAAGTGCCTGCGGGCGAACTCCCTGGCATGCAGAATGGAAAGGCCGGGGTTAGCCTATCAAAGCAGATTTCTCAAGAAGGTCGGACGTCATTGACAACGGCTGCGGAAGAAGTTCCAGCGAACGGCGCTAATAGCAAGAACGGGGCAGTATATTTGAACGGGTCTGCTGGAGAGGTTGACATGGAGACCTTGGCAGAACAGGATCTGGATCCCGCCAGACAGAGCAGGGGGGTACAGGAAATGGAAGATGAGGGGGCCAGTGGGAGGGGAGACCGAAAGCAAACGGGCAAAGAGAACGGGGCCCAGAATAGGCAAACTGCTTGGGGGTCTGACACAAGCGGGTTGGAGGAGAGGTCGGAGGAAAGTCGAAATGTGGTACCGTTTCTGGCAGGGGCGCCTGAGCAGGAAGTCGCGGGAGAGGCTGCCAAGCAGATTGGGCCAGCGGGTTGGAACGGGTTCGCCAGGACTTTCAAAAGGGACGCTCCGCTAGAGGGGGTGGCTGGGCAGGAAGGTTCGCGCGAGGCTGTGAGCGCAAATGGTTTCGCTCGAGACAAGGCTGTGCAAAGAGTGGTTGAGTCTCATGACAGGTCTCAGAAAGACGGGGAGAGACGGGGGCTTGTGCCGAGCGGTTTGCGGGCCGAGCCGAAGAACGGAGTTTCGAAAACGAACGGGTTCGGGCGGGAGGACTTTCTTCTTCGGCTGGAGCGTGTGCAGAAGGGCCTCGGAGCAAAAGCCGAGGTTCTAGCGAACGAGGCGGGAGTTGCTGCAGCGGCCGATCGTTTGCGAACGGGTGAGAATGGACAATCGTCGGAAGGGGTGGAGAAAGTACTGCTAAGCCTGGGCGTGTTGAATGACCCGCTACCCACTCCGGCAGAGGGGAGCCGCGTCGGGAGGGCGGGGAATTGGAGGAGTAGAAGAGCGCTCAAAGGGGTGGGCACCCGGAGCACCTCGGCAGCGGCCGCGGCGCGAGCGGAGCAGTTTGGGGGGCTGGAAATGACTGGGGACGGGACCCCCCGGGACGGGGAAGACGCGGCGGGGGGAGCCGTGGACTGGGGGGATGGCCCCCTGAAACGGGATGCGAACACGGCCGTGGCGCAGATGGTGGCGTCGAGCAAGCGCTTCCAGAGGCTGAGGCAGTTGGCCCAGGCTTCGGTTAAGGGGGAAGGGTTTCCAGAAGCCGTTTCGGAGCGTGTAGGTCTTGGGACGAGAATCCGGGACGGGAAGAGTCAAAGCGGAGTCGGGGATGGGTTGCGGGAGGCGTTCGCTGCCGTCGAGAGGGTGGTTCAAAACGGAACTGCCAAAGCTGAGGGCAGAGGGGAAGGGAGGGTTTCGGGAGAGGGTTTGCGACAGGGGCTGGCAGAGAAAGAGGGAGGTTTACAGTTTGAGAGCAGAAGGGCAGCGTCAAACGTGTTGAGAGACGGGTTGGCTGCAAATGGGCGGATGCCACAGAGAGGAGCGGTGGAGACGGGGGTGAGAACGATTCCAGGGGGAAACGGAGGAGAAATTGCAACTGGAGTGGAGCACTCGGTTCCAGCGGCGCTGGACGGAGTCCGGAATGGGGCGCCAGAGGGAGCGTTCCGTGCACGCGAGCCGCCTGCTGGCAGAGCGGATCGAAACGGGCTTGCTGAAAGAGAAGGGCTGATGGCATCGACTGATGGACATGCGACACCTGGCGCGCTCACGGCAGGCGAGAAGGCGGTGCAGAACGGAGCGTTGGAAGGACGGGGGGTGTCGGAGGAGGGAAAAAGTGTTCCGGTGGTGGAGGGAAGTGAGTCGGTGGAAGAGGGAAGCGTTCCGGTGTTGAACGGAGCAGTTCTGGAGGGGAGCGAAACAGAGGCGGTTGCATCGAATGGAAAGGCAGCGAGGCTGGCAGCAGCTTCGAACGGACACGCAAGCTCCGTTCCGGATGCAGCGCTCTACGCTGAGCGAAGCGAGAACGGTGCTGCAAGGAGAAACGGCAGTTTAAACGGGGCGGCTGCGCGGGATGCGGCCGAATCGGAGCGGCATGCGTTTACCTCTCTCCAATTGAAAGACGGGTTCAGGAACACTAACGGGCCTACGGCGAAGGATCAGTTGGAGAATCCGGTTCAAAGCCCCAGGGACGGCTTGCACGAAAGCGCGAACGGCATGGTTTTGGTAGGCGTACGTAACGGGGCAGCGTTGTTGGAAACAGGGTCCTCTGTCCGGGCAGAAGGCCGGCTGAATGACGGAGTCGATTCTACCAACGGCGTGGCTCTTAAGAGCGCGCCTGTCCTGGTTGCCGTGTCGAGGGTTGCAGAGGACGGGACTTCTGCGGGGGCCGGACAGAGAGTGACTGTTTCTGGGGTGCCGTTAAATGCTGTTGTCTTGAGGGGGGCAGGGGATGGGGCGGGCGATGGTTCAAATGAGGGAGGGTCAGTTGCAGTGCCCATCAAGTCGCTCCCACCCCCCCTCCCGATCAAGAAACGGAAGAGCGCTGAGAAGATGATCGAGCGGAGTAAACGGCCCGGGGGACCTTCTACCGGTCGCTCGGACGGCAGCCCAGAACAGACCGGTAGACGGAGTTCGGTGCCCGGGGGTCCCGAAGACGCCCCGGTGCTCGTGACCGCCAGTCGGAAGATCGGGGAAGAAGCGCAGGCGATCGAAGAGATACCGGTGGTACGGGAGCAGCCGAAAACGTACACATTGGAAGAGGACGAGAAGCTGTTTGAGGCGCTCGGGGTACGGCTTACCGGGCAAGAGATGTCGCGGATCGCGGAGTGGTTGAAGTCGCAGGAAGTCCCGGAGCTGAAGCTGGCGAGGCCGCGGGACCGCACCGGGCGGTACTTTCTGATGCCGGTGATCAAAGCCGTGGAGAAGCATCTACGGGAGCACGGGAGGCTGCGGTCGGAGAACGACGTCGCTACGAACGCGCCCACGGTGCTGGCAGAGACGGCGGGGGGAAAATTCCCACCAGGAGCGGCGGCAGGTCCGGCCGGTGGTGAGAATGGGGACGAGTTTTTCCAGGCGATGAGCGAGGAGCTGTCGGCGGACGTCGTGTTGCGAACCCAGGAGTTGCTGGCGAATCAAGACCCGGCGGGGGGGTCGGAAACCGTGGGAAGCGGCACCCCCACGGAGAAAAAGGCCGAGTTTTCGGACTTTTTTGAGGACGACTCGGACAGCGACGTCGAGACGTTATTCCAAAGGGCGGGGCTGACTACTGACGGCCGGCGGCAGCGGCGGTTGGAGAGCCTGGAAAAAGCGGTGATTGCCGAGTATCTCATGGGGTTGAATAAGCAGGGGGCCGACCCCCCCAGAAAGGAGGACTGGCCGTGCGCGCCCGACGGGGAGCGCTACTCCCGGGAGACCCTGCGGGGGGTCTGGCGCGAGGCCGACGAAATGGGGGGGCTGCCAGCGTATCTAAAACTGTGTCAAGAAGAAGAAGCGATCGAACGGTTGTTGGTGGAGAGCCTAAGCAGGGGGCGGCCTTTGAAGGGCGAGGATTGGCGGGAGTTGACCGCGGAAGAAACGAGGGCCGTCGATGGGATGCATCCGGGGGAAAGAGCGTCGGCGCTGGAGTTCATGCTAGGGCTTCTCCGGGGGGGGGAGCGGCTAGACTGGAAGAAGCATAGGGACGTGTGGCCCCGGAAAGTGCGCACGGCGCATCTGATCAAGGCGCGGCTGCTGCTGGCGCTGGTCAAGGTGGCGCGGCGGCGGGGGGGGCTGGAGGCGTATCTGGAGGAGTCCAGGAGGGAGCTGGAGAGACGCTCGGGTGCTTACTTCTTGCTCTCTTTTTTTCTGCCATGAAAATGTCCTCTTTGTTCTTCGGAATCTTCACAACATTGCACATGTTTGTGTATGTCGTGCTCACAAGCAGCGTATCTGGAGGAGTTGAGAAGGGTGTTGGAGGTGCGTTTCCATTTGTTGATTGCTTCTTTTGGCTTGTGTTGCTATCTGGTGATTTGGATGTTCTGTTTGTTTTATATTTGCACTCACAAGCAGCGTATCTGGAAGAAGCCTGGATGGAACTGACGAGACGCCCAGGTGCATTCCTGATCGCTGATTGCTTCCTTTTGGATTTTGTTGTCTTTTTGTCATTTGGATGTTCTCTTAGTTCTTCTCAATCTTCACACCTTCGCGCATGTCTATCTGTGCTCTCACAAGCATCATATCTGGAAAAGTCCAGGAGGAGTCCGAGAGACGTCCACGTGTGTTTCTAGATGCGGTTTGCTTTTCTTGCTTTCTTTCTTTCTTGTCCAAGGTGTTCTCTTTTGTCTCGATATTTCAAAACTTGCGCATGTCTCTCTGCTCTTGTTGTCAAGCAGCGTATCTGGGGGAGTCGAGGAGGGAGTTGGAAAGACACTCAGGTGCGATTCTGGAACCGCACCTGAGCGTTTCCTTTCTTCGTGATTATTGCTTTCTTCCATTTTAGTTGTTCTCTTTGTTCTCTTTAATCTTCACAAATTTGCGCATGTCTGTCGTTTTTTTTGTGTGCCCGCAAGCAGCGTACCTGGAAGCGTCTAAGCGGGAGCTGGAACAACGCTAAGGGGCGCTTGTGGATGCAATTCGGTTCTTTCTGACCTCCTATCTTGGTTTGCCATCTGGATTCGCTTCGGTTCCTGTGCCCTGCCCACTTCCGCTTAGTATGTCGTTCTAGTGCTCACCGGCAACTCTTTCTACAACTCCCATTCTCTACTCGAAAACAACTCGTGGTGAGCGGGTTAACATAGCTGCCGACCGAACTCAATCCGAGGACGAACTTACGAGCAAACAACCAGCGCCTTAAAGAGGGCGTCAGATTTCAAAGGACACTCGTGCATCTGAGTCCTCAGGGGAAATTTCATCCAACGGACCAGATTCCATCTCAGATATTGTCCGGAGCGACCAGTTTGGCTCTATGGGCACTTTGCTGGTCGCCGAGGGGGAACCGGTCCCCCCGACGCCCTCTTTAATCATTGACTCTACTTTTTGTTACTTTTCATGGACTCCTCTAAAGTCCCAATTTCCTGCCCAACTGCAGATTCTCCTGGCGGACTGCTCGCTTCGACCTCAGAGCCGTACGATGACTTGCTTGAGTCCGATGCGGACAGCGATCTGGACGACGATTCCGAAGAATCTTCGGAGTTCGCTTCAGCACGGGCGGGCCGCTTCGCGACGGGGGGTTGGAAAGAGGCGAAAATAGACCCCGCTGTGAGCGCATCTGCGACGGGAGTAGGTTGGAGAGCGGCGAGCTTTGCGAGGGGGGCGAACTCCGAGGCGAACGGCTCCCCCTCCGGCGGAGCGCAGGGGAGTGCAAGGCAGTACGATCAGAGCGGGGGGCTAGGAAGGACTCTGGCTGGTGAGCTGCCCAGATTCTCAGAATCAGGTCTTTTTACGTCCTCGTCTGGTCTGAGACCGAACTCCTGCGGTGAGTCGTCAGTTGAAGCGAAATGAGGTTGCTTGAGCCGTACGCAGAAATGCTGCAGCTTATGAAGGCGCACAAGCCGGTCTCTCTGAACGCTGGATGCGTGGAGGCAAGTACAGTACGTCCGTCTGCCATCTGTTGAGACACCCCACGGCTGTAGAAGCAGACCTCTGCAACGCACAAGGATTCAGAAATTATGAGGCAAATCCCTCGAGGTGTGCTGTGACGCGCTCAGGCAGATTCGCTCCAAAGTTTCCTCCCACGCTGCCGTCTTCCATTATGCTTGGATTAGAAAGTCCAGAGTTCAGGAAGTCAAGCCCCGAAACCCGAAGGTCGGACATCGGTCAACTCATAACCTTCGTTCGGTCAGCTTTTAACCCTCGTCAATTTCGCCTTTACAGACAGTCTGGGCACCCCCACCCGCCTCTTTAACCAAACTCCTCAACCCGTCGACCGGCCATCGCCCGTCGATCCGGACCCCTCCAAAATCCCGCGAGGATTTCCCGTGCGCCGCCCAAAGGAGCCCGTTCCCCGCGACCCGGGAAGCGGTTTCGCCACCTGGCGCGTGCCGAGCTCGGACCCCCCCCGTCAGTTCAGCCCGTCTCGGACCTCCCCGCCAAGTCCGGCGAACTCTAGAAGAGGCGGAATGATACGGTCTGCTGCCGACAGCAGTGCTCTGTCCCGGCTGGCTGACGGCGCGTTGTTTCCGGGGGGTGATCCTTCGCAGCAAAGCGACCCCCCGGTTTTGGAAAGCGCGCCGACGCGGCGTTGGCTCGGGCTTTATGACGCGAGACAAGCGGCCGTAGAACCGGAAGGCCCTGTTTCCTCTACAGTTGACACTTTTCCCGCCCACGAGCGGGAGACCGCAAGCAACGCCCCCCAGAACGGGGCCTCGCGCGAGCTCTCCCCGATCGAGCGCCGCCGCCGTCGGCGGCTCCTGGGGATCAAGGTGCAGCGGAACGAGAACGCCGGCATGACGGACGATGACGTCAGCGGGCAGGGGGGCGATGACGTCACCGGGGGTGGGGTTTTCGAGGTGGTGGGCCGGCAGCCCCGGTCGATGCGCGAGGTCCTGAGCGGGTATGCGCAGGAGACGGTGTTGATGCGGGCGGAGGAATTGGCGCAGCCTGTGCTGGTGGAAGATAATATGAGGGCCGGGGACGAGGAAGGACTGCTGGAGCGGCTTGTGACGGGGCACAAGTCGGAGATGGAAGAGTAAGACATCGTCGATTTTCTCTTCTGTTCTTTTTATTGAGAGTCTTGTTCCTTGTGTGCTTTTGAACATATGCTTCTATGCATACGTGTCTTGCTTTCGCGAGATCAACTCTCGCTTGTGACGGACCGACGTTGAAGGTGAACACTTCAGGTACCTGTTTTGCAAACTTTGGCGCCTCTGGTGTCGTTGTTCCCGTTTTTTCCCCCGAACAGTCCGTTCTCTTCAAAGAAACAAGGCCTCGAGTTGGTGCCACTTTCCAGGAACTCTTTGATATATTATCGGTGCCCTTCGCACCCGTTGCAAAGGCGCCATGCAGTCTTCCTGAAGCAGCCTTGTGCGAACACATCTCATGATGCTGCATGAGCTGTAGTGGGAGTCTATACGCACTGCAGGCAAAACAATCGGAACTACTCTGCTTGGCTTTCCTCAGTCCCAACTCCGATCCAGCGTTTACACCCTGAGCTTCATGCCTCACTCGTCGCGTGCAGGTTCAAAGACACCTCTAAGCAGTACATGCGGACGTGGCAGGACTTCCAGACGTGGAGCGACTTCTTCCAAGTCAAGAACAAAAGAATGCCCACGGTAGGCGCCCTGCTCTTGTCAGCGATCGCAGACAGTCTAACATGTCGAGTGATGTTCACTCAGCGTGCACTACAGCGCTTCGAATTGACTTTGAACTGGTCTGCCTGTCAAGGTGCGTGTTGGGCACATGGCTTTGTTGCTAGAAGAACTTCCTCAGAAAAGCAAATTGGGGTAGATTTGCCCCCGGACTCTATTGTGGGGTAATCGCGTAGCCGTGTTACTCAGGAACTCCTCGACAAGAAAATGAGGTACGAAGTTGCTCTTCGTGTCTCGTAGAGAATCCTGCAACAAATGACCTGTTAGAGAAGGACCATTCGAGGAGCGCCGCTCCCCTCACTTTCAACCAAGAAGCGACCGCCAGATATATTCAAAGCAAACACGCCTATCATCGTGCAGGTTGCGTTCAACAAGCAACCGTGAACAACTTCGGTCTGGAATGAATTTCGCATTTGCTTTGCTCTTGATGAGTCAGTCAAAGCAACAGATCGTTGAACACCCAGAGCCATCTGTCGAAATAAAGTGACGTCTGTTTCATCACTAACCGTCGGACGAAACGACAAGGGCCTTGCTAAGTTTAGTGCTGCGCTTGTTATCCAGCAACAGCGCCTGATTCCTTTACGAAGCGCTCTGCCTTAATTCGTCCGACGAATCGTGCAGGTAACGGACGTCGAGTCTACGTGTATCCCATGGCTGATTGAGAAGGCAAAGGCGTATGTGGTCCTTCGAAAACACATGGTGGGCCCGCAAACTCCCGTGTTCCCCCGTTTACTCCTCCCAATCTCTGGTTTCGGATGCCGTCGCGTGAGAATGCCAGTAACGCAGTGATCTTCTCGTGGGAAACAAAGTCCTCATAAATTTTATTTCAAAAAACTTCAGCACTAGAGTTTTCAACTCAGTGCAACACGTGTTTCTGCCGGAGGATGCACCGCAGAATCTGCGTCCTTTCCAAGCGCCCTTGTTTTGCGTGTCGTACAATCGAAGATATTTGGAGATACATTAGTGGCGACGGCGTCTGGCAGAGCTTCCATTGTTCTGAGCCCATCTCAAACCGGACGTCGAGGGACGTTTTGCTTCGCCCTCAGATCGCACCGTCGCTCATTTTTTGTGGACTGCAACTCTTCTAGCGGGTGAAGCAGCCTGCTCGATACTGTACCCGATCCACACAACACATGAAGTCAAGATTTGCAGCTGGGATTCGAAACCGACTGTTGCCTCGCAGATCAAGCTCGCTGAAGGCAACGAGAAGCTGCTCATTGCCATGGCCGCCATCCAAGCGGAGCTGAACAAAAGGAGCACGGCGTCGATAGCCATCGAAAAAAGTGCCGAATACCAGCGGCAGACTAAACCGGCGTCGAAGAGACCAGTCAAGCGCAGGGGGAGGGGTAGGAAGGAGCTTACGGACCCTGTTGCAGGCCCGATAATTGAGGCGTTTGACAATGGGAACGCTTTCTAGGGCAATTGTGGGGGTTTTGTTGGATTCCTTGCTCAATGTTTTGTAGACGCTCTTTGACATGCCTTGCAAGCCCGGTATGAGATTGCCTCGAATTAATAGTAGTGCGCATCGCAATCTCTGAGGTTGGTTTGCAGCATTGGAGTCTCGGTAATCTCATTCATCTATCCACCAATGATGGCTTTAGCCATTTAACGAGGACAGTTGTGATCGGCACAGCATGACTGAGTCTTAGTAATGGTACCGGATCCCGAAACCTTCCCAAGCTGCATCTATCACAAACCCTATACAAATGTCTCTAGAGTTCCTTAGGCTATCATTATTATGCAATTGCAATCAGGTATGACCACGTTAAGAAGAAATCTACCGTCAATGATATCATCATGATGATGACGCGCACGTTCCTTCTGTGATGCCGGATCTGACCGATCTTCGTATTAGTACGCGTGGGTGACCAAAGCGTGTGGCTGACCATAATCGATATCTCTTTTCTCCCAACGCCTTTAGTCATACTTACTGAAGCTCCTGAGCGTGGTTGAGTTAAGGCGGCCGGCCTGAGAATACTAGTCATTAATTGGATTACCACAGAGCGGACGGCTCCAGGCTAGCAGCATTGCGAAGTATCTTTCGACGCTACCGAACAGCTTACTATCATTAAAGCTCCGTACAAGTTTAAATCACGACGGTCAACAAGTACATAGAAGGTATACCCCGGCCGGGCCTGATTAAAGATCTACAAGCATCGACCATCATGGTCCTTAATTTAGTTCTTGTTCAACGGTTGGAACGGGTCACTATATCTAATAGTATAGCCGCTCAGTCTGAAGTTGTACACGTGCATGCATGCACATGCATATTTTTTGTTAGTCAGTGTTGGGCTGTCGGTTCAATGATTGCAGAACTACCGCCTTAGTGCACTGAGTGGTTAAGAGTCCACATGGGAAGGATAGGTGCGCGCCAGGCGGCTATATCTTCTGGCCGGTACGGCCCGTTTGTTGTGCAACATCCCTTGAGCACTACACTAGAAGACCAGTGCCCGCTCGAGCTCGATAACGGCACCATTTGTGCCTTGCGTCATTCATTCATTCATTCATTCATAGGGTAGCAATTTGTCCGCAACACATTTGAAGCATTGAGTTTTCTACACGGCGGTGATGTGCGTGGTTGTTGTAGTCCGAGGCAATAACAATATCAATCTGAACAATGGTCGTTGGCCAAGCCAACTCAAAGTCGCATGTGAGTGCCACAGCACCTCAAATGTCACTCCTCACTGCTATGCCTTGCTCCAGCAGTCGTGAACAAATCAATGCGACTAACGAAACCAGTCATCGCCAGAGGCCGCGCACCTAGCGTGCTCTGAATTGCAGGAGCTGATCGATGATGAACGGCTCTGGCCTGGCTGCACTGTAGAACTGAGATGCGGGGGAGATGCGCTGACGGTGATAACGCAGCAGACGAGAAGCCGCGTCTCCAACCTGACTCTCATCACTAACTCGCAAAGCTGCTGCCACATTGGGCGCACATGTGGAGGAGCCGGTCGAATGGGCCGCCAAAACAGCCAAAGGTCTCTATGGCTGCAGGGATGTCGTCAGGCGAATGATCGGCGTACTTGGCTGCCTTAGCAGCCTCTGCAACGCGCGCAAGGTGAGCTCGTTAGTGCACGTCCGTAGTATCGTGACTCTTGTGAGCCATGCCTGAAGCCTGCCAGTGCCAAAAAGGGTATTCCAGGTGGGACTCGAACCCACAATCTGTTGATGTCATCATGACACGCGCGGTGACATAGAAGTCAACCGCCTTATCCATTAGGCCACTGGAACGGTTCTAATCGCATTCCGCCGGATTCTAAACGTATGTACGTTAAAATGATTGACGTGCATTATGTCCTAGTGCCAGTTGGCAGTACCAGCAGCGTTCGGCTGACCAATGCAGTGCCACGTGTCACTTTTAAGTTTGCGAGGGATCCCGGACTCCTTCAAACGACTGATTGCATTTGATGATATGTGCGCTGTTTCGTTGCATTGGTGCTGCAGACCGCTGGATCATGTTTGTCTCTTAGTAAAGCTGAGTAAAGCTGTGCACTTGTCAATGACGAAAAGCGCCGGCCCGCTGATCAAGTTACAGTGCTATAGGTACCTACATAGGTAGTAGATTGAAGAGCAGTACATGAAGATGAGAACAAGGTATGGTGCAAAACTTTCTGAACAAACCCAGTTTCTGACTGACCTGCAAGCATTTGAGACCTCTGAGCTTCTTGCCTCTGCATAATAGTGACCTGCACGAAGAGGTTTTCAGCACTGCTTCAAGAAGCTAAAAGCTTTGTGTCATTCGGCAGACAGATTGCTAGAGTCCGTCTCATGTGCTTATTGTGTCAGCTGATCTATGCTCGCAATGTGCTGAGTAAAGTAGGAGTGCGTAGAAGTGCGTTCCTGAGAAGGCTGGTGGTCAGCAGAGCCTGGCCAGGACGAAAAGGTCTGGCTGGCATTTGGTTTGAAACTTGACCTTTTTGGTGTGAGTTGCTGCCAAGCTGGCAAACGCTTTGAGCCCCCACTACTTACGTCCAATGGCACTTTGGCAGACAAACAGCAATAAGGTTCAGAGTCTCCGTGCACTTGGAATTGAAAGCCCTGTACTGCTCTGAAGGGTAGCACTTATTACCTTTTGCAGGTCATAATGGAAACGGACTATGAAGATCAGCTGAGGAGACTCTGTTCTGCATGGAGGCGTCAAAACACGGCTGTGGAGCGGCGAAAGCTGTTGGAGACAAAAGCACGTGAGTGATACCGCCGCTTGAATACCCTTCACTGTCAACAATACAGCAATGAGACCTATCAAATGTCTCTTACAAAGCTTTCCTTCTGTTGCATGAGCCAATGGGTGCAGCTAATAAAGCAGCTGGTGATTGTGACCTATCCACTTTAAGAATACTTCTGGGGCGAAATGGGGGCTACTGGCAGGTGCTTTTACCACAGAATGAGCAACACCCATTGGCATGTGTAAGCTGAATGCAAATATGCTGAGTTTCAACGAATCAAGAGGAGACCCCCCATGTCATGGAATCTGAGGAGGCTTCTGAAGTCAGGCTTTTGACTGAAACAGTGTTGAAATCTTTTGCTACTTTGAACAAACCCGGAACTCAACTAGTGGACCCGCATATTTTTCTACAGGTTGTCATTATTATGTTCATGTGGTCCTGCTCGAGCTGAGTCATCACTCATTCATTGCATTACCAGCTCCTCTCTGCTTATCGCCCAAACGCTCAGTTCTGCAGGACTCCTGCGCGTTATGCTCATAGAATCATCTGCTGTTGTCTTAGTCGCCACCCTAAGCGTCCGCAATGCGGCCGCAATGGGTCATCCTTCAGGTGCAACGGCCTTCCGTATGGCCGTGATGTCTTAAACCCACCCTGCTTGTCATCGCCCTGCCTGAGTACCTTTCAACAGACCTATCAACATTGCCTCAAAAAGCGAAGCTTCGTTACCACCTGTTATCTATGTCTCTTCAATTGATGTAGAGTAAGCTTCAGGGAAAGTAAGCTCCTACTCGAACGCTGAGAACCAGATCACCCGCTCCGCACCCGTACCCACCCTAAACCCCCAGACTAACCCCACCGGTCCCAGGCTGGTTAGCTTACTATACCTGGAGCTTCCTTTACCTACAATGAACTCTTATTCTTATCATGGCAACCCCCGAAGGCGAGGTTTTGTTAACCCTTCCTAGTTGCTTCAATAAACCTGAGATTGTGAGATAGTAGATCTGAGCTGATTAGCGTGTTTCCCGCTTCGTTTCAAAGGTAAGAAGGGGTCGGGTTTGCTTCCGGAAGGTGCTCTGGAGGCAGCCAAGGCTGAGGAGAGGGCTGCACGGAAGCAGTTTATACAGTTCAACGATCAAGTCAAAGACATTGAGCGACAATTCGGCCTCAGTGAGTTTTCTGGAGAGGTTCAATATAGAATGCAACTGATGCGACTTGGGGTGGCTTGTGAAGGGGTGATACATGATGGCGCTTCTTATACTGCATCAGCAGGTCAGGACATTGTTTGACGATGCGGCAGAAGCTAAAGTGAATTCTCCGTAGCTCTGGTCAGATGAATTGCTTTAGGATAGCCTTCGGTTTTCCAACAAAGGCGGAAGCATTCCGCGGTGAAGCCATGGATCGATGTCCTACGACCATCTCTGCGATTGGCGTTATCATTCTGTTGCATGCGCCTTTACTCTCGGGTTAAGCTGTTACCATGTCAATGATAACATATGGAAAAACAAGAAATATATCCTACATGTTAGACGGAGAAGCGGGGTTCGAAACATGCATGGCAAAGTCCCTTTTTCCGTCTGAATTCGTCTATTTCAGACCAACGACGCGCGAGCTGCAGGATTGCCAACTTGGCATCGAGTTTTAGTTCTGTGCCGAACTGTTTTAGCTGGAAGAAGATCCGGCGGGGGTTCATTTTGGCCGAATCAGCTTTTGCAGCAAATTGTTCACTGGCCTGCCTTGCTTCCATCAGAATGTTGCTGCTCGCATTTCTTGTTCAGAAGACCGCTGACTGCGAAGTTTGTTGAGAAGGTTCGGCTGCGGCGCAAGACTCGAAGCTCACTTGGCTTAGCCTTGATCAATATAACGAGTCGGCAACAATCTGCCTACTGATAAATTTCAGCATCATTTGCCAGATTAGGTGCCCTTTGTAGTCTCTAACTAAGCTCTTCTGCTTTGCAGTGGCTCCTTTCAAAATCATCTACCACGTATTCCGTGCTGGCTACGAGGATCCGGATTGGCTTTCCAGGGGCGGAAACCACCCGGATATCAAGACCCATCCCGATTAAGCAAGCTTGTCCCTTTCCACGCTTGAGTTCCTTAAGATGGTGTCCTTGTTGGATGTCCAAGCATAGACAGACTGGAAGAGATCAACTTTAGATTTGCTCCCTGTCGTTACTGCCTACTTTCGTAGGGCTTTATGCCCTTTCTGGACCGTCCAGCCCGATTGAGAGTCTGATTGTATTTGAAGGCACTTAGTTTATAGTTTTCTGTCAGAGTCCGGGCGGCACGTAGAACTTTGTAGACTCGACTGGCTAACCTTGTGTATGACGGACGATTCTGAAGCTCAGCGAAATGCTGTGCAAGTTATGATGTCTGAGATGTTATCATCTACATTCACACCGGAACCACAGGTGGCAATCACGCTTATGATGAGGATGGTTCACGGAGTGCATCATGGGCTGCTACGTGTCTGAAGCTCCGAGCGGCCGGCTTGTGAGAGGAGATTGCATGTATCATCATCAAAAGCGTGCCTCTAATCTTACTTTGAGAGAGCAATTGGTTGTCTGACAGTCTCGAGTTACTGAGTAGAAGTAGCTCGGCGCGCGGTCCAATCGCATGGGCCTGCATGAGCGTGAATGCAGCTTACCGGTAGGCCGACACATACGTAAGTGGCGCGCGGTCCAGTAACTTTCATGAGATGCATTCACTGGTACAATCGAGTCGCGCATACACACAGCGTTTTAGCGGCTAGCTTGCGAATCAGATTACCTGGCGTCTAGCTTCACGGAGTATGTACATCGACACCGCCCTCATACGCTCGATCCGCTCAGCGGCTCATGGATTGAACATAAGCGAAATCATTCAGGCGTCTTATATATATACTAGCGAACGCAGACGCACATGACAAACCAGCAGGGCCGCCCGCGCCGGCCAGGCCGCGCGCACTCGTTGCATGGACGCAGCAGCCGCGCGCCTGGCAATTGGGGCCGCACCTGTCATGTGCGCTCGCGGACGCAGCGTCCGCGAGCGCTGGGCCGGCTGCCAACTCAGATTACAACAGGCAACAGTGCCAGACAACCATATGCACTCTCAATCACTCTACCATCGGTCTACAGTCCGAAGTTTTGCAGGACGAGATCCTCTTCTCGTTGCTTGATTGTCACAATTGAGTCCGTGATAGCTCGTGGTTCTCCCAGAGTCTTTGAAGATTGTACGAGCATCTCAGGTCCCAGGTTTGGTGGGGCGAAGGCCTTTTGAAAGCACGTACTAATGTGTGTATCGCACAATGACCTCAAATGTACACATAGCTGAACGAAGCGCCTACGTATTTCTATCCATTCCCACTGGACGACTCGTTCAAAACAGAGCGACTTGCTGACTTCTTGCACACGCTTTGACCCATATCTTCGGAAAGTCTTCATAACCCTTCAGCTTTGAGCAGCGCACCGTCCGCCTATACGGGCTCTCATTACCCTCCCGCGACCCCGCTGCTCATTTTACAAGGGTGAGACGAACGCTCCTCCTCCTAACGATGTCGAGGTGCTTCTCCCGCCACGCGCGCATCGCTTCCAGGCCCGTTGTGAACTTGACGACCGCTCGAACCTCTAGGTGAGGCTCCTGGTCATGTTCGTGGGGCTTACGGTCCAGCGTACTGCAGTTCCGAAATAAAAGAAGTTCATCCAAGAAAGAGTCGCTTGGAGCATCATTTTATTCTTACTTTCCGATTTGATATTGTTTCGACTCTCTATCAGCATTTGTATGATTTAAAATTGAAAAAAACAAGCACAAAAGCAAAGCAAATTCTATTCGAGTTCGGGGGGTGGGAGTAATCAGGTCAATCTCTCAAAAATGCGCAGCCTCCAATATAGGCTTGTCATCAAGTTGGAGGTTACTCAAGCAAATCAGGATCAGCAAAATTGACTCAAAAGAAGTCAAGAATTTGGGAGGAAAGCAAAAGGCTTAAGAAGAGTGCCGAAAAGACCCTCGCTCACGAAAGGTGGAAGCTTTATCCTTCCTGGACCCTGCTTAACATCTTACGACGGCCAACAACGGCCAGGGACGCCGTATCAGTGAATGTCAACTTAGATGAGAGCAATAAATTGGACCGTAGACCGGCTATGGAAGATCCGGGTACGAAGGAGACCGATTGGCACACTTGCAACGACTCCCGCTGCCAGCATCAAATAGTGGTTTCCCGATAGCAGATCACCTCCTTTTTCTAATCAGATTCAAGAAAGACTACCATGAGGAGACGTTCATTTACAGCAGGCTCAACTTCCTCTCAATCTCTCGATCTTAGGTAAACTACTATCCCATAAACACTAAAGAATACTGAGAGCACTGTCTACAAGGAGCCTTCTCATACAGGTCGCAAGCTCAAAGCCATTGCATCAATCTTGACCGTACGGTTGACAGACGCGCCCAATCCAACGGTTCGGGATGCTACGCAAACTTCCACGGTAGAACCCTTCGAGACGAATTTTACGGGAGCGAAGTTTCTCCAAGGTCGAAGCGCGGCGGCTGAATCGCTCACTGTCTGAAAATTTTGATCCCGTTGCCGGCGATAGAGTACCCGTGGAAGAAACGCTCCAGCGCTTCCTCGTCCGCATCGGGCGGCAGATGCGAAATGACCACCTGTATGGAGACAGTATCCAATCTGTACAGAGTCGGAGACGAAGTTCTTGCTCTGGAATATGCATCCAGAATTTCAACGGGAATGAATGCGAAACGAAGATATGCAGTGCATGGTTCGACGACTACCTGGACAAATCCTGCAGAGCATCAAGCGCAGAAACGAGCATTCATGGAATGTGAAGGTGCCAGCAGTAGTTGAAAAGCTCGACAAAGTGATAGCAATCCACAAAGTCTGTCGAAAACATTTGCGAATCTGGGATTGCTGAGAGGTTTGAAATACAGACTGCTTTCTGTGGTTTCCAATCACTACATTTCCAAGTCACGGACCGCAGAGAAGAAAAGCGGACGGTCTGACAGAAAGAGAAATAAGAGAGAGATCGCTTCTGGCTCGTTTTCCGACTAGGCCCGAAGAGACGAACCACCCAGCAACGAACAACCATCTCGTCTGGCAGCTGGACCCCACCGCTCTTCTGGCTGAAGCCAAATGTGAAGGCGCCAAGGAGCAATACGTCGTGATACAATACTGATCTAGACAGAGGATCCGAGGTAGCAGGTGACCGCTTTAAAGGAGCAGATCCCACTTTGATCGAATTTGAAATCGTCCTGGTGTGCCGACTGACGCGCTGGATGGAAAAACCCACAGGCCGAGGTCAGCGCTTCTCACCGCTTTCCCCCTCCATCTCTGCATCTCGTCTCGTCTGATGTTCTCCTCCATGTACTGCCGCGACCTCTGCGTAGGACACAACTAGGGTGTTGGTGTCAGGACCCAGAAAGATTATGTAAGTTTGCACCGCAAGCGGAGTAGGATAACTTCCGTCAGTCAAAGAAATGGGAGAATTCCAGAGTTGATACGAGATGAATGACACTCAATCCGGTCTAGCCGCCTAAGCTCTGATGTACAACCAGATTCTTGACTGAAGGGAAAGTAAAGATGCGTGTTCGGCTCTTGGATTAGGATTCATACAGCGGCTTGCGTACCGGTCACGACAAGCGCCGCCCATTTAACCGGCATCGAAACCAAGATAAAACGCCCTCGTTCCGCTTCTTTGCCGCAGATTCCTCATGCGGCCGAAAGTGTCACGACTGGCACCAAAGTGTGCGGAGGTCTCACCGCACGAGAAGTATAACACAGCTTCCAAGGTCTGCAAAAAACCGCAATCCCCGTTTGAACAGAATAAACAGCACGCCTTGCCTCTTGGCTGCACGGTCCGACAGAGGCTGACGTGTCACGGTCAGCGCCTTACCGGTTCCAATCGGACGGCCCTGGCTCCTAGGGTTTGATCGTACGTCTTCCGATCAGCGTTCAGGAAGTCTTGTTGGGACGGGAACTCAATGTACCTGCGTGCACAAGGCTTCGACATTAGGCAATTGTCGACTTATTTGCCCTATGAGAACATTCAGCGGAGCAATGTGGACCCTCAAAAAAGCATTGAATGGTTCCTTCATGAGAGGTGCGCATTCTAGCAGGGTCCGTTGCTCGCAGAATGTAGCTGACAGAAAGTGAATGGTATGCCAAAGGGCTCCCATCAAAGATCAGGTCGTTTCAGCCAATTGTGCAATTGAACAGTGAGCAGGGGGTTTTGAAGGCCAGCATTCGTCTGCTTGGAGCGGGACCTCTCCTTCAGAGTGAAGGGCAGAAAAGGAGAAGGAAATGCAGACAATGCTTTTGAGTTCTAGACCACAGATGATTGGATGTCAAGACATGTCACCGTAGGAGTCGACAGAAGGAGGAGAAAGGGGTTTGAAAAACCGTATGAATGTCCACCATGCAAGGGGAAGAGACGACGACACCATTGGTGCATTTCTCGCCACCCAATCCCAAACATTCTGTTTGTCCTTTTTCCGACGATTGACATAGAGAGACGGTGCGGTTCTGCCCCTATCTCCAGAAGTGCACCAGAATGCAAATGACTGCTCTCCGTTGCCTCATCTAAGTCATTTCTTATTGGCACCACCACTTAAGGCATGCTCGCCAACCAGAAAAAACGGACAAAGAACTAGAGGAGGGAGAAAATCACCAGCCGTGTGGTCGGAAGTTTTCCTCGTACACTGGATGCACCTTGCTCTCATCCACGTTGAACTCTGCAAAGTACCGAGCCATGTCGCCAGCAAGAGCGTTGTGTGGGGCACCCTTGAGGTATGCGCATGTGCCTGCACACAGTGAGTGCATGAGCTATATGATGTCAGCAATCTGCTCCTTTTGAGCTACTTGGGGCTGGTCTGAGTTCTGAGACCAAAGCCAGCGCGCACCTGAAGGATTGCTTGGTCAGCTTTGGCGCCAGGTTAAGATTGAGAAAGCCAGTGTTGGTCAGCTTTCTCTCTAATATGAACGCCGCTAGAGGCTCGTTTGTAAAAAGGATGGTGAAAGGATTCTGAAGAGAAGCAGGAGGGTTCACATAACCCCTGTAGTGCAGAACGAAGCTGAAGAGTATGCTGGGACCAAGCCGAAGATACTTGTTCAATGACTTTGACGTAGATGCTTGAAAGATATGACGCGCACAAAGCCATGCCAGATCTCTGCGCCAGGGTCAGAGCAGTGACTGGTCAATGCCTCTTCGCACTGAATGCCACGTGCGGTCAACTCGAAGATCCACTCACTCATCAGGGCAGCTCCACCAAGAGATACAAATTGCAGGCTCTGACTTCCAATCATGTGAATTAAGGCACACGATTGTATGTCAGGGAATCAGGGAAAGGCTTCCTGAGTTTCATTTTCGAATAATGACCTTAAGTTTTGGAATAATGACCCAAAGAAACTGAAACCTGACAAGCTCAAGCACAAACGAGTAGAGTCGGCAGCATCAAGCCACAGTTGCTAAAGTTGCTGAGATGTGTTGGACTTCTCGTGCCACACCATTTTGCTTAACACCACATCAAAACGGTGGTTTATATCTACCGACATTGTTCCTGGATTCTTACGTCATTTTCCAAGACTGATCACACCTTTCTTTCTGAGTTTGCAAGGAGCAGAACAATTCGCTGTCCAGTTTTAGCACAAACTAGTCCAAAGTAACAAGCACGATGAGTGGTAATATCAAGTGCAGATGCTCCTTCTGAAAATGTTACAACCTGAAAGCCACCTTGCTGCTTGCCATCGTTGGTCGTCCACCTTCAGTGCGTAGGCCTAATGCTGAAAGCAGCAGAGAGTGGAGACCAACCTTCCGCCTGTCGGCTCTGCACGCCAGCAGTCTCCTCGTTTGCCCACTGTTCCATGTTGTAAGCTCTTGCTGACCCCAGCCGACTTTGAAAAGACCCCAGATGCGGCGCTGATGTCATCCCACATGTCCCACCACCAGTTGGTAATGGTGAACGTATACTTCTGAAGCACAGAGAAGCATCTGTCTTCCTGTAATTTAAAGTACTAAGCAAAGTTTCTGATGCAAGCTTCGGCGCCACACTCTGCGAGCACGATGCCTCCGCCCCCGACGCAGTCCGTGCATATCCCAACTCCCCTTCGCATGAGTTCCCATCTCGGCTCAAGCCCTCAGCCTCAACAACATCTTCTGCTAGAAACTCCACAATATGTCCTTTCTTGACACTGCTACCAGCATCATGGAACACAGCCGTCCCTTGGTGAGCAGTCCTAACATGGCTGGGCACGCTTGGCCCTGCAGTTTGCAAAGCCTTTGCCTCCAGCAGGCGGCACAAGAATGGTCTGAAGGGGAGCTCTAGAAGCTGCAGGGAGTGCTTCCTGCCCAAGGCGTGCAGCGCCATGGCGTCCAACTGGCGTCGTGCTGTTGCTGATGTGCGTGGCCGGGTGTATCATTATGACAATGTGCGCAGAATGGCCCCTCCACCTTGGCCGAATCAGATCAAATGCCGTGCGCGCACGAGCGCGCTGAAGGCGCGGGGCTTTTTGCAGGGGGGTCCCCCTGACGCCTGAGTTAACCCTGTTCGGAGATTCAAAAACCCTATTGTCCGTAGCTGAGAATCATGAAGACGTCTTCATTTCTTCATTCATATCTCGAGCTTGCCAGCTGGCTTTATCTTTTTGAGATTCGTCTTTCGCTTTAAAGCAAGGACACATGAATTGCTATATATGAAGCTCTAGTCGGCAGAAATGAGGAACTCTGTCTACATGCCACGACATGCTCAAAACCATTGCTTTCTGGGGCGTTTCATGGAGCAGCGGGCACTTTTACGTACCGGCGTCCGGGGACCGTTTGACCAATTTTTTTGGAATGAGCAAGGGGGGAACTTAAGTCATTCGACGAGCAAAGACCTGTTTGGAACATTCCCAACAAACTTTGACAGAGGAACAAGAGGAATTTTCAATGGGCACCATCACTTTTGGACGGAACGCCGATTTCAGAGGTTTTTGCGCTTTCAAGATTTATCCAAGTGCGTCGAGAGATGCCAAAGTCGGCGGCGGGCAGGATCTTGAGGAAGGAGTTAAAGGCTAGGGTCGCAGCGAGGAGTGGGCCGAGCAATGTTTGACAGAAATTTTTGGGTTGCATCAGGCGACCCACTACAGGCTCTAGAATAGCGACTTGACCTGAGGTGTTAAAACGGCAATGGGCGAGTCTATGGCAAATTCCATTCCAGACGCTGTGTAGAGTAGCCTTGATACTGCACGCATACGGCGCTTGCGCGTGGATGAGAGAGAGAAAGCTTGAACAGTCTGATCATTCAGTCAACGTCCGTTCTGAGTACGCCTCAGTTGGTTGTGGTGCGACAGTCCTTCTGGTCCTTTCGTAGAGATATACAATATGTGAGAAACGATAGCGGTTGCATCAATATTGTGTCGACGTCAATCGATCAAACGGAACATAAAGGTAGTCAAAAGTGTACGTTTGGGAAGGATCAGTCAACATCTACACACCAGCTTTGTCGGTGGTATAATTTAGTGAAGCCTGTGCTTTGTAGATAGATGCAACCGTGAACTTGTGGATTGTTTCGACAGTATATAGCCATTAAGATTGAATAATATGTACACGTCAGGATGTCAACTGAACAGCTCTGGCATGCTACTTGCAAGCAAACTAGATCAATGTTTGGAGAGGCCGTAAGCTCAACTTATCAGCGGACAACTGCTTTTGATAAAAATATTGGTAGGGAAACTCGAAACACGCATGCGTTCTTTCGGCCCAAATATTACGTTCGCATTTCTGAGCTAGCTTTATAAGGAAGAGTGACTCTGAGTCGATCTTGGAGGACAGATGATTCTGGCCCGTAAATGTCACGTCACCTCAAGCTTATGGTGAGTTTGGCTTTTGCTTGTGACACAGGTAATACGCATTTGATTGCGCAGCTGCCAGATCCTTATGCCTTATGCAAACGACGTACATGCTACTTGTATCAACACGGGCCTGGTACAAAGAAAGAACTTCATACGAATTCTTTGCGCTTCCTACGCGATCCGATGCAGTGCCACGGTGACGTCAACGTTGATGGCAGGATACGCGGCTGGTGGCATGCACACTGACAATGACACGTGTCAAAAGCACCACGCACCGCGCTACAGTGGGGCTCTAGTCAGAGGCTTGCACCTGGACTCCATACAGTTCCGCATCAGAGTCTCCAGGATAGCGCAGTATCTCAGTACTACGTCGACATGATTAGCTCTGTAACAGCTTTCATTTAAAAATCGTTTAGTAAGGCTTTGAAGCTAGAAGCCCGGGTAGCTGATTTGGGCGTCGGGATGGGCAGTGTATCCTGCAAACAAAACCGAGTGCGCTTGCGTTTAGAGCGGGATCGCAGGTGTCTACGTTTGAGAACGGAAGGATCGGATCCGAGCGGGACCGCTCAGCGCTCTTGAAAGACACTTTGCTTCGAGATAGTCATGGAGTCCTCTAGAGGTCGTTGCACAAGTTCAGTGACGAACCGTCATGCCTATCAACCCTGAAACAGGCCGGGATAATTGGGGAGGGTTGTGGACATGTAAGCGAAAGACGACGGTAAGACATGGTAAGAACTGCAAATTGACGCTCCAAGAGGGCCCCCGGGCCACTTCCCGGCCCTATCAAGTTCCTATAATGCTGCTCGCATCAGGACCCAAACGAACGGAGAACTAGCTGCAAATGAAAACAAAACTAATCGAGGCGCCTGTAGAAGCGACCGGGCACGTCTCGTTGAGAACGTTTCTCTCATCGCCAGCGGCTTTCTATGGATTGAAAATGAACACGAGGAAGCTTCAGACGCAGGGGAACTGAAACGGGCGACTTCATCAATCACGCCAGACGCTGCGGCAAAAAGGGAACGAGCAGTACCCAGAAAGCCAGACCGGGCGGCTCACCCGGGCACGTTTTGTCCAGCTCTGATGATTCCGAGCAGCAAAAACTTCGGGCGAAGATGACCATGCGGAATGTTTTTAAGAAGCAGCAGAACATGGTCGGGGGAATGAACCGAGCGCCTTGTTCATGATCACGCGCCAGCTTTCGCCGAAGAAGTAAAAGAAGGCAAAAGCGAGCGAGTGTGACCGGGTGACTCACCTCGGCACGTTTTGTCCAGCACGGTCTTTCCGATGCGCAAAACCGACCAAGAATGACAAAGACGAACAAGACACAAATGCAGGGAAGCTTGATTGGAGGCTTTACCAGGCCCCTTCCGCGACCATGCCCCAGTAAGCGAGGAAAAACGGAAAGGCTTAGGCCGAGACAGTCCGAGAAGATGTGACCGGGCGACTCACCCGGGCAATTTTTGTCCAGCACGCGCCAGTCCCCGAGCCACTCCCGCTGAGTGGTGCGGCCGTCCACCCGGTCGCAGTTGGAGAAGCCCTCACACTCTTTGGTGTCGGGGTTGAACACCCAGAAAAGACAGCAGTCCACGTCCCTGCAAAACGATGCAGCAAAGTCAGAACGGATTGAGAAGTGAGTGACGGGCAGATAACAAGTTGAGAGTGATCTCTGCGGACGAGTAATTGCAAGCCAAAAAGCCCCCGAGAAGACGTGGGCGTCCTTCAATCCGGCCGGTCCGTAACTTGGCTGGAAGTCAGATAGCGACTCTACCGCAAGAGTTGCAGGTAATCAGTAGTCTAAAGGCTGAGCTACTAAAAGGCCCTTTGTTTGTACGCCAATTCAGCTGCCCTGCACCGTCGATTGCAAGCTGAGGTCAAGAAATCTCGGTGATCAATCTTAAAATATAAACTGATTAAGAGCCTATACTTCATGAAGTCTCTGCTGAGTGCTGTGCTTGGTATTGCGGGTCAAGTGTAGGCGGTTAAGCGGCGTACCTGCAGTCCTTGCAGCAGTTCATAATGGGTTTCTGCAGCTTCGTTAGCACTGCTTGGTTCGATTTCAATCTCAGGTCCAACACTTCGTCCGTGACTGGCGTAATCTCGAGAGCGTGAAACAAATAAAAATAGTGACGTCCTCCTTTTGGAACTGACAACACGTGGGCGGTTCAGCGGCATACCTGCAGTGCTTGCAGCAGTCCTGGAACACAGCGGTGCTGTGCATCTGAACTCGTAGCACCCGGTGCGAGTTTGCAGGGTCGCACCCTTGGTCCGCCCAGTACTTGCTGCGCCCCGGTGGAGCGGAATCATTCGGAGCACATTTGCAAATTTGGAGCCACTTCGGAGGATTCCGTTCTTCAAGAGAAGGGGTCAAGGGGAGAAACCTAGGTCTTCCGTTCTCCACGAGACGCGGCTGAGTACTCCGTTTTATGGAACGGGGGACAAATCTGATTAGTTTATTTTACGCGAAACGTGGACAGTTCTTGGTGCTTCGTTCTTCACGGAACGGGAAGAGATCTACCGCTTCCGTTTTCAAGAAACGACCCAGAAGCTGAGAAACGACAAACGACTTTCTTCAAGTCCGAAGAATCGAAACATTTGACGAGGCAGATCAGGTTTTGCAATTGTGTCCCCCTTTCGGGTGCTGAAAGAGCCCCAATCTTCGTCTCAAACCTTGGAGGGCAGCCGCTTTGCAAAGTTGAGGACCCAGGGTTGTTGAGCACGACACAACTGTTACAAAATTTGGTCGTTCTGCTCTCCTACCTGTATGGATGGCAGTTCTCGCACTCAGGAGTGCACGCCTGCGTGGCCGCCAGGGCAGTCAGGAACAACATGACGACTAGAAGCACCTGCGGAATTGCAAGGAGGAAAGTTTATAAATTCTGGAAGAAAGCAAAGGTGCTCAAGTGTTGTGGGCTGCCCTTCAGGACCCTGAAAGATTATTTGCGGTACGATGACCGATCAACGGTCGCCCTTTCGAGAAGATTTTGGCCCGCGAGGTTCACTGGCTTCTCTGCAATACCAATTAGTTCGGTGAAGCGTGGATGTTCGGTCCTCAAATGCTGCCATATTTTCCCGCCCCATAGCAAGAAGTGTCAGACAGGCAAATCTTGAGAATCTGCTACACTGAGACAGATCATCCCGCTCGACGATCAAAGCTGCATATGCGATAACAGATATTGTGAAAAGCGCCTTAACTTCATCATTCCTTCCCCCCGGAGTCGTGCTCACTCCGCTCTCGCTCAATACGCCTTACCTGGAAACTATGTTAACGGGGGAGCACAGAGGCGATGCTACTTCCTTGAGGGAGGGATGGCCTTTGAGAACGAAAAGATGAAGCCGAAGACTGCCTGAAAACTCAACAAAACTCATGCTTGCTCTCAAATCTTCTGTCCCAGCAACTTGACAAGAGTACTCTTTCTGGTCAAGTTGGCCTGTTTTTGTCTGCGGGTTGCGGTCAGATCGGACGGAAACAAAGCCGGGGGGCTTCGCATAACCGCCCACTAACGTCGAATTGATCTTGAACGCAATATCGCAGCAACGCAGCTTCTCTTACTGAGCATGAACTAGCGAATCGTCAAGTCCCTGCAAGTTGACCGAACGACTTTCTTGAGGCCCGACTTTAAGGAAATGTCCGATGCATGAGTTCGGATTCTGCCCAAGTTGGGTGTCTCGAAAAGCATCACTTGGCAGCACAGTTTGCGGAAGCATGGAGCTCGACCCATCAAGGTTCGATGTAAATCAAAGGTGGTCTTGTCCCACTGGAAAAGGGGGTGTCATCGTTGCAAACGCTGCCTCGGAAACAAGGTCGAAGCGAACCTATTTTCGTAGCTGCGAGTCAGTTGCGGGACAAATCAGATCTCACTCCAAGGTACCCAGAGTATGACGCCAGGCTATCAAACATGGGGGAGGAAACGGAAACGGCAATAGCGGCATATGTAGAGTCCCGATAAAGATCATTCCGGTAGAACAAGGTCGTGGCGCAACATGCTACTGTCTACGAAGTACCGGCTGGAGATACTTGTAGACTTGAGGCTAAAGTACGGTAATCAGGTAGAGATAGGTCCATCCGAGACAATTGTGAAGGCTCTTTCAAAGTTTGTTTTAACTAGCTGCTAGCAGTACTCATTCCGAACCAGTGTGTCGGTCTCAGCCAGCCGTACGGGAGTGGGCCGTCTAGTTCATGGACAACTGGACGCTTTCAACGTTCAAAGATCTTCAAAGTCTTGGAAAAGGATGAGGTACAGCTGACGTGTCAACTGTGAGCGGAAGGCCTCCCGTGGATGGACCTGAAATCAGAGCCGTGAAGATGAGATCGGTTCATGTTCAAAAAGATGAACAACCCTACGAAGACGTTTTGATTGCTAAGTAGGCTGTCTTCTGCCCATTCGCAGCAGCCTTCTCAGAAGGAGTTCTGATTTGGCTCTTGGCTGCCTAGTGCTTCTCTTATGGAACAAGTTCCACATCTGGTTCGATGCCTTTGAAGCAATAATAGTAACGACCAAATTTGTGCTTGCTGCTTCTCAGAGGGAATTAGCTGGGCAATGGAGTCAGGGCATGTCAAAGAGAAAAACGAGGCGATGTCCAAAAGGCTAATGACGCAAGATCTCTTCTTTAAATGGCACCTGATCAGAGTTTGAACTAGAGTTTGTCACTAATCGGAAGGCGTTCCAAGGACTGTTTGAGAATCATAGAGGAAATCTGGATTTGGGCTCGAGCTAAGAACAACGTGTCTTGAATTGCGTGTCCTGCTAAAGGTGGAGTTAACGATTCTTAGGGCGCTTTGCTTCGGCTTCATTGTTGAACTGGGGGATTGTCGCCCGTCCTAGTTGCTCAGCATCTGCAGCTTTCGCGGACCATTTGCACCTTGTGATCTGCTTCTGTCGTCATGTCAGCTGCCGATGCTGTTCACTCACGGATACGCAATCTCTTCTACAGATCTCATATTTCCAGTCTCGAATGCGAGTCAAGAACTCAGAGATCAGCTCTTGGAGCCAGCAATCAGTATGCATATTGGCGACATGGCCGGAATGGCAGACGCCTATCTGCCATCCGAATCCTCACTGGTGGCCAGCAATATTCTGCAAAGTTCAAACGAGTACTGCTTCTCAGATCCTCAAGCTGAAAACCCAGCGCCGGATGCATCGAGCTTGCAACATGCCTGCGTTATTCGGAGCTAGCTGGTACCAACGGTTTGCGCGCAGTCTAGCTCGTTGAATCTATCTTCCCTGTTAAAGATACACACGTCTTTCAAGTACCTAGGCCTCTTTGCTGACGCCTGAACAAAGCGGTGAAAGTTGTGAATGGTAGACCAGGTTGTTACTCCTGTTGCGCATTTGCTGCTGACCTGCTAGCTGTACCTGATAAAAATCCCGTTAAAATGGTTATATGCTGATTGATTGCATTGTACGCGCAGCTGGCTAGCGCCGCTGCTGGCAGTGCATTGCAGAATCTTGCGTCACACGCGTGCACCTCCGCCAGTCGCGCTCCTTTCGAGATATGACGTATGCAATCATAGCTGTTTGGTGCACATTTGAAGACGTTCTTTTCCTGGCGGTACAAAATCTATCAAGCAGGTAGACCATTCGTATGTGAACACTGTCGTTTTATTGGTTTCCAGATTGCCTTTATGGAACCAACTCTGGCACGTTGAGTCTACAAGTCAACACTCGTGATCGCCAGACAATCCTAAAACAGGGCCTCAGCACGAACAAAAGCAATTCTAGTTTCCTCGTTCTGAGTCTCTGTTTTGAAGTATGCAAAAGCCGCCGGCCGATCATTGTGCTGGAGTGACTGACGTCACAGCGCTGACGTAGGAAATGCTTAGATGTTCACCGTAGATGTCCGTTTTGCTCGCGGAGAACCGTCGATATAGCCTGTGCGCGCACCAATCTCGTGTCAGACCGCTCCCTCCCGCTGCGATGACATCACAACTTCCGAACCTGCCGCGTCGCCGCGAATTGCGGTGGACTTTCAAAGTGTACGAAAGTAAGTACGTATCGGATGCGGGTTGCACCCTTCTCACGCTCCAAAACCCTAGTGCAAGTACATGTACAGGAGACAGCGTTGACGACAGCAAGTTGCAGCACTGCGCTGCAGTCTGCGCTTCTCAGTTTACAGACAGACTGCAGCCTTATAGTGTCCTTCCGTCTTCCAGGCCCCTATAAAGCCCCGTCAAAGAGACCCCCAAACCATCACTTCTCACACGCAGCCCCCACCAGAAAGCAACTAAAAGCCCACTCCCCTCAAACCCTCGCAGCATTCTTCACTTTCTCAGCAGACAGCATTTGCGCATACGCAACTCTTCCCCTCAGCCTCCAGCGCTTTGCTCAGCAATCAAAGCAACCATGGCTTCCCGCTCTTCGCTCGCGCTGCTCTTTGCGGCACTGCTTTGCGTTGCGCCCGCGCTGGCGGACAACGTTGTGGGCCGGAAAGTGGTGAGCCTGTGCTTTGATTGCTTTCTGGCGGCATGCATTGAAGGTTCTCTTGGTGCATGATAGGCCAGATTGGCCTTATCAGGAAGTAGAGAATGGGGGTGCTTCTGGATCGTGGCATGCACGGGTTGCCAACGCCAATCTGCACGAAGGTGGTGGTTTGCAGAGTGATGTGGGTCCTTCTGAGTTGGGTTCGTGCATAGATCAAGCATTGGCTGTCTGATACTGTGCACTGCGCTGGAGTGTTGACTAGGAACTAGAAGGCTGGATTGCAGATGCAGTGCACCATGGGTGACTTGTTGCAGTGCATGACGTTCAGACTTGAGGGTTTCTGAAAGGGTTTCTGATGCAAGAGAGATAAGGTGACAGCGCGAGTGGCTAGGGCTAGAAAAGAACCAAACCCGCCGGAGTGGGGGCGCATTTCAAAACCCTTGCCCATTGGCTCACGAATTTGGTATTTGACAGCACTCTTGAGTCAGGCGCCCCTGGTGGACATATTGCATTGGCTATGCGGCAACTCCAGCATCCACAATTCCTTGGCACAACTCTGAACCCAGATTGGTGCAAATGGTTTAGATGGTTGGTTCCACGGTCTCAGTCTAACAAATGAAGCCTTTTCGTTTCTTACAGGGCCCAACAGATTCCGTTGATACCGCTGGTATCACTGCTGTCTCTGCCACTCCTGCCCCCACGACCGCTGCGGCCATTGTCTATGGTGAGCACTCATCTCAAGCAAGTATGTGGAGAGATGACAGTCTAGGGAGATCTCAACGTGGGCTTGTTAGCCAGATAGGAAGGCTATTAAGAAAGTGCGGGGAAATCAAGGTATTGCAGTCCCATATTGATTCCTGGTATGAATGCCAGTCCCGATCCCGATGCCAATCGCAACCCCGACCCCAACCCCATCCCAATCCGAATCCCGATCCGATTGCCATCCCAATTCAAAACCTAAACTCAAGCCGATTCTGAACCCAAACAGAATCCAAGAAACGATTCCATCTCAATCCTGGTCTCAGCCTCAGTTCCGAACTGCGATCGCAATCCTACTCACAGTCGCATCCCCATTCCTAATCCAGTCTGTTGCCAATCAGAAAGATTGATTCTTATGCAGAGAACTGCGGCGCTGCCGGTGCTACCACCAACCGTCCCTGCACTTGCGCGACTGCGCAGGAGGCCCTCACCGCTGCGGTGTCTGGCGTGCTGCACAAACCCACCATCGTGCAACTGCAGCCTGAAGTGTAAGCGATCAACCTTGTCCATCTTAAAGGCATCCTGAGTGCTTCGTATCCATTTTGAAAGGGTTTTGAGGGTTGTATATGAAAACAGACAGCAGTAAGTGGGCAATTCGTTCAATTGAGGCCCGGAAAGCAATCCGAACTTGTCCTCCTCGGAGGGGTTCTGAATGTCGGCAAAGAGCAGTCTTGAGATCCTCTGGAAGGTTTCTGACCTTCCTAAAACAGGGTTGGATTCAAACGAATACTTAGCAAACGATGGCGGAAATCTGGGGCCGTTCCTCTGTCACATTAATCATCAAGATACAAACAGCAGTCCCAATTGTCCGCAGACGGTTCTTGTCGTTCTCTGTGGAAGAATAGATCCAGATCATACAATCTGCAGCAGGCACAATGCAGAGCACTGGGTCTGCCAAGAATCACAAGTCAGTTGTACAAAATAAAGAAAGAAGGGGTTCAGCAGCCGGAGAAGCGAACAATTTCATTTTGAATAGAACGCGCTGTGGTTCTCCTCCTCCTAGACAAGCCCCTAATCCTTTCCAAACCACTCTCTGACCCCTTACAAACCCTCTCTAACCCTTATTCGAAACCCCTTACAGGCACGTCTGCAACAAGGCCAACGGTGTGCGCGTTCCCGACGCCCTGAGCCACGTGGTGATCCAGGGGCCGACCACGTTCGACGGCCAGAACAAGGCCAAGTTCCTGATGATGCTCACCGGAAAGCAGGTGGACATCTCGATCGGCGAGCGGAACGGAAACGGAATCGCGTTCAACAACGCGGCCGGCGCGGCGATCGTGATTGGGGGAGGCGCAGCGAAGATCACCGTCGATACCTGCACCTTCAGCAACAACTTGAACGTAAGTGGATGGCAGAGCTTTCCGGATTCTCACTCCTAGAGATTCCTTTGAGCGCTCACTCCCTGGTGTTGTTGGTATGAGATCAGAATCAAGAACTGCACTCTCGGAACTCTCAGGCTACAGATGCTTTCAAGTACTCGCTCTCAGCCGATGTTGGGCCAGGATCAGATTTGAGTTCTCGTAAGGTCCAGTTCAGCGCTTTGCATTTGACGATTCATTCCTGGATGTTGTCCTGACAAAAGCTTCGCAGGATGCGCAAAGCGCCGAAGAGAAGCTTCATCAGAATTTAGGCTAGATTTGTTTGATTAGCACTCGCGGAGAATGCGGGCCGCCTCCAGTAAGTGACTCTGACCGCTCTGTGGATCAGGTTGTGACTCCTCGCGACAAGAAGGGTGTGATTCGAGTGAGTGTCATCTGGCTTCGGCTCCTTTCTGATTGTCGGTTTAACGACAGCCTTTCGGCGTCCAATCTTACATATCTAACCTTCAATCCTAGATTGGACTTCTGCTCGCCATCCAGTATAATGTATTGCCTCTCAATCTGGGTCTGACGTCTGCAGAATAGTTCCTTCCAGAATCAATGCTGCCGAGACATCTGCTCATCCTCTCCGTACTCTGCAAAGCTGTCCCAAAAAGACGGGATTCGCGACAGCTAGCAAAGGGCGCTTCTAGAAGCTTGACTCAACCAAGCCAACGCCCCAGACACGAAATTTCTATCTATGCCCCCCGCCTCTCAGCACTCTGTCACCGTGTCAAAAACGTTCCCCCGGGACTGATCTCCGGTCACACCTTTTTCTCTTACAGGGCGTGAACGGCGGTGGTGCGATCCACGCGGTGATGTCCGTGTCCGAGCACTCGGGCCACGCGAAGCACGTCTTCCCCGGCGGCAGCAACGGCCTCAACGTCTTCCGCTCCAACTTCACCAAGAACGTCGCGGTAAGCCTCGGTCCGCGCGCTTATGCATAAGCACGCCGCTGCCTTATAAAACTTTGCCCGTGGCTATAAGAAGCAAGACTTCAATGCACCGTCTGTTCCCTGAAAAGTCTGCGCGAGCGTCTTCCTTGTAATAAGTTTACGGTTTCTCATGCGCAAACGACTTTATGGGCTATGATTTCGAGTCTTCCCTCCAACGATTTTGAGGGCTCTGCTTCAGCGACTTTAAGGGCTTTGACTTGCAGCGCTTAAATGGAGGCGAGTGTAACAACAGAGCAGGACTCTAGAATCTGAGTCGCAGCCTTTCCCGGGCCCCTCGTCTCCTAATGTTCGCCCTTATTTCTGACTGCCAGGGCGCTGGCACCGGCGACCAGCTGTCCCAGGGTGGCGCCATCTTCTACACCGGCCGCCAGCCTTTCCGCCTGGCTGACTGCGTCTTCACCGGCAACAAGCTCAACACCGACAAGCTGACCAAGAGACGCCGCGGCGGAGGTAAGCGCTGACGTCATAATAGCTCCAGTCATTGCGTCGTTCCGTTGGATTCGGTCGCTTGCGCTCGGAATCAGAGATAATCAGAACTTTGCGCTTTTGAGGCCTTGTACTCAAAAATCTGAGGAGTTGTCGTGAGGTTCTGCCCTCTAGAATCCACTCTGGTCGTTAAAAAGAAGGCAGATGTAGCAAGGTGTACAAAGCACGGCCAATCTGAAATGTTTCATAGGATGCTGACCCTCGGAATCCAAAGCACGGCCAATCTGAAATGTTTCATAAGATGCTGACCCTCGGAATCTTTGTACAGGTGCCGTGTACTCCTATGCTTCCTCCGGTCTGAGCGAGATCCAGGGCTGCACCTTCACCGGTAAGACACGCTTTTCCTAGCAGCAAGATCAATAAGCATACAACTGCCCATGCGAAAGCCATGGCAGATGAAGTTGGCCGGTAAAAGCTTAGTAGATCTTGCGTATTCGAGGATCTACAGGCAACGAAGATGCAGTGGGGAAACGCTTTTAACTGGTCAGGACAATTGAGACAAAAGTTCTGATTCGCAAGCAGTTTGGAGTGCCCCAATTGTTCAACTTGGGTAGTCTCAAGGTTTTGCAAAGCAGGGCTGTCCGGTTGAACGTCCCGATCTCGGCCAGTCAATACCGCCCAGCATACTTTTGCCCTCTTCCTGTCCGGTGCCCACTGCCCAAGATTCGGGTCTGATACTTTTGTAAAGCCGCGCTAACCGCTTGCTTTCCCCGGTCTCTGGCAGGCAACGCCGCCCAGTATGGTGGCGCCCTCTTCCTGTCCGGCGCCCACAAGGCAATCTACCTGGTCGGGCCCGACCTGGACAGCACCCCCAACACCTTCGCCAGCAACGTTGCGGTGAGCGCTCGACGCGCGGCCGCGCGCGCGCTCCTTGACCCCTTTGGATTGAAAGCGTGAATGCAGAGAATGCTGGGCGGACGACTGTGTTGGCAGGCACACGGCATGATGCCACGTCGTATCAATGAGGCAAGAACAGCCGATACCATTGAAGGCACTGCACCGATGACGAAATGATGACGTACTGATGACGTAGTGATGACGTAAGGCTCACATGATGAGATGAACCCTGTGTTGCAGGCCAAGGCTGGTGACTCCGTTTACATTGAGGGCCTCATGAACGGCCACTTCAAGAACAACGTCTATGACGTCAACGTGAGTGGCCAGATACCTGACTAGCTTTCCGTTCTGTGAAGATCATCACGCCTTAAAAGAAGGTTAAGCAGCTCTCTGAAGGAGGAAAGTACGCGTTTCAAAGCAGGACCGAGCTTATGCAGTACAATCTGCTTTGGACCCAGATTCAACGAGTGCTTCCACGTGGTCCCCTTTTCCGTGCTTCGCGCACTTCATTATTTTTCGTGCTCTCTCCTTCTTTGATCTTACTTCGTTCCTGGATCCCGGTGATCCAAAGCTTCGATCTTGCCTCGTTCCTCGATTCCGGTCTTCCAAAGCTAAGAGTAATCGAGCCCTTCACCAGACCGGGATCTACCATACTTTGAGAATTTCATCGGTTGACGATCTCTCTCGATGCGCCCACTTTCCCACTTTTCGAAACGAAGCTTCCAACGTTTGACGATTTCTCTTCCGCCCACTTTTCCAGACCAAGGCCGCCGCCAACAGCATCGCGTTCGTCAACACCGCCACCGGCAACATGACCGACTGCGGCAGCACCTTCGCCGTAAGTTCCTCTCTTCGGGGGTTTTTAGAACCTTTTCGAAGGTTTTTGAAGATTTGAGGATTTTTACAAATTTCCGAGAGCGGTCTCCAAATCTTCTGCAAACCACCTAAACTTCGACAAAGTGCTGGTAACAATCTTTACCGGCGTCAAGCCGAGTCCGCGCTTGTCTAGACGACCATGCGGCTCCCTCCGAAACTTCGTGGTGCCATGTCTGATTCTCAAGCCCGGCGTCTCTGACGAACTTGCATTCGACTAGCATCGCCCCCGTAACGCATAGACTACCCTCTCTTGACGTTTTTCAAACGTGGTCGTTTCAAGAAACCGATTGTGATGCTGATCAGATTCGTTCGATCTGCTGCAGCCCGGTGCCAGCGTCTTCTCCAACCCCGGTGGTCTCACGATCAACGGCGCTACCGTGAGTTCCGCCCTAAATCACTTCTTAACTTCATTAAGTGATCTTCTCATTCGGATATATCTGCTTGGTTTGGGCAAGCAGTCAGCTATCTACGATAGATGCCGACCTTTCTAGTGATAACAGGGTTTGATGAAGTCATCTTATGAGCAAAGCCTCTGCCAAAAGAAGTAGGGAAGAAATCTACTTCATTGTTATCAAAGCACCAGTCCAAACATTTTTCTTCGGCCGTGCGATTCTAAGAAGTTCGAAAGTGTGACCCGACTAATCCTCCCTTTCTATTCTCCTCCCGCAGAACGCCCCCGCCTTCACCCCCATCTTCAACAGCAAGAAGAACACCGCCGTGAAGGGCGACGTTTGCTCCATCCCCGAGTCCTTTTGAGCGCGCTAGCGGCGACTGACTGCCAAATAAGCTAGGACAGCTGATTACGGACCGATCATATTGACGGTTGACCACTGGACAGCTAGACAGCAACTGTGTTTGCGGAAAGAGTTACAGAGACTGGTAGCCATTCTTTATGGAGTAGGTAGTGGCTTGAATCACTCCCCATTTGGAGTGGTTCTGACTAGAGCGCAGCTGGCGTAGTTACATAAACAGATGACGGGACGGCAGTACTACTGACAAGAGAGCTCGCTGAAACGGATCGAGGATACAAGGGATAGATAAGAAAGATAACTGACTGAATAAAGACAGCTCCCGAGCTGGCGGCAGGTGCTGTGAACAAAGTAAATTGAAAAGGAACCGGATTGTGGCATCAGCTTTCCAATTAAAAGTGCACAATTACGGTGTTTTCTTGGCGAATGAAAGAAGTCAAACGTTTGAATGTTAGACTGCTCTCAATGACACGATCCAGTTTCCAACTCGCTTCTGATATCGCCTTCGGTCGGTACGTAACGATCCTTGATCTGTCGGGCAATGGAATGTGTCATGTACATGTGGCATCCCATGTCCGGCTGGTTGCGCATCATCCACAGAAACTCAACACTGATGAGTGACCCACCAGACACGTTCACGAACCTCAGGGGGCCATAAGGAGTTCCAACTCGCTTATGAACGCAGTGCGCCTTATAGCCAACTCGGAGCTGGTGTTGCAAAGGTTGATTAGCAGCTATCTTCCCTCTATCTTCCGACCCGATGAACATTCTAGTCATAATGAAACGCTCGGCACGCATCATGAAGTATGCTGCTAAGAGTCGACTTGAATGAATTTGAGTGCTTTAATCAAGTATCTACAAGAATACAAGCCGGATTCGCAGTCAGCGTCTCGATCAATGGCAACTCGACACTTGTACGTGAATGCAAAATCTAGTTTTGATTCGAAAGTTTCATAGTAGGAAGTCGAACGTCGACGACGAAAGCCATCGGGCGATAGCCGCCGCGGCGGTAAAGCCTTGTATCGAACTGCTCAAAGGAGTCTGTACATAACACGCATTCTTAACCCGATTAGGGTTTGGGCTCTGAGCCAGATCCAGGCTGTGCCAACCAACCATCTGTTGAACGGCACAAAATAAGCCAACGAAAAAGCGACACGTGTCCCCCCCTCAAGGCAAGACTCGCTGTCCGCGGCGCACCTTGGTCGCCCCGAAGGCCTGTACACCACCGAACCACCATCGCAACGGGTAAGTAATTATTAGTAACATTTTGATTCGCCGTCCGAAAAATGGATGGCGAAATGGATTGTCCGCGCGCGAGTCCGCGCGCTAAACAAGGGATGCAAAGAAGAAGCATATCGATCGAAAACGAGGCTGTCTCTTTCGGTCCTGCTAATAAGCACGGGTCAGAGAGTCTTGGCACCCGTCGTGTCGACGGATCCTCGTCATTCAAGGACTATCTGAGGCGCAAGCAATCTCCGCGTCTGCAAGGTTTCCTTTGCAACTTAATCATCACAGGGCGGGATATCAGCACTCTCCTCTGTTCTTTGCATGTTGCCCTCCCAATGCTGCCTGGCTCGTTCTGAAAAGAGTAGATGACTTAAGATAGAGACATGACAATGGATGCTATCCAGGCTGTTGAGCTGCAAATTGCAAAGGTGAACGAAGAGATCGATGCTCTTTCCACAGAGATTGAGGAAGCAAAAGCAAAGATCAATCATGCGGAAGCGGCTGGCAATGTGAGTGAGGTGCAGCGATGGGACAAGGAAAGAGATCAGCTGCGCAAGGAAAGAGAGCAGCTGCGCAAGAAAGAAGAGCAGCTGCGGGACGAAAAGGCCCGGCTGTGGGCTGCAGGTATGTGTCTTCCATGTTAACTCTCATGTGCAGTAGCCCTAGAAGATTGTGCAAAGCAGCAGGCAGGTGAGTGCAGTAAGGTCTCAGAGCATCCTTTCTTTCAATTATACCAGTTGGTTCATCCGGTCTGGGACAGGGAGGAGCGGCTCCAGTCAGCAGATTGGGATGTGTCTCTCGCTTTGTTTGCTGTCTGGGTGTTGAAGGTAGTGGAAGACTGCAACAAACCGTGGAGAAGCACTTAGTAATGTTCTCCAAAAGTCCGATGAATCCATTCAAGCGTTGCCTACAGTCGAGCAGAGTGCTGGAGCTTCTGGTTCGGGACAGACGCTGTGGTTCGCACCATTGCAGTCCTCGGGACAACATTCATCTGTCAGTAGACCCATGCAATGGAATTGCGCATGCCTACAATTGGGCAGAGTGCCTGAGCTTTCTGTGTCATGGTAGACGCACTGATGTTCACCACATCTCCTATTTTTTGGTTTCGTTGGGAGCATGGTCCTCTAATTCCTGGATTGTTGTACTGTTCTCTTGCTTTGCGCAGATCTAAGGTTCTGCTGTTTGCAGCTCGTTGTGCCCTGTCCCCTGAGGGAGCCTTGCTGTCATGCTTAAAGATGGCATGCCTTCTGCTAACATTTGCTTCGTTTGTACTAGTTGTTGCACGGACGGAAGGGGATGAGGGCGCTGGCCCTTCCGGGGATACAGAGATGCCAGATGCCAACGACGATCGGAGTGAGTGGCCTTTCTGGTCCTTCAGGCTTACACATCTGCATGAGCACCCCAAGGAAAGGTTCACAGTTGCTAAAAGGTTCGCTTGAAAGCTCCATTCTCTGCAGCTGCTCACCACCCCACATGCATGAGAACTAGTGGGAGGGCCGTTCTGACAAGCTTTGGGCATGACATCTGAGTGATAGCTATTTCTTGGGCCTTTGCCTCGGAAAATCATGCCTTCATCAAGATCAGCGTCATCTATTTCTGCTCTCTTACTCTTTGGGAAGAAGTATCGTTCACAGAAAGTTCAGGAAGTTCATGTGACTGCGCTCTGCTCTTAGACACGCAATTCACAAGTTGCAGTGCTTGGTTCTTCCGACTCCCTGTAGTTGCTAAGAAGAAGTGGTCAATTGTCATGCTCAGAGTGATCATCATTAAGATAAGCAAACAAGCTGTGATTGATTTCCTCTATGCCGCTGCCGTTTTCTTCCTCCTGTTGGCTGCTCTCAGTTGGGTTCTTGCAGCGCACCTGATTGAAGGAGCGATATTTCTTTGCTCGTTTGGGTGCGGTGAACAACCCACGTTTTGACGGGAGTACTCCTCTGTTGGTGCAGGAAGGAGCGGTGATGAACCTTGGAGCGCCGGCATCGAAGAGGATGTTCGGATGATTCTGGAGCGTGCTTTCGCTTCTCAAGAGGCAGATGGGCAGCCACAGCTGGACCTGAGGCCCGCATCCAGCCCCCTGGCGCAGAGGAATCGTAGCATCACCTACTTCCGGGGCTCCCCAAGCCTGCTCCTGACGGATCTTCCGGGGCAAGGGGGGAACGGCTCGACCAAGGCGAAGGACCTGCTTGAGGGGAATCGAGAGCTGCACGCGTCTGGGCGGGGCCAGCACCAGGTGCAGACCCGGGTGACCGCGCTGATCGGGCCGTCGGGCGCCGGGAAGACCCGGACAGCCCTGGAGGCGCTCTGCCATGAATACGGTTTCTACTTGAGCTTCTCTACAGAGAAGGACCCCGGGAGCCTCCTTCTACAGAAGGCGATCGAGCGTCTCAGTGATGCGCATGAGGACGAGTACAAGGCGGTCCAGCACGACGCGCGTCGCTTTCAAGCGTTCCGCGACGACCGGTTAAAGGACATGCCCAAGTTCGTCGTTCGGATCCTGCTGGCCCACGCACTGGGGTTGCGCCAGTACCTAAGGCAGCACGGCGATCAAGCGAGCCCAAGGGGCTTTCTCCTCTTCCAGCTCATCGGCATTGGTCCGCAGGAGGTGAGAATTTTCCTGACATTGCGGCTCCTTTGGTGAGCAGCTACTCTTGAAAGCTTCACATGCTTGAAGTCTGCAAGCCGCATCCTAGATCCTGTTTTTAGAGGAACAAAGGGCTTGTGCATGAGGATCAAGAACCTAGACTGGAATTTCTAGGCCTTTGCTTTTGGCAGCAGGTGGATATTGTTGAGCAGCTAGGTAGTCTGAAGGGAAAGCTGCTGGAAGATAGAAACGGTTGCCAGAAGGTGGATTTTGCTGAGCAGCTAGGTAGTCTGAATGGAAAGCTGCTGGAGGATAGGAACGGGATTGCTTGTTTTCTTGGTCAGATGGTTCATCGTCAGGCTGCTCTGCGAGGAGGAAGTGCCTAGGCGTACGGCCGGGCGTGTGAGATAAATGGTCGAAGCAATCAGGTCGCCTGCAAGCTTGCAACCCCATTTAGCAGTCAGTGGGGCTTTGGTCAGCCCGATTGCTGGGCACGTCATTTCGCGCCTCAGGAAAAAGTCGAAAGACAGTCGACTCAGCACTACTGCTCTTGGAGCTGCACTCGCTGGCCCTCCTGCACAACTGTAGCCGGAGTCGTGGCAGCTGCGCTCTGTGACTCTTGTGTCTGTTCGTAATCGTCATAAGAGTATGGCCCATCCAAGTTCTCATGGGGCTTCGTCTTCTGTTTGCCAGGATTGGCTCGTGAAAACGTGGGAAGTGTTGCTGGCCTTGTCGAAGGCAGAAGCGGTGCAAAAACTTCGGGAGACGATGGCGGAGATCCGGGAGTTGGTTCCACACCAGAAGATCTTCAACGTCTTCCCTGATGAGGCGCAAGTGGGAACGGAGTTGATGGAAGGATGGTTCCCAAACCGCCTGAGGAACGAGGGGCGCCCACTGCTCAACGCTTTTGTCCGGAGCCTGCACTGGGACTATTTCGAGTTCTTCCACTTCAATCTGACCGGTACGCTCTACATGAACCCTACATTTTAATGAACCCTCTTTATGCGTCTAGTCGCCTGCCCGCCGATATGGTGCCTGCACTCTCCTCCCAGCACTCGAGCAACGCCAGTCTTAGCCGAGGGCACTGTTTTGGGTCTGAGGCGCGCTTAGCTTTTGGCGAGATTTCTTGTTTGTTTGAGTGTTCTGATTCACCTCGACTGAGTTCGCTTTCTGTTGAGAGAGCTATCTCACTATGCATGTGATCGTTTTGCTGTCAGCAACGCAAGAATTTTCCTTCGTGAGTCAACACTCGAACGGTCGTTGCGAAACGCCTCAGTCAGCGAGCTCAATGTGCTGCCTGGTCTACAAACATGGCAGCAAGCATGCAACCGCGTCTTCTGCTGTGTCCCTCCTGTAAACTTTGGCCCCGACCAAGTGCTGGCAAGCGAAGGCCCAGATCTTGAGTCAATCACAACGGCTCACATCTCTTATGCTGATTGCAACCGGCCAGTCCATTACTTTGACATTTGGGCTCCTCATTGCGTCCTCCAATCTGGTGGCCACAGCAATCGACTTGTTGCTCCTACGCTGAGAGACTACTCAGACATTCTGGCCGGTTTTGGGCCCCGTACGGCCACTTCATGTTTCTGTGGTATCGCTTTGCTACCAAGGAGTTCAGGCCACGTGCGTTTTCGCTTCTTCGCTCCAAGGGCCCTCACACGCTGATGCACCTCTCTGCTGCTCTGCGTCTACTACCTGACGGGTTCTGTCGTTGTAACAGGCACCGGGCTCAGTCTCAGGCATGCGCATCAGCTTCATTCCGCGATCGCCGAGTTTGGGGCATCCGAGCTGCGCGTGTTCAGCGACTTTGCCCGCTTCTCCAAGGACGAGGCCCTGCAGTACGCTCAAGAGTACCTCGTGAGGCCCCCTGACGGCGTCAAGGCGCACCTCCTCATCGGGCGGCCGCGGTTTGCGGCGCATCTGGTGCAAGCCGTGGTTGAGCTCGGGAAAGACTGGGGGGAAGCCCTTGAGTACCTTGCGCGTCGCCAGACCGAGACAGAGGAGGCCACGTCCCTGCTAGGTTGTCTGAAAGAGAAGACGCGAAGCCTCCGGCAGGACATCCGGCACCGAGTGCTGCGGCACCTCAAGGTCCTCCTGCAGTCGTACTACCTGGTCGGTAGAGGGGTTTCTACACCCATCGCGGACGTTGACATGATCCAAGTTGGGATTTGTCACCTGATTGAGGTAGGGCCGAAGGGGAGCTGCCCCAAGGTGGAGCTCATGGAGCCGCTTGCCGTGAAAGCGGTCGAAAACCTCTTCCTCAGTGAGTTTGACCTCAGCCTTGACGAGATCATGATCGACAACCTCCGGTTAGCACGGAATGATGCGGTTCTGGGGTCCCTTTTCGAAACCTTGATCCCGCGTGCCCAGACGCGCTTCCTCAACTCCCCGTGCCTAGAAACCCACCCCCTCCTCAAGCCCCTCTCAAACCTCCCGGATTGCTTCAAGAGCGGCGCGCACATCGAGTGCGTTGAAGGCCCCGAGCAAGGTGTTCCCTTGAGTGAGGTCATCCCGCGCGTTGAGGCCTTCACGCGCGATCGCGGGTTGCTCGAGTTTCTGGAGGAGCCCAGGGGCAACCCGTTCTTCTTCCCAGAAGATGCAGCTGGTCCCGACAACGCGGCAATCGTGCGGATCGGGGGCGTCCGGTGGTTAAGCCTTGTCCAAGCGAAATGTCGAAAGAAAGTCGACAAGTTGACCCACGCACTTGGAACGCTCAGTCTCAACACCATGTACAAGGGGGATCGGGGCGCAGAAGGGAAACGGAAGCAGCTGAAGGCCTCCCTCAGGAAGCTGGGCGTGGAGGGCGTACTACAGGTCCTCTTGGCGTATCCTGCAGAGGTGAAGGAGAGGAGCCTCACCAATGCAACGCGGAAGCTCTCGGAGGACATGGACTTCGCTTGGGTGCAAGTCTGTATTCACGCGCCCAACATAGGCAAGTACTTGCTGGCCGAGGAGGTAGATTACCTCGGATCCATCAAGGATGTTTGAAGCCGAAGCCTGATAAGAAGGGAGAATGATCAGGGCAGGAGATGATGCGCTGCTCAGCAGATCAACTTAACAGGGTATAAGACTGAACTGAAGACTGAACCAAAGTATATGAGGGATTGTTTGCAGCATTGGCGGTATTCAAGTGTAGTAGCTGCTCATTTGAAGATGATTATTTCATGCCCGAGGAGCACTCGCTTGTTGCTTTACCCAAACACTCAATTGCAGAAGTCACGACCACAGACCCACTCAGCTGCTTGGAAGATTTGAGACTTGCTGCACACCTTTGCAAAGTGTGTAAGGAATACATGCGATCTCATCTTGATGTCGATTGCATGAGGTAATAAGAGACCATACAATCTGTGTACAAAGGAGTTGATGCATATCGTAAAAAAGTCACTATCATATGCACGTTGTAACAAAATGAGTAACGAGCGAATGTTTCATTGAACATACCGCATCTATGCTATAGGTGAGATCTCTCCGATTGACAAGCTTCTTGGCCACGAGTATAAATGCCTCGCTAATGGCCGTCCTCAATCTGGTTGAAAGGACTTGGATGGAAGTACATTGCATTTCGACTTATCACCAGTACTCTGGAAAAACTATGCCACTGACCAGATGCTCTCTTCCAACTAACCATCTGCATGTTGAACGGCATTATTTCGGCCAGCCACAAACCGCCACGTGTCCCCCCCCCTTCCGGCGAGGCGCGCTGCCGCGCCGCACCAATGTCGCCCCGAGAGCCACAGGTCGATTGCTAGTTAGTACTGCAGGTCTAACAAACCCGGCGTCCGCTAACCTGATTGCAGTCATGCAATCAGTTTTGCCGTCCGAACAAGAAGTGCCGTCCATTCGCGAGCAGCGCGCGCACGTTTCACTGAGTCGTACGGTCAATGACGAGTCAGTGAGTCTGACAGAGTCAGTCCCGCGCCTGCCTGCCACGTGTGATTGGAGGGACACCTCACCGTCGATAAAAGTTCAGGCGGTTGTACCGCGAAGGTACGGTGAGTCTGACTTGGCACCCTGGACAGCCTGCTGCCTGACTCAGCAGGCTTGGACCGACTTTGACTGCTATGTTTCATGCCAACTTACCGGGTTCTGGAAGGATACAGAAGCCCTGCACCGGCCACGTGAGCAGTCTGCTGGCCACGTAGCAGCTGCAGCCTCCTTCGGACGGTCTAGAAATCGGGGTATAAAAGCTCAGAAACTTTCTCATTTCATTCATTCCGAATCAGAGCACTTCCGATTCTGTTCCTTCCAAGCTTGTTGCAATCTCAGGACCACATCACAAATTTGCTTTGCGCTGAAGCGCCTTCTTCTGTACTAACGTCGATCTGGCTCGTCTCGTGCTATCAGTCAGGTACCTGCCATCATACTGGAGTAGCTCAGTCCGAAAGTACCTCAGCACCTGCGCGGCGTCCGCTTTGAATCAACAGGCTGCCAGTGGTGCCAGTAGTGCTGGTGATGTTTTGCTCCAGTGGTCACGCCACTGTGTGTCAGTGAAGCCAGTCGTACGTGCCACTAGTGATCAACGCCAGTGGTGCCAGTGACGTTGCCAGTGGTGCCAGTGGTGCCAGCTTGTGGTATGTGCCAGTTGCATTTCAACGCCAGTAGTGCCAGGAACATTGCCAATGATGGTTTCGGTGATACGTGCGCGTGCCAGTGACTTCCCGTGCCTGTGAAAAAATCATCGCACGCCAGTGTTGCCAGCCCGTTGCCAGTGGTGCACCAGCTATTTTGAGTATGTATATGATTTCAATAAGCTTGCTGCTGAGCATTTCAAGCAAAGTGTGAGCTGTTTCAGATTCTGCTAGTCCTGGACAGCTCACGTTGAGCTAACCAGCAGTCACAAGAATGAAGGCTTAGCTTGGACGTTGTTTGGAGCCGGTGTGCATCACTGATCCCTCTGTCGTGGTTTTGCACTGAGAGCAAAAACTACATGGCTCGTTCATGTGAAACTCATTGAAACTCTTTCAAGTTTTTCGTTGCCGACGGTCCATAAAAGGCTGCCATATCTTGCTGTCCAACTGATCAGAACGGGTGAGAATCGCCAGAGATGCTTCATTTCTGCCAATTGGAGTCGAGAAACGGGTTAAGAAGGTGTCATCGGTTTTGCAGAAGAGGAGAAAAGCAGAAAGCAGTTCTTGCGTCCAGCGTATATTAATTCTTAGCTGCCCCCTACCGGGTACAACCCCTGGAATGGATCAGGTGGTTAAGGTAGCAGACGCACTGGGGAAAGGGCATCGGTTCGAGCCCAATCAGAGACAGACGGGAACCTTTTGCAGTAACCATCTCATATTTTTTACTGAGCACTCAGAACGGACCCGGCAAGCATAGCCGAATCCACCTTTCGAAAAGCTCCGAGAACTGTTTGACTCAGCGAATCGATTTGTGGTGGGGGGGGGGCAAGTATGGGAGGAGAGTTCTCCTCCATTGGAGGTGAGGGGTGGAGAGTGACGGATTTGCTCCCCCCAGGCTTTTGGGGGCGGGGAGAATGGTGGGAAGACGCGTCTTGCCCCCCTTCTCCCCCCGGGGAAAAAACGCTCAAACCTCCTTGTGAATCTTTAGAGCTCACCTTGCGGTATGCTCCAGTTGCAAGATGTTCCCAAATGATTTAGGTTACGCTTCTCACTTCAGCAATACTCTCGTACACAGATGGGGAGCCTGCCGGATGAAGTCGCGAGGCAGACGCTTTACAACGGTCCGTTCGAACAATTCCAAAGACGCTTGGCAGCCGAGAGAGGAAGCATTGTGAGCAGCCAGGTAAACTTGTTTTTCAAGTGAACACCTCAAACAAGTAAAGAGTGTAACTTGTTTTAGGGTTGAACTCATCAAGAGGGGCAGGGGTTGGCATGGCAGAACGTGGTTCTTGTGATTCTTACGTTGTTCGAGAGGAGTAAACTACTTGTTGAAGCTGCCCGTCAACATGAGCAGGGCGACTCTGGGAGACACTTCCTCTTGGTGTACCGACCAAGCTGAGTCGGCATGACAGTGCCGCTATATGCAGATGGTAGTCGTTGATGGTATTGGCCCGATATATCTCAAGAGTGCTGTGAGCCCATAAGGTCTTTCAAACGCGGCGTTCCTTCCGCCAAAAGTACACTCAATGACAAACGCTTCCTGATAGACGGTACTCTGCTGGTAGGATCATCATTTGTCTTCAAGAGGCCACAGAAAGGTGCTCAAAGTGCATACGCAGGATGGTGACGCACTTCTCTTTGTCATGAAGGAGCAGGAAGCACCGGACCAGGCGCGGGGCCAAAAACGCAAGCATGGTGGCGATGCAGAGTGTGACGAAGGGGCGACGAACGATCAAATGGCAAGTTGTTGGGTTGAAGGAGCGCACTCGACAGCCGAAATCAAAGTGATGTCGGAGGCAGAGGATGCCAGCATAAGAATGCGTCGTTGTGTTTTTATTTCTTGCCGTTCCGGGCTGTTTGTCGCTCAAAGAGGCTGTGTAAGATAATCCCAATGAGCGGGGTTAGAGGTATCTGTGGTCGCGTACAACGAGCCTTCAAAAATCTTAAATTCTTCCCTTTTGCTTGGCCGGGGAAGGTTCGCTGGTCTGGCCCTCGAATACGTACTCTCCACCAATTGGAGGTTATTTGCCTATCTCAAGTCAAGTTGCTCCCAAGGACCCCGCTTCCATATGCCACGTCAAACCCATTTAAAGGGTGGAAGTCGATCAGCCGTGGTGAAATTTACCTTTTTGGCTCAGAAAAGCATTGCCGCTCTTCACTATTACCATTTCATTTGAATGCAGGGGCCGAGTAGTTCCGACGAGTCGGAATCATCGGGCGGCGGGGACGATTGCGAAGGTGCACAGGAGCATCATTTTGCGGACCAAGAAAGAGAGTTAGGAGCAAGCGTATTGGTGAGTTGAAACTCACTCGAGTGCAGCTGCATAAGCGTCCTTACACAAAGACTTCCCCTTCATGATTTGGCGGTCCACGGACGGAAGTGTTGTCCATCAAGAGAAATTCCCACTTACAAATTCGTCTTTATGGACAGCTTGGACGGCAAGGACAGCACTTTGGAAGTAGCCCACCGTTTCCGGGTTTTTGTAACCCAGCTCAAGCTTCAATTATCCTTGCGATCCACAGATGGGAGTTTTGTCCATCAAGAGAATTTCTCATTCACGAACTCGTCTTCATGGACAGCTTGGACGGCAAGGACAGCACTTTGGAAGTAGCCCACCGTTTCCTTTTTTTTTTAACCCAGCTCAAGCTTCGATCATCCTGGCGGTCCACGGACGGGAGTGTTGTCCATCAAGAGAATTTCTCATTCACGAACTCGTCTTCATGGACAGCTTGGACGCCAAGGACAGCACTTTGGAAGTAGCCCACACGTTTCTGTTTCTGGTGCAAACGAGAGTGCCATCCATCTAGGCTGCATCCAAAACACTTTACTAATTGATTGCAGGGGCCAGACAGTTCCGACTCGGCTTCATCAGAGGGCGGTGACGATTGCGAAGGTGCGGATGACAAGTCTTCTGAAATGTAACGATTACGACTGGTTAAGCCTAACCTCGTTCTCGACAGGATTTCGTTGACCTGCGGGTTAGCGAAACGGCGGTGGTTACGTCTTAACGACGCACTGCGTGGCTGTCTGCAAGACGCCGTAATATCCCGGATGGATCGGCTTCAGTGAGCCGATGTCACCGTTCAGGATAGGTTGTG